TGGCACACATGTACAATAGCATCCCCTGATCAATTTTGGAAATGGTGCCATCCGAGAAAATACCTCGTTGCCATGGAAACGAGGCATCATCCGTATGGCTATTTAAGTGAAATGAACATTACTTTATAAAAGGATATTTTCAAGACGAGTGAACCGATGTGTATATAAGAATGAAGAAAATATGATCATAAGTGCATTTTGACAATTTCCCTTGATAACAGAATATCTGGTTACCATGGAAACGAGGTATCATTATCGACCAAACGCGATTATTTGTCGCACAACCTGTATTTTCTGTTATTGTCATGAATCACAAATTAATTAAGCTACATTCACTTTCAAAATGTAATTCCTTTTGTGCTCAATCAACTGCCATCGCCTATGGTATACTTTTAAACTCATAGCCACGTAAAGCTGGTGAAAACATTAAAATATATATCTCATGATTATTGTTATCTTGGAGCTACCATATATATTAATAAAGATAAATTCATTCTCTTAACTCTGGCATTAGTATCTCAGCCAGATAAAAACGGAAAACTTGCACAAAGTCTCCCAAGACTTGGATGCAAGCAAGAAACTTGGCACACAGGTACAGTAGCATCCCCCGATCAATTTTGCAATGCCAGTCGTTATTTCCGCAATCCCCATCAGAGAAACATAGTGGTGTACATGCCGATGTAGGGGGGATGATCGGGGAATGCTACTGTACATGTGTGCCAAATTTCATGCTTGCATCCAAAAGTGCAGGAGTATATATCTAAATAGTAAAATCGCCCCACTAGTTATTGGGGAGTCTTTGTGGAATATATTTTTGGAAAATATAATTATTTCAATCGTTTTTTTATTTATTCCTTTTTGTAGCACTTACATAGGTCGACGTTAGATATAGATTAGAATAATCAACGATTCCAGCCGAGTTTGAGCTGAAATGTAATGCAAGTTTTCCGTTTTTATCTGACTGAGATACTAATGCCAGAGTTAAGAGAATGAATTTATCTTTAATAATATATATGATGACGATATGATAGCTCCAAGATAACAGTAATCCGTCAGTTATAAGATACATATTTTATATTTTCACCAGCTTTACGTGGCTATGAGTTTGAAAGTATGCCATTGGCGATGGCTGTTGATTGAGCACAAAAGGAATTAAATTTTGAAAGTGAATGTAGCTTAATTTGTAATCCATTACAATAACAGAAAATACAGGTTGTGCGACTTATAATCGTGTTTGGTCGATAACGATATCTCGTTTCCATGGTAACAGGTATTCTGTTATCAAGGGAAATTGTCAAAATAGACTTCTGATCATATTCTTTACTTCTTATATACACATCGTTTTGAAAATATCCTTTCCTAAAGTAATGTTTATTTCCCTTTAATAGCAATACGGATGATGCCTCGTTTCCATGGCAACGAGGTATTTTCTTGGATGGCACCATATCCAAAATTGATCAGGGGATGCTCATGTACATGTGTGCCAAGTTTCATGCTTGCTTCCAAAAGTGCACGATTCCATCATTTTTGGGGTCTTATCTGCTGAACTATAGTATCTTCTTCCACTTAATTTTAGTCTCCGAAATGTAATAATTTCTAAACTTTCCAATGGAGGGATCCAGCGCCATATTTCCATAAAACATCGGAGCGAGGTGTACGTTTTAGCAACAGGTCGAATGCATTAGATCAGGGGTGTGTAACCTTTATTACAGGAGGGCCAGATACAAGTAACTGGGTGAATCCGCGGGCCGCACATTTATTTAAGATAGCCTTCCTAATAGTTGCACAAAAATTGGCACAAAAAATTGTTTCTTTTTGTTATAAACGCATAAATTTCTAAAGAAAACTGCTATTCAAATTCATTGTCACACCGACTCTAAATGAATTCAGTGAGAGAAACGTTTTTATACTATTGTGTATTTTGCTAACTAGTTTTGCTAATATGACAGTGGCACTCAGGTACTGTTATAGGCTTCGCGACGCAAAGAGATTGGAATTTTCTCTCAAGTACCAGATTAACTAAACTAAAAACTTGTTTCGCGGGCACGCCATTCAAAATTGACACTTTTCCGCGGGGTCGCACAATTTTCCCTTGCGGGCCGCAGTTTACACACCCCTGCATTAGATTCCTACTACACAAATATCGAAATTATGAAAACTTGGATTAAATGATTTTAAGCAGATGATGGTGTCATCAAACGTGACGTAATAATTTATAAGTAATCCATCATGGGGACTCCAAACTTCGAACAATAGAAATCTTTTGGATTTAAACCTCAAAAACAATTCAAACGCAACAATTCGTCTTTTCTCAATATTGTTATACAAATATACATGCTAGAACTTGCCGGGATTTCTCTGTCCTCGAAAAAATTGGTTAATTGTATATATATAACACTAAAAATATATATAATTGAATGTTGTTTTTTTAATAAATGTGTACCCTACCTACATTTTTTCTCAGTTACTAAGAGTTCATGATATCAAACGAATGTCGAACATATTTTATCGCAATTTTACAAGATCTTTAATATATATAAGCACCGTTTTTCAGGCTTTTGTATGATTTTGGTATCATTTCGTGTTATTATGCATTTTGTTAAAAAAAATTTGTCCAACTCGAATTAATTAATGCCTGAGACTCGGAAACGTCTTTATCATAAATTGCAATGTCTATTTAACAATCTTTTCTTTGTGCAAAATTTTTTCCGCAAGATGACGTATTTGAGTTGAATAGAAACTTTATTATAAGACTCGGTCGCGGAGTCGGTAGCGCAACATATTTGTATTGGAGTTGAAATGTATAATTCTACTCTGCGCGAATTAGAACTCTGTCGAAGTCACCCAAGCTATACAAGCGCCCAAGCGTTTGGATGAAGCATTGATTGGTAGAAAACCAAAAAATCTCTGGTTATCGGTGAATCAGTCGCTCACGAACACAGCAAAATAGTGTGTTTTGGGGGCAGAATGCCAATGTTTGATCAGAATTTACAGATCTCTTGCTTTTAAGTCCCTAAAAGCAATTTTGAATGAAATTTTATCTTGTTATCGGAAAGTGATTTCAGACAATATCTATCGAACGTCACGTTTGAAATACTGCTGATTGCGTTCGCCACGTTGTGTGTGTTCACTAACCCTACCTCTGACATCTCTGAATTCAGTGCTGAATTCTATCAATAAATAAAAATTGTAACCGGATAACTACTATGTTTTGAGAGAGAGAGGTGGAGGGGGTGTTCTTTGGCGATGGCTTTCTACAAAATCAAAGAGTTAATGGATTTATAATTTTCATATATGTAATAATAGATATGCATCATTTTTGCATATTATTGGTTATTATTAGCGTTATACATGGGTCTACCAGGTCAGTTCATTTGCGGCTGTTACATGACTAGAAATTCCCAAAATATCGAAATACTGAATTATTAATAAACAACCATTTCATAGATTTTTTCCAATTTACAACCAAATAACACCGCATTTCGAACGATTTGAAACTTAAGCTAATGGCGGCAGAGCGTCAATAGATTGATTTGAAAAAACGTGAAATCTACTTGTATTTTAAGGTTTGAAGCTAGATTAAAAGTAGGACATGTATGGACGAAAGATTAGATAGAAGAGCGCACACATAATGAGCAACTCATATACGATCATGGCTCAAACCAACTATTATTTGGGTCTGCAGAACGTTTTTTTTTTTTATTATTCTGTGTTTGACATGTCCTGATGCAACGTGCTGTCCAATCCTTATGCGTGGTTCTCCATGTGTTCATTACGCAAATGAGGTGTCCACTGGTACCAGCGTAACCGATACTAATGAGCGCCTTGGGAAAAATCACTGGCAACTGATTGCAGAGAGTGACAAGTACACTGCACGCGATAATAATTATCTCTCTACGGCAAAATGAGTGAAAACTGTCATTTTCCGACGACTCGAAGTTGAATTCCATTGGGAGGAAGAAAGAGAAAGTGAACTTCGAGAGAAAATAAAAGAAATCGTATGAATCAAGCATAACGTCAAAAACTTCAGGAAGTTAAGAGTATTCAACAGAATGACAATGCCGCGTAGATAGATACTGGTGTAATCCAACAATTGCGACAAGAAAAATTATATTATAGTTTATCAGTCTGTTTCTAATATATATTTCATGATGTTAGTATTATGCTTTCGTAACGGTACGATAACGCGTTTTTAAATTTTCAAATATAAATATTATCTTAGGCAAGCATTGCTGAATTAACAGTTTAAATCATTCTTTTCAAAGCAACTTCCATATATATGTGCAAGTGTTTGAATTGTTAAAATCACCAAACAATAAATATTTTGTGCTTAGAAGGCAGTTAATATCTATAGACCAGTCCTGATTTCCTCCTTAGTTCATTACATAGGATTTATCAATTTGCAATCAAGATTTGCACCATCTTTATATAAATTTATTATAAACTTGTGCAGACAGTGAAAATTAAAAAAAGGGAAAAAATTTATCTTGTAAAAATAGAACACAAAAATAAGTTCGTTTAACTGGTGGGACTGGTGCGTTTTGTCGATTACAAAGTCGCGCTGTTAGGAAGTATGGTGTTGTCTTGCATAGATATTACTTACGACTTTCCACAGGATTTAAATGTTATTACTGTAAAACGGCGTCGATTTTCCTATTTTTTCATGATAATGGTGAAGATTTTTACCTCTTCTATGAATCCATATAATTGCCAATATAATATTGACAATTACAATATCAATAAGTGATTTTCTCTAAAACAAAATACAGGGAAATGCTACTTTATTGTTGCTATTTTCATCACATTGTGTGATTGATTCCAGCAGGTTGACTCCGATGACTCATTTATCAACGCTCTAATATTGTTTGCACCTTTGCACAGTGGATTTTAATACCCTATTAGCATTTGTCGATTTTAACCAAAATAGGATAAAATCCGCATAATTTTTCTGCCACATGTTCAAAATTCGTTAAAAAATCGAACCTTTTGTTTACCTATTTTTTTTTCTTTTGTAGCTTCGATATTTATATAAAGCAGCAGTACGTGTAACCACGAATAGTCTTGCGTATCTCTTGCTTTTCCATCATGGAATACAGCACCACCTCTTCCGTTGAACTTTTTGAAAAGGATCTTGGCGAAATTCTCAGTCAAACCGCGGGAATAGAAGACGATATTGGTTGGGAAAATTCCACATGGTTTCCGAACGTAACTGTTGCACATTTGATTGCGAGGCGTCGACGACCCGCTCTTGTAACCTTCCAATATAGAGTGGTCCCTTCATTCTATTTGGTATTATGTGTGATTGGACTTGTTGGAAATGGAGTTGTCATTAAAGTATTATGGTCCATCATGGCTAGAAATGTCATGAAATCTGTTACTGATATTCTTGTTATCAACTTGGCAGTGGCTGATTTTATTTTTGTAGGATCTCTACCATTTTGGGCAACGGAACTCTTCTTGAATAAAAGGTGAGAATTTTTTTTTAAACATTCCTAGGGTAAGGTGACCAAACTATTTTGCACATTTCAATTTGCAACATAGCAAAGATTTTGCTCTATTTCACCAGTAAATTGAAATAAGTTTATACGTGAATAAGTATCATTTACGCTTTGAGAAGATCTCTATCGAAAATAGCTGAAATCCTCACCGCTCAAACCACATTGAGCCATGCTTAGAGGAGAAATACAAAACTCGACCAACTTTGTTTTTACTTCAGTTTTTCTTCGTCCACTAAAAAAACTGGAATAACTTGCGTAATTTAGCCCATGTGGAGAATGAAGTATCAATTATAAATGTATAAATTATACATTCAATATTTTTCTTTGCTCCAACGTACAGGACGTTTTTACAATGATAGCAGTTTTTTATATAAATGGCACGAAAATGTCAAATCAATTGGGCGTGCCACTATTACTTTGCGACTATGCAACTACAATGATTCTCTGTGAGGCCTCAACCAAACCTGCCTATATTACTATACTTATTTATTCCGTGCTCATCGCCGACCAATTAATAATTTGCGTATTTTATGTCAAACAAACACTACTAGTGGCTATTCAAAATGTCCATGTTCTTTCTAGTTTTCGATGTCTGTATATCCGGTTCGATACATTCTTGTTTGGACCAAAAATGTAAATATTCCAGAAAACAAAAAAAGTTTTATAATTATCTCTAAATATTTTCAATTTTTGTCTTATACAAGTTTGTTGTTGAAAGGGATAAAGTAATTATTCAAAAAGAATAGCGAAAATTGTAAAATATATGATATAATATTATTTTGAACTAACACCCCCCCCCTTCCTCATAACGGCCGTGCAAGATCTTAAGGGGTTCACTAGAATAGGGGTTTCCATCCAGGCTTCTGCAGTACCCAGGGTACCGCCAGGACAGTCCAGGGGTTCCGTGAGTTTAATTCAAATTCGAGAGCCTGTATTATTATTTGTATATTGTTTAAATAAAATCCAATTCCCTACAAATTTAAGTGTTACATTCAATGGAGAACAGTTAATTATTCTAAAATCGACCTGAAATGGAAGACCACGATTGCAGTATCTAAAACACAGAAGCAAATAATAAATTTGGATTTACTGAAATTTCGGTAAATCCTTATCGATAATTCGTTCTATCACCGACTTACACACATACATGATCCTGGCTTTATTTACTATCTATATTCTATACCGAACGGATAATGACAATCGCAGTAAAATGGAAGCATAAATCTCTGGCCTATTTCCATATTGTATTTACATATGCGTGCTGTTTGCTAATTATACAGTTTGGCGATGTATTGGGTTCTTGTAAAAGCACCACTGGGACTAATCTCGCTTTGATCGAGTGTTACACCTTTGGTCGATAATGACTGATTATTGTTGTCTAGATTTTTCCATGGAGAATTAATTAATGATTTTGGGAGATGCGTACAATGAACACAGCGCGCATATAAAAATAAGCAATTTACTAAGTGTTAAAGTGTAATCGAAAACTTATTTTATATATTTATAGAAAATTTTGGTATTAAGTAGTTTTGTTGTTCTTGTTTATACTGTGGGTATACACTCTGTCTGGGTGGTATATTTCTCCTAAATTAGAAATATGCATTTTCTGGAAAACTGTAATACTGTTCATAGAATATATTGGAGTAAAAAGCTTAATATAGCCTATATTTCCGGTCGATGAAAATGTTTTGAATATACTTGAAAGCAAATAATTAGTATTCGACCATTACAGCAAAGTCAAATTCGTCTTTGGTGGCATTCAGAGACTATTATATATTTGTATATAAAACACATGAATGCCGTAAAGAAATAAAGCATTCCATATTTAGCCTAAATATACATTTCTTTGACAGAATGCTTTAAATTCAAACAGTACATTCAAGTCTTTCCACGAACTTCATCTCAATTTTGTTATACAATCATAAATTGATTGACCATTTGGAATTTAAATTGAATATTCTTTGCTACAATAGACAATGCTATTTCCGAATAACATCTAAATATTTATCAGTTAATATGTTTAAGTATATTTCAAATTTTGATCTCATTTCAGCTAAGAAAATAAATACTCCCAAAATAAATTGAAATTTCCAATAAACCGATTCCATTAGACTTGACGACAGATTTAAATATCATAACAAGTTGAATTGAATTTGGCATCTCCTCATTTACGGAATTCAAACAAGTGATTTTTTTGGAAGAGCTCCCAATTTGTCATTACTTTATAGGCTATTGTGACACTGTAGAAACCAATGAGATATGTTGGAACTTGTTTGTGTTTATATTTTTGGACAAAATACGCCACATTTTGATTTATTCCTCGATGACATTTCGCATTCCAAAATGCATTCGTCAAAATGAAATCGGTCTGAAGCTATCGGCTCGTGAGCTATACATCGGATAGGTTTTTTGAATTGCATCGAATTAATATTTCTAGCTATTTCAGAACTTCAACCTATGTTTTTCTTTACTTGATTACAGCCTGCCTCGTATAAGGATTATCATGTTTATCCCGGGCCTTCACTATAAAATTCTATAACATTCTATGAATATTTACCAGTGAATGAATGACACGGCCTGATGTTATGAAATGTTTCTCTTCTCAGGCAAACACGTCAAATTATTTAAAACGGATGAATGATAAATTTGTAATTGACCAGGGATACAGACAGATTTTATATATGAAATAATTTTATCTTGTTTTTATTATTATTTTTTAGATGGGTTTTCGGGACAGTCGGTTGCAAACTGATGAGCTTCATTACTCTTCTCAATCTTTACGGAAGTGTGTTTTTTCTCGTCGCTATGGGGATTGATCGTTACTTGGCAGTTGTCTATGCAGTGAGGGCACGAAATTACCGTACTCCACGAAAAGCTGTCATTGCGTCTGCCATTATATGGGCGTTTGCAAGTCTAATTGGACTCCAAGCTCTCATTTGGAGAAAGGTGGGATAATTATAGCTATGTTTCTTTCAAAAAAGAATTTGACTGGTTAATTATATTTTCTAATTGGCGTCTCGGGCGCATGGCACTGCCGTAAGAGATTGTTATACCTAAACATGATGGTATTCTATATTTGGAACAAACCTATTTTAAGAATTATTAATTGATTAAGTCTCGATAAAACAGTGAAAAAACACTATCACATAGAGTGGGTGGAATTGTATATTGGAAGTGGTATCAACGTTCTTACTAAAACAAAAATATGGACGACGGTAGAAGCGTTTCCAATTTTTCAAATAGTTTGAAAAATAAAGACAGTATTAAAAACAGGGCTATAATATAACCTATAACTTTCGTTTAGTTACATGTAAAACCGGGAAGAACTAGATGCATCTGGGCATTACCGGATGAACTAATGACAACTTACTACGTGATACGGATGGCTTTTGGATTTTTCGTACCTTTTATTGTTATAGTCTATTGCTACATTCTTATTATTCTGAAACTGCATAGCCGTGTGAACAAATCGTCACTCACTGGTTCAAGTATGACAAATAAGCAACAAAAAGTGAGTATTTACAATACATAAAGATTATATGAATGAGGTTATGATTGTTTTATATTTTTCATGTCTCTGCTTCGTCAGGCTTATAGTGGTTTTGGACTCTCACGTACTTCGTTATTTCCTAGTGACATGTACAGTTTTAATCTTATTACAGAACCAATATTCCAATTGGCTTCAAAAACAGTTTAAAAGAATAATTTCTAGAAAATAATTTAAAATCTTACTCGCTCTGATAACAAGGCGCCACCATCATTATCAAGAATCATATATATGCGCTTCCCCGATTTTTTTCACGATGTATTCCTCGAAGTACAATCATCTTTTTTATCGAAAACATATGGATTTCAGAAGTGCATCTTTTAATGCCTATTTTAAATACTGTAACCTTTAACCAAACGTCCAGTAAATCATATGTGATTTTATAATTTGCAAGTCAAGAGTAAAATCCTCAAATTAATATTTCATGCAAAGCTTCAAGATCAATCTCATTCGTGTTTTAGCCATATGTTATCGCACAGATATAATACCAATTTCATTATTTTGTAAAACTCGGACTTAAACGAGATTTTATTTATGAGTTCCCCTGGTCCCCAACGCCTATTTGCATTGAAAATAATCAAACCATTTTTGAAAGATTTCCTAAACACTCCATCGACTTTGATTAGACTTTGTTATTTAGTCTACAAGTTTTTGACAAATTACATGCTCTATTTCAGATTACAAGAGCTATTTTGGCAGTCATCAGTTTGTTCGTTGTTTGCTGGCTCCCAAATCACATCGTTACATTGATACTTGCAGTAACAGTCAACGACAAGGCAGCGAGAAGCAGTATGGACTTGTCGGTAAGCACTGTATCTTATACAGTAATACACAACAAAAAATTATTGTTTGTTCATCTGAACATCAAACTATCAAATAGCATGTTGAACACGCTGCTAGCACATGCTCAAATCGCATAGCTTTCATTGTAAAATATTTCGAGCAAGATCTTACAGAAACGCTACTTTTCCGTGACATGAAGATTTCCATTTTCAGTTATCATTACTTGATCTGACCACCAGAGTTTATACCATTTGCTCAATATAATTAAGTTTAAACCCGTTATGACATTATAGTAACCATTGACAATTTGAATAACGTATACATTTGATTAGAGAAGAGTAAACCATTATGCACAGGTTGGCAGAGAAGGCAGAGAGATATAAATAATTTATACTAGTAATTTATTTGAAAATAATATCATTCTTAATTAAATAAAGTTTAGAAAGCACCATTTAGGTAAGACATGTGAAAATCGCGATACAGTAATCGAACGCAAAGGGGTTATACCCCGCATTCGAATACTATATATTTTATGACATCACATTCTGTATGGCTCTAATTTAACAAATTATTATTAATAAAACAATCTTTGGCTAAAACATCTTAATTTGGCTATTAGTTGGCAGTACGGTAAATAAACCCTTGAATGTTCACCAGCGTGAATCATTACCCCAGAGATCAGAGCTTTTTGTCACACTAAAGTGGAAAACTGAGAGAACCTTGGCAAACCCGTTCCACTACACAGAAAAGTACGTGGGTCATATCAATTAAAAGAATGTTGTACTGATAGGCACCAAGCAAGGAATATATATTTTACGATAATGAATGTTATAAATATATGAAGAATTTAGCAATGGTTATCGGCTATCAAGGTTCATATATTCAGATTTTAACCAGATTTTAACAAGAAATTTACATATAAACGAGTCAGTTTATTGTAAGTATAAACAATGGTGTTTTACCATATTTTCCGTCACATCTCTGAAAGATATTTTTACATAGACTCTGTAAATTTGGTAAATTTGGTTGTAAATTTGTATAACGTCCATGTTTTGTATAATCAAGGAAATGGAAAATTCGCGCAGGAAGCGCGTAGGAGAATATGCAATAAGATGTAATCCATTAGATGTATACTTTCCGATACATATATATAATGGTATTTTGAAAATAGATCAATAGCGATGTTACGATATTCATTTCTCAAATTTTTCAATACTTAATAATATTATAGATGTAATTCAATTTAGTTACATAAGAAATATTATATCTTAAGACTTTGGATAAAAACAAAAAAATGTAAAAATACTCTGTAATACGTTGATTGGCCCAGGAATTAAAACAACTTTTTAGCGTCAAAAGTTTCGAAAGTTGTGCTTATAAAATAATATTATATCAATATTATATCCTGAGTCCTTTTTATACTGTATGAGGGTTTTGAATGATATTTTATGATTTACTGTTCATTAGTTGTTAAAATAGTCTGGTGGGTTGTTTTGATAAACCATAAATTTGATCAAATTAAATTGAAAAATTTGTAAAGGAAGTTTTAAAAATGTTTTGCAGTTCGATATTTTGCAGATTTATTGTCTCTTTTTTATCTACAGCGTGCGCGTCATTGTAGAATAACAGAATAACAATGGCTTTCGTACAATTGTTTTCTGTTCTTTTAAATCATGCTGGATTTATTTATCTTGTTTTTCCTGAGTTCCCTCGGTCGATGTATGCTAAAATATGTATCTACATTCAATGTTCCGCAGCTTAATTGCATTTAGCTTACAATATTCTTTGTCCGAGTCGATTTAAATCTCATTGGCTAGATAACACATTAGTCGATATTGGATATTGTACTATATTCAACAAAAATCGCAAATTTTACCGGAATTCAGTCATGTTTTGATGTATGTGGATCAAATTTTAAATCAAGATTAGGAGTCATGTCTACTTGAAAACGGTTCAGTAACCATTCACGATCACTGGTTCGAGATAGTAATGCATCCGAATTTTTATTACAGTGCGCTAAAATGGATAAATAAACGTAAAAAATAGGGGTACCCTTTCCGGCAATATTGTGTTACCTATCAAAATGACTATAAAATGGCCGGGTATAAAGTGACGTAAAAATGAGTTATTTCGAGTAGTGTGCGTACAAGTATAGGGATTTACTATTTCTTGCTTTGGCAGCCGACGCCTTACGCAACCAACGACATCATGCCCCTGGGTTTTAATGTAATTTGGCATGAATAATTAAAGTATGTGGGCATCGATAGAAAATTAATCTCAGCTTCCTTATATATCAAAATACGACTTTAGGGCGTTGGAATTTGTTAATAAATTACGCAAGATACAAGATTTTGCACACATGTATGGAGTTACTAGTCAATCAAAAATTCGACGTTGAAAGTTGAAAAGAGGGTAGGGCGCTATCGTTTGAAAACGATTCGCTGAAAACATCAATTCTGCTGTTGAACCACAAAACGTTATTAAGAACCAACAAAACCACAGGAATTGTAATTTTGCAAATATTCGACTTGTGGGTACAACTTTATAACAACTGCTCCCCTGTAATATCCAGCTGATCATTGAGCTACCGCAAAAAATGGCATGCCAAAGAATTATTTAGTAAGTTAAGTTTCATTTAGTATAAAACGACAAGAAAGTGCCTGGGCACGCAAGTTATTCCAAAACGGGATTTCAAACACGCAGAATCATAACACATTAAATATTCCGTGAACATTGATTCTGTGTTTTTATGATACCATATAATAATTTGTCAAAGTTCCGAAATCATTTTTATACCGAATTACTCAAAATAAATCGCGATCCAAATCGACGTTGTAATCATTTATCAATCGATGCATGTAGGGTACTAACAATCTTCTTTTCTCTAAATCAAAAACCTGTATGCGATGTCTAGATTTCAGCGATACAAAAATATTATAACTACCTTACCCAGCAAGAAAGTTTTTATCTGCATTAACCGAGATCGCAAGTTCTCACTTGTCGAGAACAAGGCCTCAATATTTACTTTAAGTTTTCTGTACTGGACTTCAGTTTTCGATATATACGTGATATATGACTGTACGATTCAAAAGAAGGTACATCTCGTTAGAGCATTTACAAATAATAATTTTACGCTTTCTCGCATCCAGCCGACTTATCCTACATTTTCTTGCCGTATGAGAATAGAATGGGCCTAAGTCACATTTTTCGAAAATTTTAATTTTCTGAATCTGAACTCCCCTGCGACATTCTAAGTTGGAATAGCACTGAGAGTCAGATTCTGGATAAAATTATAGGATAAAGTTTTTTTTCCTGTTACATATTATTATGATGACAAAATAGGAATTTGCTTAGTGCATCTTAGACCTAGGTACCAATGGGTGACAGAAAGAGCCAAAGTCCATCTAATAAATTTGATTATCATTGAAAAAAGAATAGGCCTTTAGAGAGATAAAAACAGCAACGAATCTAAGCCGAAGTGCCAAAGAATGTTGATTAAAAAGATATTTTCCGACACATCGACCTAACCCCAGATCATGTCTTTACTGAGTATACATATCTAGATTCAAGAATGATAAATTTCAAAATTGTTTTTGCGATTTTCTCAAAACTCAAAATTATGACATGGGGCTGTTCAGTTCTCATCTGTCGAATTATGCAAATTCATTTGCCTTTACCTATCTCAAGTTACATCGATATAAATACCACAAACACATCTCTGGGATTCCAGCATATTGAGGTTTTGTCAGATAGATAGGGGTCAATATATATGACGTAAATGAAGACGCTCATTCGTATTTATTATTCAAAGATCAGCAGTCTTAAATGCTAATTAGTATAACACTGAATTCCTATTATGATTTATGATAACACTATGCAAACTTAGCGTTGATTTAAACACTAAATAGATCGGATTAAACGGGGCAGAGCGTTTCTTTGTGGGATCATTATCCAACTGAACGACCACTTTCCTCCTCCCCAATCGCGCTTATAAGATGAGATTCAGTCATTTGTCAGGTCAAATCCTCCCAATCAGGATAGATTATATGAATATTCTTTTGTCGGTCACATTTGGGATAATTTGTGACTCAAAAAACAGTATCTTACACGAAGCTCATAATTTCACAGGCCTTCGTGTATTCATTTTTACGGCTTAAAATGTGATTTTGATTTGTAAAAAATTCTGTCTATTATCGTTTTATCTCTGACAGTCGGTCCATTAGCGTGGAATAAACTCACTGGCATTTAGTGGCTTTGGTAGGATTAAAGACACGGCTGTATTATTATTTTACGTCCGTAAAATGTTGATCCTTTCTTTTTTAATACTATTTATTCGTCTTTGTCTTTAAATAAGGTGAGGCCATCTTGGGAATTTTGCCAAGATGAACCCGCTCTATTTTGTAGATTAAGCGTATGAACTCGGAACAAAATTTGCATCTATAATCTATGTAGAATATTTTAAAACGGTAAATAATGTATAAAAAAATATGAAATTGTATATTTTACATTTAAAATGTTTCAAAAGGTTTCGATGAATATTAATCAATATCAGATTAAAAAATAATTACAATAAAGTTCATGAAATGTGTTTTATTACAAATTTTTCAATATTTCAGTATTATTTTTAAGGAGTATCATTTACATCCAATCATCTTTCAATGTTGTTGATTGCTATGCGGAATTGAGTTTCCTTCCTATTTCTACAGTTTTTTTTTTTATTTTCACTAAAAACATTTTTGTCTACAATTGATCAATCATCACAATAAATTAAATTAAAAATTTCTCAGCTCTCACAAAAATATTTTTTACAATTTGCGACCTTTGATTGAGGTCGTTCTGCATAATAGCATCGGATTAAAGTTCACGGATCAGCTTTGTAAAACTTAATAAAGTAAAGTAATATTCTCGCACGACAACATGAGTAGTATTGACCCAGCCAAATTGACCTTATTTAATTAACTTTCAGTGTGTATACTCCCAACACGGCGCCTTACTGCATTTCTGCGGTATTTGGCTGTTAAAAAGAGAAAAAGTTTCTTTGCGGTTTTACGTTCGTTCGAAGAATGCATTCACATACAATAAATGTAAGAATAAATATAAAATTACATGGTTATTTATTCTTTACTTCGAACTAGAACCTGTATAAGAATCCACTGGATCCATTACTTTTGGAAAGAACGGGATCTCCCTGTTTCGGCATCGTGAATGTTAAAGCAAAATTTCTTTTTTGTGAATGACCTTCCATAAAATTGCAATGCAAAATTAAAGTTACTCCTTCGGAGTAAAATAAGTTCCGTTCGCATATAAAAGATACTTTCTTTATATGCTGATATGTGAGGAATGGAGAAAGTTTTTATTAAAACCGTCGAACCTGTGTTAACCCCATTTATTCGTAACTGGATTACACTTGCGGTCTCTCCCGTGTTGGAGAGGGATTGTTTAATTTTCTAATGAGAACGTTCCAGACACAGAGTGTCAGAGAAAGTTGGGAGTGTACAAGCATCAAACCAAACAAAATCGCTTCTGAAATTTTACGAGGGATAATTGGTCTATCTTCTTATTTCACTCCCCTTAATTGCTTTTTGCATTTTGCAAAAAATTGTAACCATATGTTTGTGTTAAAAAATAAAGCGTATCACTAAATTCACTGTGATGTCGGAATAGCTGCGATATAACAGGAATCTTTCGAGTAACAAGGTTCATACAGAGGGTGTATAATCTCGATATCTCACAAGGGATTGGTGTGGAATGCACCACATCAAAAGTATGCAATATGTATGAACACGAATCTTGCACTTTGACTGTCGTTGGTGTCAAGTCAGAAAGGTGTTTCATGCCCGATCATGGATCTCTATACCTACATTTACTTATGACACTGTATGTCATAATCGGTGATTTCAATAAGGTCATGGAGCAACTAAAGCAAGTTGATTGAACTCACGCGACTTGGTTAAATTTGATATCACGCATTTTTAAACATAGATATAATGTCTGACTATTTGAAACGTAAGCAAGCGCCAATGTGCTGAGGACTTTGGAATGGCAATATATAGACTCAACCTATTCACGCGGTCACCGATAAATGTTTCTTATCTAGTTGTGGTAAAATTGGAATCTACTTTAGTTTGGCTGCGTTTCATTAAATATCTTAGCGAATGTAGCAAAAACCAAATATATACAGCCAAAAATCATGTTGTACTTTGGAAACGAGTATAATTTGAAAACGTAAGCTTAATGTATAATGAAAAAGCTGCAAAAAAGGTCGATATCCATTAGACACGGTCAAATGGACCGAGAGCAAAAGTCAAAATGCCCAATATATCGCGTGAAATTGAGTTTGCCTCAAACGTAATTACTAAGAACTGCCTTGATTAAATTTATTTCTATGCAAATTAGGAGGTTGTGTCGCACGTGAAATAATCAAATATTTTACAATATATACCATGTGTTTCCCAAATGAATCAGTATCGACCATGTGACTGGTACTAATACCAAGAATCGGTTATTTATAAATCTTCCGAAAAATAGGCGATAGCATACAGAAAGAGCGTAACGAATGTATGTATGAAAATGTATTTTTATATCAATTTTTGGTTATCGTAGAAACAGCTATGAAATTATCAATATTAAAGGCTTATATTCAAATCAACCTGTCTCAATATACCTACCAGCCTGCCAAAACAATTTGGAAATTGTATATATATTGTAACAAGTATTTGTCTTTTGATATGATATTTTTTTCTGTATATTCAAAGAAAAAATTGGCATAACTAGAGTCATTTTCATCATAGCTTATAAGGGCACTGAGCAAAGTTACCGGTGCTCGGAAGGACCCAAGACATTAATAAATTTTTTCAGCAATTCTCAATTTTGTTACTGTTGTCACTAAACGTTAGTAGAGTATGCAAAACTCAATTCAATACAAATTTCAATTCCCGAATGTCTTTTTCGTTTAATTTTGGTATAAAATTACCCCAACATGTTTGAATTGCACATATGGGCACACTTCCTGTATATCAAAGCATTCAAATCCTGCCAATAGTAATAAGATTTGGGGTAACAGATTAGATTGAATTTTGACAAAGCGAGATTGAATTTGTCTATAGTTAATGCCTCTGTTGCAACGCTTGGTTCTAGCACAAATACAGTATTCCGTCAAACAATTCTCAAGAGAGTCGAAATGAATATGTTCAGTAAATCTATATCCCAGAAACATGTAGTTGTTCTCATTACCCTACCGCGTCGAATTGGCGAATAAACTTGTTTTCGTTAAGTGAATTCTGGGAACCTGTATTTACCCAACTGAGTCAGTCATGAGAACGTTTTCAATATTTTCTGCCTCAGCATTATGTGTAAAAACACTCATATTTCATATGCTTTCAACAGATTGTATAAATATAACAAAATTGCCCACGATAGTAATTTTAATATGTTCCCCATATATATTACAAATTTACTGCCGCCCGCGAAAACGCTAATGCACTTTTATTTAGTCTCTGGAGAGGCTGTGTCATAACTACGGACACGGTCCTCGGATGATAACAATTTCAACTGGACTGTCAGATCAAAATAATGATCATGTGTCCATTTATCGTACCCCACAAACCACGCCATTTTCTTGTCTATCGAAAATTTACATTTTTTATATAAATTTATCACTTAGATAGGGTGATTTTGAATGGCTCATTCAAAAATTTAAATTGATCTTGAAAGCAGCATGTTAGGCTGCGTATCTGAGAAATATGGCAATTGATGTTTTTAGCGAACTATCTAAGAAAGAGCGTGTTATTATCGGGTTATCTCAACAACTCTTACCTAACGGTAAAACACTGAAAATATATTATGCAGTGTCAGTGGGGTTTTATGAAAGATTGGTTGACATTAACTTAAAACTCGCAAGAGGGACAGGAACATTCCCCGACAAAATATATTATTGTGTTTATACCATAGAAAAGTAAAAGCCAATTTCGTAAACGCGATTGGAATAACGGTACAATAACCCAAACCATAAGATTGAAAACAATATTTTTCATTCACCACGATCTGATGAGTTGTGATCTCCTTGACGGACCAAAATTTTTGGAGCGATTTTATTCATAAATTTTGTTTTTACGAACAAAAATAAAGCAATACATAAAACATCATATTATAACAATTATTATTAATATTTGCTATGACGTAAATATTCAGCATAGAATGATGTGCTCACACATTTTTGAATGATTTGACTGTGCCTAACGAATAAGTTAATATATAACATGTTTATCATAACTTAAATCATTGATTCTTCCTATAATTTATTTTTTGGCCTTGCGCAGCAAGCTTATATTAAATAATTTATTTTGCAAGAAATAGGGAGATCTTCAGTTACCATATATCTAGTTTGTTCTTTGAATGCTAAGGTGAAACCAAATTTCTGCGTCAGTTGTATATTAAAAATGAATGAAAGAAATTAAAAATATAATATATATTCGAAATATACATTTATCCATATAACTGACAAATTGTATGAAGATGGATAAGTTTTCACAATCAAGATTTTGTACAACCAATACAGCAGTACTTTTAAACAAAATGGTGCGTTTTCCGTGTAGGCTATATAGCGTTATGGACGTTATTTTCTATTGCTATTTGAATATTTATATCGCTTTTATTAAAAAAGTGACCAAAACTAGTAATGGGGCATTTTTCAAATTAATATGCAAATAATTAAAAGGTCGGTATACTGGTACATATTTGTATCGTCATCACAAAGCATGGAATTCAATTTTCTGCCACGTTATATTTTAAGCCCTAAGACAAACTTGAAAAATTAGATGGGATTTCAACCTTCACATAATAATCGATTTTAATTCTGACTTAAATAAACTGATTTGCATAATGAAAATTGCACGTCTTGGGAGCTAATTTTCTTTGTATTCAATATATACTATAGTAAATTCATTCATGTTTCTTCTATAACCATATTACGCCAGCAAAACCTTTTTTGCTTTCATCTTTGATGATCGTTTTCGGTATTAATGAGCATAAGCGTTGTATCGACCGAAACACATCTTCGTCATTGTAGTAGTGAAAGCCGACACGATTTGGCCGTGATAGAACAAAAACAACAGAACCTTATGAATATGGATAATAACTTTTCTTGCGTAAACAACTGATAAATTTTAGAATGGTTGTGTTTTATGGATTACGCTGTCATGTTTGTCTTTTGAATACCAAAAACAGTACATCGAGAAATTGTTATATTGAGTATGTTTAATGTTGAATGGCGTTTGGTATCGAAGTAAAAACTGCAACTTTGTTACTACTGCTAGAAATTATATTGTATCAGCGTACCACTAAACTATAAGCAATAATCTATATATATAAATATACTTTTTTCAGACCGCCAATCTTGTGTCCGTATGTCTGGCATACGCGAACTCGAGTATCAACCCAATTCTCTACGCCTTCATGAAAGAAGAGATACGACAGGAAGGAACCGAAATGGTGGGGATCTTAAATTTATCAAAGATAAAATAATGAGATAATATTGACGTGAAAAATAAATTCTTAAAAATAATCTCAATCTTGCAAATAAACGCCCCAAATGTAACAAATGGAACTGAAGAAAAATGATACCAAACTTAGTTGACCCAAAATTTAAGTCGATTCACTCGAATTTTCTTTTTACTTTGATTATATACGTTGTTAGGGTCATTTCAAGCACCTGTGGTTAACTATGTGAAAGATTACGACGACAGAAGACCAATATTTAAAGGTCAAACAACTGAGCAATAATCCCAACAGACCATGCCTTTAACGACGCCATAAAATAAAATACAAAGATTAAATATGTGACAACAACAAATTGAAAAATAACCACGAAGCAATGTGACTATAAATATTCGACCTTTCTGGAGCAAAGTAACAGCAATATACTTTGTACAGAAATCAAAATAAAGTAAAAGGATTTTCTTTATTGAAATAAAAACAAGTTAAGTTTCGAAGTTTGTCTGTGTGGTAATGTAAAATTTTCTCATTAAATGTTTTGAAAACTTTATGAATATTTGATTAATAAACAGTTTCGAAATTGCAGATGACAAAAGGGCAGTAGTTGTTCAGACTTTTGAAATACGATAGAGAGTTATTTTTAAAAGACCAGCTGTTGCAAAACCATTTTGAAATAGCATTAGTGATCTTGAGTTTGAAGATCCTATTATAGTTTTCAGCATTTCTTTGGCTAGGTCCAAGCCAAGAACAAATACTTTTGTTTAAAATACAAACAGCAGGATCCATTACCAAATCAATAACACGAAAACGGAATACAAAACGCGACACGGCCTTCAATAAATTGATTTCGTTGTTAATTATGGTATCAAGTTCAATTTATTTAACACATAATTAATTGAAACTTGAAATCGTTAAACTAGAAGAATGGAATGAAGAAGACTTTTGTACTAATCGAAAAGTCAAAGTTGTGACATATTTAAAATAATTGAACAGTCTTCAACCTAAAAGCAATACCGGTAAAATTGATGTGCACGATATAAAACACTTTAAAATAATAATATGGTCCGTGAAATTGAATCAATCTTTATTTTAAAATATCGCTGGATGAGAACAGAACAGGCCTAAGTCATAATTTTAAGTTTTGAGAAAAACGCAAAAAAAACTTTTTGAATTTTTTTTTATTTTTGAATTTCTAGATATTCACACTTAGTAATAACCTGAGCTCTGGTTATTTTAACGTGGATGAGAATATCTTTGTAATAATTATTTTTGGGCACTTCAGCTTCAATTCCTTCCTGCTTTTTTATCCCCATAGAGGATTTTGGCCCATTCTGTTCTCAACAACTTCTGAAATTTTTTGTATGGGATGCAAGGTAAAACAAGGTGACTTAGGCCTAAGTTGCACTGAACAAATTTTTAGGGATGTAAGTTTCGGACATTTCATTTCTGATGTTCATGCCCATCATATTGGATGGAAGTCCAGCTAACATTTTTATTATTGAAAAATTCAGGATTTCAAGACCACCACCTTGTGAAGAGCATGGCCCAAAACCCCAAAATATTGAAAAAAGTGAATTTAAATGTGACTTAGGCCCCTTCTGTCCTCATCCGGCGATATAATTATTCTCACGAAATATCCAAAATTATATTTTCTCTCCCAAACTTAGATTAAAAGTTGGCATCCGTTAACCAAAAGCATTAATAATGCAAATAAAAGGGATTTGAATCAATAATCGGATAGCAGTTACCCCGAGCAATGGACCTATAATGATCAAGATCATAAGCTTGGTTCTCAGCATTGTATCGAGCTTAGTTGTCTTCTTCAGATTATTGATAAAAGCAAAAGTATATTCAAGTTTTGAAATGTTTTTGCGAATAGACTTTGAGGATAAGTTCCATTAAAAATTTATTTCACGCATTTCACAGTGCGGGTGAAAAACTTTATAAAAACACTTTAACAATTTTGTAATCGACACCTCTTTCTAATCAGTTATTGATCAATTCGAAGGGTTCAACTCAAATTAAACTAGAAAATTGCTACCTTGATCAGTGCACTCTACCCCCTTGATTATATATTACAAAGTGTCTAACAGTAGGAATCTCAACTTAAAAAGTGTACAAAAATTATTAGAAAATATATCACAATTACATAAAGAAATTCACAGTGAAGTTCTCACGAAGAAAGTACCAAAAATATTTGTTTACTGAGTACTGAATTCAGTAAGCTGTTTTCCATTAATGCTATTGGTTTACGATTAATTGAAATTACTTCGAAATACCAGAGTAGCAAGAAAACGTTTCTAGCAGTGACACCATCGGTCATTTTACGAAATGAAGTGATGAATTATTCAAACCTGAAAGTTACCGTTTTGGATCTTATCAGTATATCGGCGATAGGAAATTACAGCGTTTTGATAAGATCTATTTCACACTTTGAAGTAGAAACCACATCCGTGAAAAGTTTTACTGCATGTGCATTGCTTTTTTCGAGAATAGACGAAGAATATCTTAGAGAGCAAGCTCCCGTCATTTATTTTAAAAGGGTCGAATACTTAAGGGACATAATGATTTATTTACGAATTCATCATCAAAGTACAGATTGCAGTAAAACGAATGACCAATAATCATGAAATATAATTGGAAGGGAACGGGCAAGACTGCAACGTCAACAAGGTCGACCGACCCCTAATTGGATCGCGAACCTCTTCATTCAATGGTAAAAATTATATTTTCATTGTGGAAAAGAAGACCATGGGTCATAGATATTTCATCAAAGTTTGCAACAATGCGAAACTTGCTGTTGCATCTTTTCCGCAACTCTTATTATTCTTGTTTGCTATTGTGATTGTGTAGTTTTGAGCTTTACACATGCCCCACTTACGTCATGACTGAGGCAATTTCTCATACTCGACTACGAAATTCAATACACGGATTCGCAAGCTTTCTAGATATAGGACAGATTCGACAAAGCTGAGTCAAGGTCAAGGTCGCGATTCGAATCTACCGAGTCTGCGGTGTCATAATGGAAACGTGAAAGACAAATTCCCGATATTGCTGCAACACCGTCAAAATATGTTTTTTCTCGTATCTATTTTCCAAACATTCCCAGTCTTTAACTATTTTGAGACGCGTGTTTCTCATTTTTTGTTTTCGGTCCCAATATGTTGACAAATGTCACCATCAGTGGCGGCGCGTCAATAGGGACAACCGGGACAATGCCCCGGTTGTTTTTTCGGTATAATAAAAAATATTCGAAAAATACCTCAATATCGGTTGCACAGACTGTCTACACTAGCCATATTCTACCGGCATGGTTCATTTTTCGCTCGCAAAGCCTTCGCCGAACGTCGACGGGGCGACGCCGATTTTGCCCCGGTTGCTCATTGTATATCGTATTCTCTCTTTTATCTTCCACTCGCCGCGTTTGTCTCGTTTGTTTTCTGTTTCTTTTACTAAATCATCGGGGCCGATCGGGGCTAGCCCCGAAATTATGACGACACAATGCCGACGTTTCTTACAACAACGTGTTGACATATTCACGCATTCCTTCGTTGCTCGTTCATTCGTTGGTTGCTTGAAGAGTTGGTAGTTTCCTCGCCTTCGTTTTTGTCGCTTGTTTCGCTGTTTGAATCAGTTAGAGACCTTTAGTCCATTTGCTTTCGATTTTCCACATTCCTTTTGAGCTCCTCACTTCTTTCCGGCTTCGCATTTCTTAGCCTTAGACCTCATAATGAATAAGGTTGATGCACTACTTCGCACTCCGTTTTCGCAGTTGCCGCTGGAACAAATATTAGAGGTACAACGTCTTGGGCCTTATCAACCAAAAAATTGTTCACTGGAACAATCCCATGACGGAGGAAAGCGTCGGCGTACATTCTGCGCAGAAACTTGGTATAAAAAACACGAATGGTTGTGTTACAGCGAGGACAAAAATGCACTTTTTTGTTTTTATTGCCTACTTTTTGCTACCGCCCGTGACTCACGTTGGTGTAAATTTGGTTTTAGAGATCTTAAACATCTTTCCGAGCGTGCCAGGGATCATCAATCTTCTATGGAGCATCTGGACAATGCAGTAAAATACCGAACATTCGGAAATGTTAATATTGCAGCACAGTTGGATGAAGGACGCGCGGTTTCTATTCGTCGGCACAATCAAAACGTCGAGAAAAACCGCCATGTTCTCGGTCGATTGATAGATGTTTTGAAGTTCATTGGTTGTCACGAGCTGTCCCTCCGTGGGTCACGATGGACGGGCTGGCTCTTCTAATAGAGGGGTATTTTTGGATATGGTGGAATACACCGCATCCCGAGATACAATATTGAGAGATCATCTTGATGCCGCAACTGTTTCGAAAGGGACATCTAAGGATATCCAAAATGATTTGCTCGACTCAATGTATAAAATTTATTTACAACATTTGGCTCTGGAAATTGAGAATTGCCAGTTCCTTTCGATTCAGTCTGACGAGACAACTGACATCACGTGAGTTTCCCAACTGGCTGTGATTTTTCGGTTTGTGAAAGATGGTAAACCTACCGAGAGATTTCACAGTTTTGTACCAATCGTTGATCGCACAGCTTGCGGGATATCGGCTGTACTGAAAGAAGTGTTACAGCCTTACAACGCGTAGTCAAAATTGATAGCTCAAACTTATGACGGCGCGGCAGTCATGAGTGGGTCGAAACATGGTGTTCAAGTTTATATAAAAGAAGATTTTGCTCATGCGCATTTTTTACATTGTTATGCACACCAATTTAACCTCATTATTAAAAATATGTGTCTTGATACCCCTCTCGTCCGTATATTTTTTGCAAATGTTTCGGGGTTTTCTTCATTTTTTTCCGTTTCGCCGAAGCGCTCTGACCTCCTTCGCCAGATATGTAGCCGCCGTCTCCCAGCTTGTGCACCAACACGTTGTAACTTCCAATCACGCGTGGTGCAGGGCGTGTCCGAAATTAGGTCTGAGCTCATTGAGTGTTTCAATGGCATTCAGAGCTCTCCGGTTTGGGACGAACGCTCTGTGAGGGAGGCGGCAGGTCTAAAGCGTCTGCTAGAAGATGGTGAGTTTTCATTTTTTTTCGCTTTTTTCTCCACAATATTCTATCACGTGGATGTATTATACGGCGCATTGCAGTCAAGGCTAATGGATGGAGCGTCTGTGCAGTCGTGTATTTCAGACTTCTGCGATGCTGTATCTCGTATCCGGGAAACAATAAAATACGACGACACATGGAGTGCTTCTTCACGCCGCGGGCAAACAACGCAGCGTTTGATTTTGTCTGCAAAGGAATGCTGTGACATTCTGGTGAATCAAATAGGCGATCGTCTGCGCACTGAACACCTTGCCGCGTTCTCTTTGATGAACCCCAAAAATTTTTCAAAATTTGCACGTCAATTTCCCATCCATTTGTTGGCTACTGTCTCCAAATTTTACCCCATGATAAACGTGGGTAAATTGGAAAATGAATTGCGATGTATATACAGTAATCAAAATTTTTTGAACATCACATCAACTTGCGCGCTCTATGGGTTCCACATTGATAACACTCTAGTAACTACCTTTGCGGCGTCTGCAAAATTTCTGGACATTATTTTGACGACGCCTATTTCTTCCGCCGACGCAGAGCGAACATTCAGCACGCTGAAGCGTATTAAAACGTATCTCAGAAACACAATGAAGCAAGATAGATTAAATTCCTTGGCTGTTTTATCCATTCACAGAGACGTTATTTCTGGGATGCATGACTTTAATCAGCGCGTTATTGAGCATTTTGCTTCCAAGAAACCGCGGCGTGTTGCATATATGTTCAAGCAGTAGAAGTCTAGCAGCATATATATCTATGAGTGAGTGACGCATGTCCTTATCTTTGCATTAACTTTCCTTTCTTCATAGTAACGTTTTAAACCTTATTTTAGGTTTTGTCTGCTTTCCCGAAGTTTCTGTTAATATGTCATTGTATTTATCTGGGTAAATATTGCCTTTCCTTTTGAAAGAGATTTCAAAATAAACTATGTCTATATTTATTAATCCCTTGACTTGGACCGGTTTTAAAGACACTTTCTTATCGTTAAAAATTGTCGCTTTTGCCGATTGGTTGTTACCGATGGAATGGTTTTTATACTCATAAAATGATGGGAGAACTTACAGCGATCATCCTGTCCCCGTAGATGGGGGTGACTTGGTCCCGCAGTAGCTTGCCCCGGTTGTCAAAATGACCACGCGCCGCCACTGGTCACCATGATTTTAAATCCGGCTTTTGTTAGTATTAGGCGCCTTTTAGCACATCTGGTGCAGTGATGCCTTCATTACTTGATCCTCCAAATCAAAAATGCGTAATTCTTAGATGTGAATCTCAAAAAACACAGTTTTCGCTACGATACGTCCCCGTAATTGCCAAAAAATTAGCTGTTTAGTTAAGATAACTAATTAAATGGTGAGGCACTGGTTGTCATACGGCAATACTGACAGAAAGTTTTATTCGGAAATGAATTTACACTATCAGAAACGGGTTTTATCAACTAAGATATTTTCCTGTATTAGTTTTGGGGCATTCTGAACTTTCGCTTGGCTTCGTACCGGTGAGAGGTCGTTTTATATGCTGCATTTCTCAACATGGGTTAAATGACACTTACTGTCAGGAGGGTGAACGTAGATTGAATGATTTTATAAACAAACGATGATATTTTTGGAATCTGGGTAGAGTGGTGCTGACTCCCATAAGGTTGACTTAAAATCGCTCAATCGAGTAAAAACGGAAAACAGATGATATGGCCTATTTAACATGGCCAATGCCTATTTGAAACTCGATGTTGAATCAGAATGCTTGGTCATAGCAGTAATCATTATAGCTACAGTATTCTGCTTAATAATATTGTTTTTGTGGTTTCGAGAAATAATGTTCATAATTTGAAATCCAATGGGATTGCAATTCCTATTTGAGATTGCATGTTGACTCCAAATATTTGTTTAAAACAGTAATCATCAGTCAAAATGCTACGGGACCATCGCGCTAAATAATATTATTGTCTGTGGTTACTCTGTTTTGAGTGATTTTGTAAAAATGTATTTCTAATCAATTCGGTGACACGTGTATATGATAAAAATAGTTAATGTGGTACGCGGCATCAATACCGTTGAGGAATACTGCGGTAGATTAGTGCTTGTCCATAGCATGTCGTGAAGCTACTAGTGGTTTATTAGTTCATGTATTGATTTCTAAAGTTACTCACTGCTGAGATTTACTGCCTTTGAGTTGCATGTGCATTCATCATATGTCGTACCAGAAGCCTATCGATTTTAGATGAATTCTGTCGTATAATTAGCGAGTTATCAATTAATTAGTGATGGGACACAAGGTGTCACTATGAAGTAAGAGCGCTGTTTTGGGGGATCCCCCCAACTTTCGATCGATAAGTCTTCGGTCCAGTGGCGTAGCAAGACTCTCGTAGCAAGACTTATCGTACATTATTACACTTTTTTATGCTTTCAAAATAGTTTGGAAGGAAATTCCACTGTGGAATAAATATATTTTCGGATCAATAGCATCCCCATGTATTGTCATTTCAGATTTCTTTTGTCTTTAAATTATATCCATAAAATTATGTTTTTCAAACTTGTATACCCCACAAAACATTCTGTGGCCCTCTTGCACACCCGAGAAGGGAACAGCGGTTACAAGGAGAAGTTGAGGGAAATGAACTTGTATTGTTATGTCATGAATAACTGCGGCATACTGGTATATTATAGTATAATGTTAGATTGAATTAAAGCCAGATTCGTTATCAATTTTTATTACTGAAATGTTAATATGTTTTTTTTTGCGTGAATTTGTGACTTGGAAAAAAACTTGATAGATTCGCCATCTCTGTGATACCTTATGGCCTTAGGCCTAGCTTTTAACCATACATCAGAGCAACACAATAGCAAAAAAAAACATGTTTTCATTGTAGATTTTCAGGAACAGCAATAATAAAGATTTGCAATCCAATTTAGGTTTTCTCAAATCCATGAAAACATTAATAGAAAGCGATAAATAATACTAATATTGATTGCAGATTGTAAGATTTTTCACCTGCTGTAAAAGAGAATCAAGAAGCGATTTTAGAGGACCAAGCGTTACTTCTAAGACCCGTGGGCTCAAATTATCTTTCTGGCGTTCAACACGTCACACCATGATGGCAGTTGTGCCGCGCCACTCACAGGCCGAAGTCGAAATGAAAAGCAATCTTGACAACCAGCAAGTTGATAAAGAATGTAAAAATGCTGATGGTATGCTATCCTAAACTATTCTTATTTTTTCTCAAACAAACACCAGACAAAACAATACTCGTTCGGACCAACTTTTTTCGGTCATTTTATAATTTTGCTTCCATGTGTAATTTACATGTATATTCTTTCACTTCACAATTCTGGTGATTCCCTATAATGTTATACATACAGTATAGAGAAAATGGTGTCAAGGTAAAACGAATCTAAAATAATGAATGAAAAGCACCATTTCAAAACACACCCATCCCGAAATCAACGCGAGATTGTAAATGTATAGCGATTACATTTACTTTACCACCAGGCGGTAATTATCAAAACGGACCCAACGCCTTTTGTACATTTTTAGTTCTCACAGCCCTTGTTAAGCATCCCGGGCCCCAACCTGAAAATAAGTATTCTACACCAGCTTTGGATGTGCAACTACACCAACAGGAAGAGGAGTCGCCTTTATAGACAACGTTAGACGTGCACTTTTGGTAAGATATGCCACACAAGGACTGCGTGCCCGTAATTTGTATTGTGCAGAAAACATAATTGGATATATAACGAGTCTGTTGTTTGCGAATGGGATTTATAATCTAGTGTAAAACAAACTACGCTCAAAAATTTGTTTAAAGCAATTTCACAGCACTAATTCCAAACTGAAAAAACGCGTGCATCAAAAATGTGAAGAGCAACAAAGAAAGCCAGATAATTTAGGGGTGTTCCCACAGAACGCGTGTTTCAACATAGCATTCAAAGTAAACTATAACCCAAGATTATGGATAACTCATAGAATCCGGTATAATAAATACCAAATGTTCGATTTCGGTAATGTTTTGACTTTTATGTATTTAGCTACAATTAGTAATCATTGCCAAACTAGGAACACGGTTCATTAAATTAGGAGCAGAATCAAAAGACTCATCTCGTCAAATACATTACACAACAACATGTATTAATATGACAAATTATGGATGAAAGTTGTTGGAATACCCCGGAGAAAATGATTGATTAAAAAAATTCTCATTTCAAATTCTCCTTCCTTGGGTAAAAAAAGTGCGACGTAGTTTTATAGTTATGAACAAAGATTACATAATACTTATGAGAAAATGTAATTGCCCTCTATAGATACAATTTCCTTGAATAAATAAAAGTAAGCACTGTTAGACATTTTAAAACAAGAAATCGTATGTGTTCGACGCTACTATTAAGATTTCACAATATAAAAAGCGTATATTCAATTAGCAAATATAGGGAATCCTAATATGTTAAACGGAATTTTGTTTAAAATTTAAATATAGGGTTTGGATGATACAATCAAGTTTATCTGCTGGTGAAAGTGCTTTGGACTTGGTTTTTTCAAAACTTTGATATATATGTGTATCAGGCCTCAGCATATGTTGTTTTACAATTCAAAATCGTTAGACAGTGTACATTAAGTTGAAGAAGGGTAATAGAGCGTGTGTAAAGTTATGAACAATATTTACCATTTGTATAATTCTAATGCACAGACTCGTTCATTGAAGACACCAAGAAAAGCGATAATTCGGGTTCCTCATTCCCGACTACACCTGGTATAACGGTTGTTAACAATGGACACCATACATTCGATGTTTTTCGAGACGACTCAAACGACCGTGAAAAAGTTAATCTTGTCGTAAAAATGGATGACATCTGAATAAACCACCACACTGAATTGACGTTTTCTTTCCTTGTTTTGTGGCTGATTGACATACAGTTCTCACAAAATTTTTCAATAAACAGTGGAGAAAGATTATATATACATAAAAAATTGTATGAACCAACCATTTCACCAGTTTTCCAGGTGTAATTAAAATATATATTATAGAGAATAGATATTACATCACCATCCCGTTCTTCGTTATGTTCTGTCCATGTCTAAAACTGGATATAAGATACAGCCTTCAAAATATCACGAGTATCAAATTCATTTTTGTCTTATTCCCGGTCAGCGGCGTCTTTCCGAACCTAAAAGGATTCTCAAGCAAGAATAGCTAGTTAGATATTAACTAGGGTATGATCTGATAAGTTTGATAAGGACAAGTAACTCAAATGGGTTTTAGCGCAATCCTTTATTGTGTCATGTATCAAAATCCACTAACTTGCCCAGAACGTATAATATATAGTGTGTAGTTTACGTTTTATTGGAAAGTTACTTGGAAATTTCAATTTATCAGTAAATTCTGCACACTTTGTTGCAGATTACATCTTTCCTCAATGAGGAGTGTTCTATGTGTATCAAATGTCAATTCTGACTGAATGTGTGAAAATAATTCGAGTATTATGTATTAGACAATAATAATATTAAAACAGCGTCAATTTTATATTCTAAGATAAGTAGTTTTTAAGTCCCTCTTTATTGGGTGAAGTATTTTAATTTATACTGTGCTTCCAAAATTACGCAAAATCAAAAATTGTGGAATCGTTGATAACACTTTGGCTTTACATTGAATTTTTTGCTTAAATAAATCGTTAAAACTTTTTCCTATTAATTTTATTTATGATGATATTGTTTATTTACTGACATATTTTTGGATTTTCAAAAATAAAATAAGTTAGCAGCTGTATAGTGTACAGGTAGCGTCAATTCTTCATTCACTACAGATAGTCCATTCTTCATTTTGAGATTCTTAGGTACTGAACTATTTTTGCATATAAATTAAGTATGAAATCAATTAAGCGTACGCCCATTCATTCCATGATTGGTCCAAACAGAGAATGTGGACTTTGAACGGAAGTGCCACTAATTTTTATCTGATAATATAATAAATATATATATATACTCATAAATACATGGGTATTGGAAAAAGCGTGCGTGGATTAAATCTCTAGGTCCGGATGGCTGGGAAACGTTACCAACCAGCACATTGAATTTTATATCTAAATATATTATATCTTAAATGCGATGAACAATGCTATACAAACCATGAACTTCGCAAAATATTTTTTTGGAATTCAAATTTCTGCACAAAGCTCTTTTAGCATGCGTTACTATGAGACCAATCTGACGTTGTTTTTGAGAATATCGTAAAAGGAATTCAACTATAGAGAATATATGTTGATCATAAAGGGGATATTTGGGATATAACGGGGTAGAAGTTATATTTGAAACTCAGCTTTGACTGATTGCAGGAAATATTCAGTACTTGTTTCTGCCCTGTCAACTATTCATTTTTCGAGAAGTCATCAGGTCAATGACGGGAAGTAATACACACTCCGAAAAACACCAGATTGCTCAGTTAGGCTTCCAGTGTCATTGCCCATAAAAGAAATGACTTCTTCACTTTATTCCAAAGTATGTCAACCTGAGATTTATTGGGTTTAGCATAAACGAAAATCTCACCTACACACTCGATAAATTTTGAATATTTGAAAATCTACATGTGATAGTGCTACGCAATCAATAAATCAGGTTTTGCTTTCTGTCACCAATCTTGGTCGGATTGTATATTGTCCAGAAGGTATACTGAGTTAGGGACATTGGCCACTCTAACTAATTTCAGTTTAAAATTATTGTTTATTTTCTTGAAATATCTGATTTAATAAAAGATTTGCGAGTTGTCTCTTTCGGAGATTTTCAAACCGTGTTTATGTAACGGCATCGTAACATCCAGTTACTTAATTTATTTGCATTATCAATATGATTGTTAGTTTGGGCTTGCATACGCCTGGTTTGTGGGTAAGCTTTATGGCTACAGACAGCCAAGTCACCTGTAGCCACTGTTTTACGCAACATATCATCCTACCCTTTAGAAATTTTACCCAGTCGCGCCTACAACAACGACTCAAACGCCATTTCACAAATGCCACAACCTGTGCGTCGCCCCTTTTTCTATGAGAAAAATAATCCTATATAGCAGTGGTTCCCAAACCGTGGGTCACGTGAAGATTTTCCGGGGTCGCCTGATTTCTGTCGAACATGCGCACACAAGTGACTAAGATTTGAAAGTTGGAAAGCGAAATTTGTTTTCGTCGGCTGGTATCGTAAAAGTGCCTGATTTCGGCCGATTTTCAGCAATAATTCGACCATTTATTGTCCAAACGGCGCCAAAATTGCTCAATAAAACTTTCATGTGTACCCAACCTTTTCGGCTGGTCGGCAGGTATCGGCATTAGTAAATGTAATTGAGTGACAGTGTTACGAGCGCCAATAATATTTTCCTCATACTTTTTTTTTTTGATCATGTTACATTCCAGTAGTTGACCCGCTGGTACGCGAATCGGCCTTTAACCAGGTGTTTGACAAGTATGGTATTGATTGCCAGGCTGTGTCTTGGTCGATTAATTTCACTTTAGTTTTCGATCAGTTGGGCTATTCCAGGTGACTTTAAGGGGCAATTCCAGAAATTTTGCTTGTTAGATGCACTATATGTTTACATTTCCAGCTACATGTTTTGTGTTTTTGTTCAATCAGTTGCTTTATGGGGTTGGAACAAAATTGCACAAAACTTACACACAAGACTTAGTATATATAAATATTTAGTAAAATACGGGAAACGGTAATACGGGTACGGTAAACTACGGGACAACAATTCCACCAGGCATTACCGTTTCACTGTATTGTGTTGTAAATTATCACAATGGTACAGCAGGAGCCCATACTATTTTATGGTGCAGTAGCTGAAGAACACCTTTATGTGTTGCTCAAGTAACTTAATGTAACAATGTAGATCGATGCCAATAATGGGCACAATGTATGTGACACTACGGGACATTAGTCCACTTTGGAACAGCAGCCCCTATCATCTCTTAGAATTCTGGTAATAAATCGTTAGATAGATGAAAACATTTCCTACAGCACTGCAAACACCCAAGCTTTATTAACTCAAGTTCAGTGCATCTATTTTAAATGAAATAACTGTACCAGACAATCAAACACTAGGTGTTACGATTCTTCACAAAACATGTCGATTATATCAAAATTTCTATATTTCAGGCCACTTTGTGTAAATTATCAAAAATCTGGGTGAAATTTTAACTTTCTCGATGAAAGAAATGCAATCCAATAAAATTCAAGTGTATTTTGATTTAAAAAAAAATACAAAACAATTGCCATTGTCACTACACTTTTAAAAAAATATATGAAATTCAACAGTTGCTTGGAATGGCGCAGTTGCGAAAGCGCTTTAATTCGCGCACGTGTCTAAATTCTACGAGTAGGTTATGTACGTCTCTTTTGTCCACATCGCTTCCACATAAAAGTGAACGTTTTCGTATTGCAATATTACGTACACTGCTGGAATATGCTAAATAAGATTTTTCATTTATTTATATATATATTTAGAAACAATCTTACTATTTCCGAAGTATCGTAGGCTTCCTTACGATCCACCACATTTTATCAAGTCCGTCTATGTTTCGCAGAAGAACTGTCATAATTCTGATCTAAGATATTTTACACCATGGTTTTCATACGATGCCGTGTGTTTTCAAAATATTCTGAAGTTTTCCGGCGCATTGTCGGACTTGTTTGTATATTTTTTTGGGACAATGTTCAGCGTGAACGTCCACCTGCGGTCAATATAAAGGTAGGCTACACTGTTCCCGTTGAGGCAATCGAAACTGATATACTGATTTTTGAAGTTGCTGAACGTTTTTAGTTGTGAGTTCGCGAGTATTTGTAATCTTCGATTTTATGAAAATTGGGGTCGCGAAAAAAAAGGTTTGGGAACCACTACTATATCCCTCAGACCGCTCAAATCCCTGCCCATTTTATGGGTATTTTTAAACCTATTTTTTTTTGTCAACCATTGAAGCATACTGTTAATATGACGTTTCAAGTCACCCCCATAAAGGCTATCCTAATGGAATTGAATTTCCTTCATACCGCCAGTGTAATGCAGTAACGTATATGCAGTATACTCATTGCAAAGTTACCTATTTGAAGTATAGTGTTATGCCGGTAAATTTCTCCCGTTAGCCAGCAGTTCAACCATAAAGATTATTTGAGTGGCACATACAACTCAATTACCATTATGCAAGACCTATATTTCGCACGACAATGTTTGTTAATCTACGAAACAAACAGCTTAGCTTCGACGATTAACAGATTTACAATATTGTTTGCAATGGTCCAGACATCTAACTAGTTTCTTTGTTTGCGAGTCTGTTGTAAATAGTAGCACACAAATTGGACTTTGACTCATTGATCTATGTCGAGTTGCTATTCGCTTACCAAGCAGTTAAATACTATCAAACTTTTTGCGGCGATTGCCACATTCCACATCATAACAGTCAGTTCGCTGCGGTATAGCCAACAACATATCCTAAATGGAAAAACACGGAAAGCCATTTCGTTCACGATCATTCAGTTTTGGTTCACTGCGCACAAAAAGGCCCGGAAGTATCGAAAGAAACCAGCTTCTAGATGTCGTGACATCAGTTCCATTTAACAACATGGGTAAGTCTTGACATTTATCTATAATTCGTCGCTTATTATTTCTAAATGTTCAGAAAGTCTTCACAGTGCAGCCGATCATTTATCGGCAGAAAGATTGATAACGAGAGCAACGCATGCGCTTATTTGAGTAATGCCCCATTCGGTTATGTGAATGGACCAGTCATATTCGAGTCACTTGTTAATTTAAAATAACAGTCAAGGTAGGCTAGAAAAGTGGCAAAGGGAACAGTCTAACTAAATAGGCTAATGATAACATTTAGTTTAACATTTTGGTTGGTGTGAACTAGATGAAATTCCTTATACAGATGCGCGGGACACAAGCGCACCACGCAGGAAGAATTCATTTTGTGAGCGATGGAATAAGACGATGCCATATCACGAAATTAAAGCTTACAACAAACATATAGAGATGAAACAGACCTATTTGCCTGGCAGGTGGGATTCTATATATGTGACTATCTTCGGTGATGCAAGTTTGATTTCTCTGCACTTCATAATTTAGCTGTTAAAATTAGTTGTTTTATATATAAGGTGGCTTTTTGAAAGCAAATTGCGAATTATAGGATAGTGTTTCCTTATAGTACAATACAATTTTATTACGATGAACATAAATTTTTCAGAAGCGTCTGTCGATATATTTGCAACATTTTAAGATTCGTTGCCACAATATTGATTTCTGTTGCCTTTGCATTACATCTCCAATATCACTGGCAAATGGGAAATTATGCGGTAGAAATTATTGTTGTCAGTACCACAGGAATAACATCGTTCACGTTTGTCGTGATTTTATATATTTTCTTTGGCTTGAAAGGTGAGATATTAAATGTAGCATCACTTTCATCATCATTTTTTTTTCTTCAAACGAGGTCTCGAGCCCTGGGATTGGTTGAGAGAGTTGCAACAAAGATTTTAAAGGATGCCAGAAGAAGACAATACGTGTGCTGGTCCAGAATCCCCCTCATCTCGTAATTTGGTGAATACGTAGTCGAAAGAACCCGGTAGTTTCCACTGGAAATGCTCAATCACTATTTTTTTTATTTTTTTCAACGTTCTTCAAGTTTCTTCTCTTGTGTTTATTATGATTCCGAAAGTGGTCATGTATGGGATGTTTTTTTCGTGAATTTTATTATATAAACCCTTAATTTAATATGAATTATATTTTGCAGCATTTTCTCGAAGTATTGTTCATTTCTGGATCAGTCTGATGTATGGGATTCTATTCATTCAGCAGACACATTTAAAACTTCTGAATAAAGCAATTTTGATTTGTGTACTTTTCAGCACAGCTATAAGATGCTTTTGTTCGTTGGCAGAAAGAGTATTCAAACTGACAATGCACAGGTAATTGTCAAATACACAACTTTAATTTTTAGTATGTCACCTCAAACTCGTGAAATATTGTACATCCATATATATACTAAGTTTTTTGTTTGTACAGATCCCAATTTCTTTCAAAAACAGAACTTTGTGATTTAGTTGCTTTTGGAAGCACTTGTTTTCTTCTACCTCCTCAAAAATGCTTGGATTTAATACTGGAGATAGGAACTTTGGGATTCATTGTGATGCATCTGCGGATGAAGTCTCCACTTTGTATAGTCACAGTTCTTATTTACGGAATCGTAACTGGTAAAATTATTGATTTGTATATTCCAAAACGCGTTCTCAAACGGTGATGCTAGTTTTTTTTTTATAGTGACACCAACAATCTTAACCACTTGGTTTATTAAGCAATTGGTCCAGTATAGTTTAACAAAAAAGCGATTTTTTCAAAATAACAACAAGAAGAAGAAAAATATTAAGAAGAATATTAACAACAACAAAATAACAAAGCGATCAATATGTCCACTTCGGGTCCAATAATCATGCTATTAGGTTACAATGAGGCGGCCGTAAAATAGCTAGCGTCCATGTTTGCTGTTTTTCTTCTATTCAAACAAGAAACTGTCTCAAAAAAACTAGCTATGTTTAACAATTTTATTCTAGGAATTTCCGTTCTTGGCAATCTTGGAGTGATAACAAACAAATATGCTTTCATATGTTTTGTTGTAAGAATGTTATGGGACCCTATGTTGGATCTATTTTTCTCCAAGCTCCAACCACTTACACGATGGAAATGTTTCTTCAACATACGACGGTAAGATATGCTCTTTATAAAAATTTATAGACCACTATTAATGTGTTGTAGTAAATCGTAATACTGTATATATATATATATATATGGTATATTTGATCTATTTAAATAAACTGGTTTCCCTGTTCGGCCTCTGTTCTCACGAAAGTTAAACTTTTTTACTTAGTTTGTTTGGAAGAAATGTGTTATTCAAATTAAAATAATTTCACAAAATTCAAATACAATAAACCCTTTTTCCATTAACCATTATGTGTTCTGCAGTGAATATAATCTTTGCTGGGTAAAATTGGCGCGTATCTGTTTTGAAATTTTATAGTAGTAATAAGTTGATTTGCGACACTTTGTCGACATAGCAGCTATTTATAGTAGTATATTCTACTGTAATGCTACTTCAATGCAAAAATCGTTGGCAATATTGGGTTGCATGTTTTCATTTGAAAATGAAATTTGAATTTGAGGTTGCTGTATTTCAGGGTATGGATTTGCTTGTTCTTCTTTTTTCTGCTGATAGTTGAAATCGTGTTTCTCCTTGTTGCACTCCAGGTACATTTTAAAATATTTATTACCGGTACATCGGTCCAACCTGTAATATCTAAAAACACGACATATTCACGTAAAACGAAGTAAGCATTTGTTGCAAGTAACGAAACTTTGTCTGCCACGGAGTTTACTCTGCAGAATTTTTTGATACTCTCATTCCACACTTCATGCCTCGTCTTGAAATTCAGTTTTGAATAAACAGGGCCAGATTTGACGTACCATCGTACAAAAAATAGCATCTATAAATATTTATTGACCTTCACAAAACATTTTGATTTTACAGGCGATAACAATGCACGCCAAATACGAGTGGCCTGTATTTCTTCCATTTGTTGTTATTTCTACCCTGTCCTGGCTGGCAATGCACTCAACTTACTTTACGATGCAGGTATTGCGACTTCTACATGTACCTGCTACAATTCTTTTCATATTGCTAAACGATATTTGTCTTTCTATCCTTAGGTGCCATTTCTTAATAGAGTCTCGAGATGTCAACGATTATTGGAAAACTCAAAATTTGAAGAAAAAACTCTGTACCAAGTTTTATCAAGTCAAGGTGATGCAGTTTACAACATACAAATGTTTTAAGTAAATTAGGAATCGTGCTCGGTAAATGTGTACCCATACCTTGCTCCTTGACTTTAAATTGACAACCATTCCATGAGGCTGCATCTAAAGAAATCTTTCCCTTTGTTCAGGTGTAAAGTTTCTTTGTGGAACTTGTCATGGCGTTACATCAGGATGTGTATTCGGCACTGGAATATTGGGAACAGTTTGTTGGAGAAGAAATGATGGAACATATCCAGCACTATTTCTCTTTTTGTTAACGATCGAATCTTTGTCATTAGCGCTGTTTGCACATCTGGCAACCTATCTACGTGGAACTTCTTATGGATATGGCATAGTAGCTTCATCGGACAACCATTCGAGGTAATGGCTATGGTCTCCAATGTCTACGATTTAAGCATTTCATGAGAATGCATCATGTTGTTACAATCGATTACTTCTTCAAAGTTGAGAACTGTGTTTTTTTGCGAGAAAACTGTACTCGACTAATGAATTTGATGCATTCTGCCTCATGCTCTTTCACGCAAATACAATTTGGTGATGTGCTTTGGTCAAAATAAATATGAAAGCTAATGGTCGGTGGTAAGCGCATGTGGGATATTTGATAAATGGTCATGTAAAGTTTAGATTATGAAGACTCCATGATAAACACTAATTCAAGAAGATTTCCCGTATTTTGCTTTTTTTCGATTCCTCACGAAAATCCAGTGAATTATAATTAGCTTGATCGCGTTCGTTTCATCTCCCATCGAGGGACAACCAAATAAGAAATCATGAACCGTATATAAACTACCCCACTGCAATTCTTGAAAACCTACCTCAGTCAGAGCACATCCATATTACGTGTAACCGAGTATTCACATTATAAATAATTTTACAGAAACAAGCTTAGCCTGACCCTACCATCAAGTTCTACCGAGGTACAGACGATGTCCGCAAGTCGTATGATGAATGCCATTCAGCAGTGAGTTCTGTTATCTATCACTTACCAGAATGAATTTCTTTCGAGCATATCAAGATTGACATATATAGTTCATTTTATCGTTGTAATTCACTCATACTTTTTAATAAATTTTCAGCTTTTTCCGAGATCAACTCATTGATAGTCTTGGATGTGATTGTTGGTCACGTGGAGCAAAGTTAACTCTGTCATCTGTTGAAACTAAACTTGCACTTCTTTTCTCAAAACGAACTTCCCGTGACGAAGTTCCGTACGATAACTACGTTATTTACTTTAATGGAATCGCTGATGAAAATGGATCATGGATATTAGCAGGTATAGATTAAGTAGAATTTCTATAAAACACACACTTATCTTCCTAAGATTTTTTATACCGTCCAACAAAGCTGCACACTAGACAAACAGTCAACACACGCCGATTCTCGTAGAATAGTTTGATCGCCAACATTGACTCAAACCCAATCCGGGATGTCAACAACGCAGGATCATTGCGGCTGCAACTTTAAATTTACCAATGATCATCCCTATATATACCTTAGATTTGTATATGCTCATTTTCAACCCAATCAAACGCACCATGAGTTTTGCATACTGTTCACTAGCCTATCGCTTTCTTTTTTCATCGTGCGTTCCATAGTAATTATAAATGTAACATTGCTTCAAAAGAGAAGCTACGGTTGTCAGCAATATAGTTTCATCGCTTTCTGAATACATCAGGCAAAATGGGATTTCCTATATTTAGATGGAGGTAGATTATCTCTGGACCGACTTCTTCAAATATGGAATGATCGACCAGGCGCTGATAGTCTTGAGAGAAAATCAAGTCGAATGATCCTTATATCAGACGCTTCAAATTCGAAAGCTTGGATTGATTCAATAAAGCGATCAAAAGTCTCCATTGTTTTCCAATGTAGCACATATGCATGCGATGAAGGCTTTAAAACCAATATGATTTCTGAAGAAGCTTGGGCCAAGCGTGGTGATTTTACCTTACTATGGACAGCATTTCTGAAATCATTGCAAAATTTAAAAAACGAAGAATCGCACGAAACTTTAACACAGAACTTCATTCGTGAAGTAGAAGGGCAAGGAATTCGAATAAGATACACGTTATCTAAAGATTATATAACATCTACTTTATCTCCACCAAGCGGTAACTTTTCTAGTCACGGATGCTTGCTATGCTGTCTTCCGACGGTTCTATTTACGTCTTTTGTGTCGAAACATTTATTTTGGTTTATGGGTTTTGGACCTTTGAAACTTTTATGCTTTCATATAAATAATCAGTGCTTCAGGCAGAAGATGCATGACGTCGGACAATTTCTAATTTTAATAAATTCTAAATAAAATTGCATACGGATTATGCTTGTCTTAAGAAATTCAGTTACATGTTACTATATATAATAAGCGTCGAATACTATTGTCTGTTCTTGGTTTCTGGTAGTCAAATATACACACACCAAAAATAAAATTGGAAATATATGCGGCCATTTAGCAATTTTGAAGAGCTATTAAGACAAGCAATGCTCAAATACATAGACACGTTAATCATAGCGAAGCAATTCTTACCTTTGACGCAACCGGTACCTACGGCGCTGTTCGCCATTCCCATTAACAAATCTTAGCAGAGCAAGGACTTCGTTCCATACCACCGACGTTCAATGATCAAAAGGACAGGAAGAGAAAAACGATCCATAAGTCCACTCCGTGTCCAGTAATAAAAAATAAAAGTAATAGCTATATATTATTCAAACAATTCTATTCAAAACTATATATAGGTCCACTGACGTGTTCAATAAACACCCAGAATATTCTGTCATGGTAAAAGTTCATGTTTGAGCTTCGTATAGTCTACGATGCCATTACCAGTAAGTGGGCTAAATATTGACACACAACAAAAGCAATGACGTTGAAAATTTTTTGCTTCAGGCTGTTCTATGGATACGAGTTACGGCGATAACTAGTTCTGACGTAAGCTGTTTATATATGTTTATTTAATTCTATATAACCGGTATATATATATATATGTGTGTGTGTATTGCTAAAATTACGCCAAAGAGGTTTACATTTCGCGAATCAAACGGTTTGTAATTCGCTGCTTACTATATTCTTGACGTATAGCCCTATAGCGTACAGCATGTAGATTGAAATGGCAAGAGCCCGAGATGACAATTTATGATATATAGAATAGCAAAACTGTAAATTGGTAAAGTATACAAAACTGACGGAAGAAGTGTAAATTGATAGCACAACCGATGACAACACGCGAGTACAAAAGAATAACTTTGGATATATATTTGATTTTTCTGCTTTACCTCTCTCTTCACATCAACATTTTAGTTGTTTCATTTAGTTTGCGATTAACTATGTTCTTTCGTTTTGTTGTATAATTTAAACCCGGACTGTAAGAGTGTCAGTTGTATATAGTTGACTTTGGCAATGGAGTTGTTTCGCCTCGATTGTAAAAACTAAACGAAGTGCAAATATAGCTACAGTATATCGTTTTGAATATTGGTAGGTGAAATAAAGAAAGCATCAGAAAAAAGATGTTCATTTAAAATACCGACTTATATCTACATTACAGTGTTCAAACTATGAAAATTATTGCTGCAATTGTATTGTACTGGATTTGCTTAAGTTCCTGTAAAAAAGGTACGTTTTTCTACATTTATTAAAATTTCCCTAATTTTTAACATATCTAATAATTACGAATTCAACCACACATTACATTGTGGTATTTGTTGTATTATGAAAAGAAAACGAGAAAGCGATGCTCAAATATATGGGCACTAAGAACAAAGTGGAGAAGTAGTCTATCTAATCTTTTAACAGTAGCGGTAAAAAAACTTCGGTATTCGCGAAGCAAAAAAACCGAAAGAGAGAGGGCGAAGAAATGCTACAAATAATTTGTATTAATTTTCACAGGAATGTAGGTCATCGCACAAAATTTCGAAGTGAAAAACGTATCACGTAGAGAACAGAAGTTGTGAAATAGATTAAAATTGGCGAATACCTGAATATTTCAATCCAGTAGTTAATGAGAAAAGCGATTTGTTTTTCATACGGTAACAAGTAGAAATATAACAACAACCAAATAACAAAACGATCCACAGGTCCACTCCGTGTCCAATGAGTTGTATGTGGTATCTAAGATTCTATTTATTTGCTTCATAAAATTTGGAAGATCATGCTTTGTGAAAATTGCTAAAAAAAGTTTGTATGAAAAGAGAGACAGAAAGAAACTAGTGAAATTTTCAACGTTACGATTATGCACAAAAAAAGGCAAAGTCAGCCGAAAAAACACATTCGTTCTTATTATAGTAGCTTCTAATATAGAAGGGTGGAGTGAAAAGCTAACAGAACCCAAGTCGTGTAAAAAATACAAAAAAGAAGCATTATGCATGGACATCATGGCAAGCTACGCATATCTAAGAGAACTGATTTAGCCTAATCACAGCCGGTCCCTTTTTAAATATTATTTGCTTATACATTTATTTCAAAATATTAACATATTTCAGTTTCGCGCCAATGCATCCACAAAATCGGTGACACAAATGATGAAGTTAAATTTCCGGGAATGAAGTTTAACGACGAAGCGAATAACATATTTACAGAAGGAAGAAGAGTAAAAGGAATTTGTATCATACATGGAAAAATATCAGAAAATAAGCAGTTGATATTGAATATAGGCCCGTCAGTCGCCTACAAAAACTGGATATCGGTATGCCCAATTTTGCTTGCTATGTACCGATAAAGGAAAATAAACAAGTTCAGTTTTAAGAAATTTATGCAAACTGAAATAAATTGGTGTTCAAAGAATAAAATAAATATAGCATGCCAACAATTTTTCTTTGTTCCTGTTTTCGTATTTTGTTTTCTACGTCTGATAAAACCCAGTTATTATATTGCTGCTGTAATATGCAATCGCATTTTGAAACAATTCAAAATCGAGCTTGTTTCCGCACCTTTTTGAGCAACTGTTAATGAAATTATGCTACATAACTCTTTACCAACTTAGTCATTGGCAAAGTAATCAAATTATTCTATTATTGAAAAAATTGTTTTCATCAAACACAGCATTGAATTAATCTTGTATTTTTATGTGCTTCCAGATCGGTGGAAGGATTTCAAAATACGGCGACTGGAAAAATATGGTTCTTTTATATTATAATTATCAAGGATTGATTGATATGGACATCGACCACGAATATCGTACATTTACAAGAGATGGTAAAAACGGGACAAAAGAAATACTGCTTTCAGGATACAAATTTGACCATTTAAGAATTGTCTTCCCTCGACAACAAACAAATTTTACAATTACGTATTCGTGGACTAACTACCGTGAGTTTATTGTCATATTTTGACAATTTTTCGTGTTTTTTAAATCAAAAAAAGAAAGAAAATATGTGTTCGTTTATTTCGAACTAAAGCCCAGTATAAGACGACTACGAACTAAATAACGTGACCAGACACTTAGTTATAAATATCGGAAATATTTGCCGGAACATCAAAAAAATAATACGATATATATCTACAATTACTTTTTGAGTAGGCATATGAATTATCATATCATTATTGAAGAGCAATTAAGCATCTTGAATAAATCTATCAAACCAATATGTTTGTATCGACTAGAAAAAAAAAACTGTGTATTATTCTCAATACATAAATAATTTCAAAATGCACCATGAATTTAATCTTTTGATCTGAATTAATGTCCCATAAATTTGAGATTACCTGCACGTTACCAAACCGGTTAGTGTACTGTATTTCTAAAACAAAACAAACACTACTGTAGAGTGATTAATGTTGCAGTAACTAAACAATGAAAAATCTTTGCAATGAATGAGTGAATATTTCTTGCACATACCTATAATATATACTCCGAAAAAAATTACTTTACTTGAAGGAAAAGCCTGTAAACCGTTACCCGACATCGTGGACATAGTAACATGTACTAAGAGAAAAAAAGTTAATTCAGTTTGTACAGTGAAGTGTAAGACTGGATTTGCTCCGTCACCGATATTATACGAACGAGCAAATGATGAAATTAAAACAAAACTGCCTCTAATGTCGACAACATGCAGGTAATCTGACTTTCATTGAAAATGTAATATTTATTGATTTGATATTTTTTTTTTATAATTCATTTTACATTCTATATATTCAAGTACGCTCAAGACGCCGCCTTGAAATAAAATAGAAAAAAAGATCATCGATAGACTGATGAGCTATGTATTTAAATATATTTATAGTTATCACCCCGTGGAAAAAATAACAAAATTATGCATTAGCAGTGCGTCGAATTTTTTCGAGCGTTCAAATGTTGACGTCGGACAACTCCTAATAGTTGGAATGTTTATGAAAGTTATATTCTATTGTTTTTAACGGTAATAATTATACATAATCTGCGCGGTACAAAAACAAAGGATCGCAAAAGTGTCCATCTATTCAACTGTGCCCATTCTGAGTTAGAGCAGTGACTACAGATGAGCAGTTATGTACACACAGACTGATAACACCGCATTAGAATAACGTTTTCTGACATGTTTCACAAAACGCACTTTGGGCATATTATGTAATATTTATCGAGTATTGTTTTAAATGATACAAATTTTGTTCACATCGCAAACCACCGTCTACAAAAATTAAATTATGGCAAATGGCAGGTATTTGAAAAATCACAATTATTGTCATATTTCTAATATATTTCGTGTTCATAAATTTTACATATTTTACAGGGGAAATGGTTTTGAGCCGCCAGACTGGTTTCCTAAAATTGCATCAACCTACTATGAACTGAGCTTCAAGGCATTACCCTGCATCGCTTCGTTCATTCCGACACAGATGATTCCGATACAGATAGTGTGAGAAAAATAGTTACGATTGACAAAAGCATTTTCGCATAAAAAAATTCTGTATAAAAAAATAGTAAGTTTTCGATCAAAAATTATAGAATGAAAAATGGGAATAGAAAAATTGACCTTACGAATAGACAAAGCATCAGAATTCCCTACCATTCTGTAGGGCCGACGCCCTTAACTTTATCTTTTGATGTATAATAACTATATCAAGAATAGAACGATCAATAAGTTGAAATCTTTGATGTTTGGCAAATGTTACTGAATTAAAGTACAAATGTGCTCAGAATGTCGAGAAAAGTACTCAGCCACAGTCAATAAAGAAGAAGTTGCAAGAAAAATAGTACGAAAGCGTAATGAGGCTACGTGTACGATCAGTGGCGTTTCTGGGGTGTTGCAGCCATGGCTCTTGTCATGGGCGCCGCTTGAACATGGGCGCAAAAACGGCAAAAAGTTTTAATTTAAATAAATGTTTCAATGAAATAATTTCAAATTGGAAATAAGTGAAACTTGTACTTTTACTCGAATAACAACGTACAAGTACGTCATTTCAATAACAGTCATTATAAATTGTCAACCAACTATCAATGGGCGCATTTTCAAACTTTGCCATGGGCGACATTTTACGTAGATAGCCACTGTGTACGAGTTACCTGGGTCTGGAAAAAAGTGAATTCAGCTTGCTTTTCTTCGCTTTCTAGTTTTGAGAGCTTGAGTTCAATTTGGGCATGATGAATGTGTTCTCAATTTTTGTCACCAGGGCACCCGAGGTCAAAGAATGGTATCATGCAGTGTTAATCAAGCCAAATTTCGATGATATGTGGAAGGAAGATGTTATAAATTCGCACAAATGCGTTGACTTAGAAAACATAGCTGATGCCTGTTTTCGGGCAGATCCAATATTCGTCACGGATGGGATAATGGTAAAATTTGTTGTATGGATAAAAGTAACTTTATAGTGTTATACCGCAAAATTAGATGGAGATGATTGTTTCAGAAAGCAAAAGTATTCAATATGGTAAAATGAACTAAATATCGCTAACGCCGAATACAGACTTAACATAACTCTGAGTGTAGTTAATATATATATTTTTTAAGCGATGGTCAAGCACCATTTTAGTACTATCCGATTTGCGAATATTTTCATAAAACGTAAATCTTAACTCGCCATTATCTGACTGACAACTGCCAAAAAATAATGTTGTCGTGTAAAAATATGTCGCAACTTGAATGCACTGTATAATCATTCAACTTTTGCGCATAGAATTTTAGGCTCGACAAGTGCCATTATCCAAATGAATATGTTCTGGAGTTATTCGGCGAAGATGGGGACACTGGAGTTGATCCCGACACAATTCCAATTCCAACTCAACCCACGCCAAAAGATCGAATTCAACAAATGGATTCCGAAGCGAAACTGCATCTACTTTTGAAAGTAATTGAGCAAAGAGAAACTTATACGAAATATCTTCCCAGTGAAACAGAGGTGAGGAAAATTGAAAATTTCCTGTCGCGTATACCTACCAGGATAACACAGACAGCATCTTGTATTTTAGAGCCCTTGCATAGTAGATGAGTACGAAGATCTATATAATGTTTTGCGTAAACAAGCTACGACCTCGAAGATTGACAACATTTGGAATGAATTCAAAGAGTATGCAGATAAGGTAGGTCAGTGCTTCTGGTTTTAGATCTTCAGTACTGCAGTATTGATATTAAAATGTATTTTTAAAATCTTGTTCAATATATATATATAAGAAAAATATGGAACTAATGGCTTTATTAATTTAATTTTAAAATACAGGACATAATCAACAAATTATTTCATGATTTGTTGAACTTATTTGGGAAAGTGGGAAAGGTTGGGACACTTTTTTTTATTAATTTTAGCCCCATAATCTGCTTATTTATTTGACATTGCATGGCTAAGTCAGAGAAGGATAAATGAAGTATTTATTCAGCGACTAAGAAATTCTAAAGCGAGACATATTTTACCACCAAAATGCTCTTAAAGACGTTTGTTAAGTGTCCCACTGCATCTCACTGGTCAGGTACATTAGGACACACCCTGGTGCACAATGGAGCAGTCTGTTAAGTATAATGAAATATACTGTTAAAAATGAGCAACGAATCAGCATAAACATTTGAAGAAACTGTGCGACTTCAAATTCAACGATTTAAAATTATTGAAACTTATGTTTAATCTAAATATTTCAGATCTTTTTAAAAAAAAATTCTCAAAATTTGCATTGGCAACATAAAACTGAAAAGGCGTATCTATAAGGTCTACCATTTTAATCGTAAAACTACTTGTTGAATTTTTTAGATTCTTTTTATTAAATCAGGAATACATTCATTACTTTTGGATTATGCTTAATTCTAATAAATTGGAAAGGAATACGAAACTTTCATTCTTAGTAATGACAGTTCTTTGTTAAAAAAAAGCCATAAACGCCAAATACGGATTTTGAGTGCCCAAAAAGAACAAAAACGAATGTGTGGTTTTCTCAATCCCTAAACTGTTCACTGAGTCCAATAAAATAACAAGCTAGTAATTTAATATCAACAAGTAAAGGGTCCAATTCTAGCCAAAAGCAAATAATTTACTCCTTCGAATACACTTTGAAAATATATTTTTGAATCTAAAATATATTCCAAATCGGGCCATGGGCCCAAAGACAACCTAATATTACACAAAACATAATGCTGTAGGCCTCTGAGCACTCAATTGATAACACACTGTCGAATTGTGCCCATGGGAGCATGTCCCGTTGAAATCCAGTCTATTGTTTCCATGGGCACCAAACATTTTCAGACTGCTCCATGTCAAGATCATCAGGACACATTTCACAGTGGACAGGTTATAATATGCCAGACAGCAGTTCGTTCTGTTGGAAAGGCTAAAGTAGAAAAATGAAAAGACTGAGATGGCGAAATTTTAGTTTCAACCCCATAGCTTGCGTCGCTCTGCATAGCCGCTGTCCGTTTGTGGAGACGTCGTAAGAAAGACGGAGTCAACCTCCAAGCGAATGACTGATTTTGGATATAGTATGAGCATGAGAGCTGATTTTTTCACTGTACGCTATGTAACATCGTGCTACATTTCTCGTGACTATAATTAAAAACAAATGATATATGTCGTGTTTTTTTCCATACAGAAGTGTTTCAAAGTATTATCTGCTGGATGGAGACCTCACTGTTCTTATAACATTTGTGAAATGGTCGAATTAAAATTGATTCGTGGGGGAACAGCGCACGAATATAAGTACAAGTGTGCAAGCTTTAAAGGTATTTTCTTTGAACTTCAGAAGCACTTTAAAGCGTAAAAAAGCAAACCGCTTTGATGAGAATAGCAATATCCTATAATAATAATATCCCCCAACCCCCATACAACTAAATAAGTTTGTATCGAATCGGTTAAATCTGAACTTTGTATCATTTTTGTACTTGTTGCAAAATTTTCATTCTAATGGGATAGAAAACTTAATTCGCAATTTGGTGGAACGTTGACACTTTTAGTAGGAATAGTCTTTCATCGATATATCGAAACTAAACTAAATAAAAATACAGTATATCTTATCAATAAAATTTAAATTTATGATAGAAAATAAAAATGCGAGCTACTTTCAACAAATCTCGAGTTTTGCCACAATGGAAAGATATTGTGTGTGAAAAAACTTATGACCCTGACCCTATTAGTACAAATCGGTAGAATGACAAACTAAACGAATTTTTTGTTCTAATGCGTATATTTATTTTACAGAACCTGGCCGACGCGGTGAGTGTATTATTTGCAGACACGGAAAGAATAAACTCTGTCAAACTCTAAAGGTATATGCATAATCGGAAGACAAATAATCAATATAAATATATATATATATATATATTTATAGTGTTCACACGGTGAAGTAACGTATAATCAGTTGAAAACATAAATCCATGCCAAAATCATTTTTTACCTTAATAGAGTAAAATACATTGCGATTCTTTTGCATAACAAATAACTGCTTAATATTAATGTATTAGTAGAATATAATATATATCGAAAACGTTGCAAGAAGATTATATCGGGGATCCATTTAATCAGATTTATTTTTGTAGAGAGATTGCAAGTGCATTAATGCAAATCGACCCAGAACCAGGACTAAGAGGTAGAAGTTTAGCGTGTTTTTGCTGGAGCCGTATCGTAGACTCAAATAGCATTAAGATATACATACACAGCCACTGTAATGTGCATATACAGCCAAATTAATATACATATACACTTATACAGTCATTTAGATTTTAGATGATGTACAAATACGGCCAATCCGTTTCAAGTTTATCCAAATTTTCGTTAAAAACACGTTATTATAACGAATACCGCCGCTCTTGGAGCATGAATACGTATATTAGGTTACTTTTCAATGTGTCTGAGGCTTTTGTTATTTGAAGTGCCAATTTACTGTTTTTAATAAATAACCAATTCGGAATTTGGGGTCTTCCGATCGAACAACCACAGTAGCAGAGCCTAAACTGTTACACATCGACATTGAATTTCTCATTTTTAAGGAACTTATTATTTGGTCATTGGCAGTGAACTGTCTACAATGTGGATAATGATAAAACACCAGGAACAGACGGGCTGGGCTCTCTAATGAATTCTATCACACATTTTACGCGCTTCCCAAAAGGCAAAATGAATAAAAAATAATAACAGGAGACTATATTTTAGAAACACAAAAATGTGCCATACCAGGCAAGTCAATTCAGGACTCTTTGCGAAACATTCAAACCGTTCGGTAATATTGTAAAACTCATCTCACACACCATGCTACAATATCAGCTTTGATCAAGAAAAAGCGTTTGATCGAGTAAATCAAAAATTCCTATTTGAAATTATGGAGATAATTGGATACAATACAAAAATACAAAAGCTGATCAGAAAAATTAACAATAACATATTTAGACAAATACAAATCAATGAAACAACAACTGAGAAAATATAGAACAGCAAAGAAATAAGGCAATAAACAAACAAACAAATTAATCAATGAATTTACCTTACCTTGTTTACCTTAAACACAATGTCCTCTTAAACTAGTTTGCGGACAATAATACCACCTTTGCTGCCACTATACCGGACATAGCAGAGACATTCATGGAATTTAAAAAGTATGAGAGGACAACTGATCACTGTCTTAACGACAACAAAACAAAAATCTTGTGCTCAAATACGTCAGCCAAGAAAAGAATACAACATACTCATTACGTAAAACACGTATGCGAAAACAATGAGATATTAGAAGAAATATTTGGCAAAGATGACAAAAACACGTAATTACACATGGTTCGGTAAACTACAAATATTAAACGCGCTGTGCATATCACAAATAATTTGCCATGTCAGAATAATCCCGATCCCTACTTGGTAAAGGAATAAATTCAATAAAGTATTCTTTGAATTTCTGTGGAATCCCCAAAAAAATAATAAAACAAATAAAACAAGATAAATTAATATGAAGGCTTGTAATGGAGGCATTGGAATACCATGCATAAATAGCAAAATCGATAAAAAGTAAAAATAATGAAAAAACCGGACCACCCTAATGAAATCTGACACACTGTTGAACTATATAACTTGAGAACGAAAACCAACAAAATTAACAAAGAAATTTACACCAACCATATGCCACACCACGATAAGCAACCAGTAATATGAAAAAATATTTGAAAAAGTTTGAACTACTAACGAAGAATAGGGAACAATCTCTTTCAAACAGTTATACCAAAAAACAATTGAACTAAATTTGGCCATAAAGAACAAAAAGATAAACAAAGACATAAATTGGAAAGAACTTCTAGGATAAGAAAAGGATGTCAACAATTTTTTAACAAATAAAGAGAAAATAATTTCTTATAGATTGGCGCACGACGGAATATTGAGTGGTCAGAAAAGAGAAAAGATTCAATTAATTTCATTCAATTGAAGGAAAAAGAGTAGCCTTAGTTGTCAATTTTGTAATAGTAAACAAGACAAATCTGAACATTTATTAACACAATGTCCCTTTACATGGCGAATAATGTATAACATCAAAAATATATTAAATACAGTATTCTGAATACATCATCCTTTTTTGAATAAGACAATCTTCTACGATAATTATATAGGAGAAAAACAATTAATAGGGAAAATAACAGTAAACATTCTGAAAGCTAAAATATGCAATTTCAGGAAAATCAATTAATCAATCAAGAAAATCAAATTAAAACCGTGGGAACCAAAAAAGGGAGATGTGGATAAGAATAACGTTTTTTTGGAGCTGTTCTGAATTAATTTTTTCTTTAATATTTTGCACATATTTTTTTACAAATTCTTTCCCGATAAGCCCAAGCGCCTTCAGCACCACAGGTATTGTTGAAGTTTTTAAATTCCCACATCTTCTGTATCTTGATTTCTAGATCTTTGGATTTTGAGAGTTTTCAAATATTTTTTGGTGTTTCGTTCGGATGGTATAGCCACATCAAAGATTGTTGTTGTCGCAAAAAAGCTATTACTCTTATTCCTATATTTGTAAAATTTCAGTGAGCTCCATGGTATTCGTTTTTCACTTTGAAGTTTTGTGCGATGATGTCATCAAAAAATTGCTAACCGTTCATACAATAAATATGAATTCACCATTTCATGGGTAGGTTTCTAGAGCTAGGAAAATTATTAAAGACGTTATTATATTATTATATATACTCTAAACTAAAGTGTACATATCTAGTGTATATATACATATATATATATATATAGCTTTAGAAATGGTATATTTTGTTTTTCTTTACCCGGCCATATAATTTTCCTCGTTCTCGAAAATTGATTGACTTTTTGTCTAACATGAGGTGAAACTAGATTGAAAAGTTATCATTAGTCACTGATTATTCACAGTAAAGACATAGAGAATAAATGCTTTTACCCGGGCATTGAGATGAGGACGATATGGCTCACAAACTCTGCAAACGGCATCGATTTAATGTTCGCGCTAGTTGACCTCCAGTCCACAGCTTATAGTACATCTTGGGAGCGTCGTTAACATTCAAAGGCTCGAATACCTGAACAGGAAGTAGCAACGCTTGTGGACATCGAAAGCATGCTCGAAAACATGTTTGTGAGCTCAAGGAGTGTTATTTGATTAAGACTGCAATCCGCTTGGATATATGGCTATCGATTGCCAATATGTGCCTCAGTGTTTAATTTGATGATTATTAGTCAGTCGATTAGGAACTCAATATTTGTTTCTCGAAATTAATTTTTGCCTACTTTTCTTTCTCAAATATCATCTCAAACCTCTCTATAAATGTTTTTAGTGTTATAGTTTTCCGTGTTGTTGCAACTATAAATATTAATTTGAGACACCTTACTTCCTCAACATCTACACCAACAATCAGCTCATATATATTCAATTAAAATTTACCCCCAAGCCAGCACAGCATCAAATAGCGTGTTACTCTAGAACAGTGAAGCGAAGCACACTTTCATGTGCCACAATGAAAACAAGGAAAATAGGGCATACGCAAAAAGTCATAACAAGTAATACAACATTTATATTTATTGTATGACATGTAGGTATGAGACTATTTCCAAACATATCATGTAAATAAATCATAATTTGGTGTTATATTAGTACTGGTTGATGAACCTTTCATTTCTATTCCAGATAACACGAAAGACTAGTTATATATATATATTTATTCATGATAATTATTTTGTATATTTATGGCACCAAAGTCTTAAGTGCTTACGGCCTCTGATGGCCATAATTCGACGCCGGATCTAGTTGCCTCCGGATCTAGTTGCCCCCGGTTGTGCAGTTGCTAGAAGTTGGCCATTGTTCTTCAACAGCGTACAGCTGCAAGGTGCACTCCACTACAACATTGTTGACCATATTAAAATTTGATACTTCAACTTGAAGAATATGTTTTAATCTTTCCATCAATGCGAACTCTGCAAATTGGACAGTGATTAAGCGAATTTGAGCATTCCTCACAGCAGTATAGGTGTCCGCATGGAACGAAGGTCGTATCTATTCTTCGATCCCTACACACTACACATTCACGCGATTCGTTCCCCCCGGCTGCAAATACAAATAAAAATATGATAAGACTTTGGCCTGCGCATCGCATGTGGGAATGCTTAAGTTTATCCATGGTTATCTTACGCAAAAATAAACTACTAAAGACCACATAAAATCTTACAAATGTAAACAAAAAATATTACTCATTCTCGGTGCAAAATTGGATTGCATACATCAAAAGATAAATTTTTATTTCAAATTGAAATTTCATTGAAATTTCCTTAAATATGCACCGAACGTTGCAAATTTGCGTATTACGCTTTCATTTATTCACATTTATGAAAAAATACAGTACTACAACGTACAATTTAGCAGCAACAAAGTGACTATGTGTTCCTTTATTTCTCTGAAATCATGGAATCCGATAATATATGAGCCTCGTTTTCTTGTTAATATTGGACTCGTAGTGAACCTATGAAGCGTTTTGTTGTTCTGTTGTTCTTGGTTTTTTTCTTCGTCTCGTTATGAAAAATCGTCTTTCTCTTAGAGTCTTAAACTATTGAACCATTTGCTTTGAAATTTTCAGTAGTTCAAAATTGAATATTTTTTGAAGGCTAATACATTGTTTCCCTTGAAATAAGACTTGACCCCAAAATAAAACCCAGCCTGAATTTTAAAAATGATTTTAATATAAGCCAAATATTTTGTGCCTGCAACTGCGAGAAAAACTGTCTTAAATAAAGGTGCGGCCCGCGGCTTCACCCAGTTACTTGTATTTGGTCCTCTTGTAATAAAGGTTACACACCCCTGACCCCTGTCGATAGCAGGAAATCTCTCCTACGCGTTTAAAATGATGAATAATTTATGTTTTGCAGTTATTTTGAATGAAAACGTGTTATTTATAGGTAAATGGATATCGGTATATTTTGTATATATATTTGAAAATCTCGTAATTCTCTATTTTATAAGTTTGTTTTTGATAAATGAAAATGTAAGACATCCCCCGAAAATAAGCTCTTGTGTTATTTTTCGGAAGAAAATTGAAATAAGACCCAGTCTTATTTTCGGGGAAATACGTTCTACTATTTGTTTCAAATATTCTTGTGAGCTGTATGGTATTCGTTTTTTGTTTTCCGTGACGTCATCAAAATTTCGTCACCTTGTGGCTGTTCCGCGAACTCACGCTTTTTTGCTTAGCGACACCGCGGATCTCGTGCTTAGCCGAAGTGTGAAACCGGGGTACCTGATCTGTCATAACGGAAGTGACTTGAATCAGTTGGTATTTCAATTCACTTTGAAACTGAATCAAGAAGGATGGATCATCGCCACAAGACCTGGAAAAGCTATGGCATTCCCTGCTGTGCCGAATTTCCGGTATAGAAAGTTACCACATATGATTTTGGAGAGTTTGGTGATAAAATATTTTGTTTTGCCGCCATTGTCCACATACTTGGAGATAGCTCTCTTGTTATTAAAGACATAAAATACTTACTTGTCACAGCTGTTCTTGAATTGGCGGGGTTCCCATCTTCGCTAGTATCTGCAACAAATTATGAAGATGTAGTTTCATTGGTTATAATTAAGTATGGTTACTCATTACAACCTGAAATTCAAAGGAAGTCAAATCCAAAAACTCGCTACGTGTTCCCCCCCTTAGTTTAACTGAAAATTGCTTACCATTCTGTGCACTGTCTGTCCCTCGAATGGCCTTGGCGCACATTGCTACTTATTATTAATATACAAATATGAGCGACTTACTTGCAACTAAAGGATTGTCGGGGAGAGTGGGGTCCCCGTTTCCATTGTCATCTGCAACAAATTACACAGATGAATAGCTTGTTAGAAAATATAATTAAACTCAGACGGTTATTAATATTTTCTATACCTTGGATTCAATTCATATGTGAATACAAAAGTGTGAAATATCAGACAATATGAATATTTGATTAGAAAGATATAATTAACATAAATACCTATTGCAACATTGTTAGATATGCTATGCTCTCCGTCTATTTTGTGTTTGTTTCGGGCCCAAACTTTGAATTTGTATGTACTGGACTTTGATTGATATGCCATTCTATACGGGGAGTGATCGCGAACTGTTACTTCCCCACGTGGTTTTCCGTTTTTAAAAGTTTTAATTCTATATTCCACCTCATCTTCTTTGTCTTCTTCCCAAGTTATACAAATTTTATCTTCCCAAACACCAGCGACAACATTTCGAACTTGTGTTGGAGCTGTAAATTGATTATTAAAATGAGATTTCACGGCAATACGATATATATGTTATATTTTATACTAATAATCACATCACATTTGCACCCATAAACTGCAATCAGGTAATTTGCACCTGCATAATTTAGCACTCATAAATTTGTACTCACATATTTTAGCACTCAGACTCATGGATTCATTCTAATTTTTCAAGATTCACTTTCATTTATAAAAATAAACCGTGTCACATGTAGAATGGTCTGTAATATTTACTTTTTTATTATGCAAAATGTATTTTCAGAATATTTACGGTGATTTTTACGAGATCTTGGAGAATGTAAATTCACTGATTTAAAAAATAAATTCACTGGCTCTTTTCGGTAAATATTACCAAGGATTGTGAATTGTGATAATAGGCGCCGGAAAAATTGAAAAGATCACAAGTGATATCCTGTGGCATTTACAGGTGATCCATGGTAATTTCAGTGAAGTTTTTTTGTTCATTACGCTAAAATGGCGGTAATTTTTACTGATGCATGACAGTAATATGTAATTTAAGGGGGTTCTCCGGTAAAAAAAAATTTAGAGTGATACCTACCAATAAAAATTGTCTCAGATTCTGTGTATTTACTGTATTGTTCATTGATAACAGCACACACTTTGAAACTGTATTCCGTAGATTTTATTAAATTGTCAAATCTATGTGCGGATATTCTTGTGCTTATGACTTCTTCCTCTTGCTGACATTTCATTACAACTAGGCGATATGTTGCAATCCCACCATCTTTGTTACCATCCCATGTGACCGAAATATCTCGTCGACAACGTTCTATCTTTATATTCCTTGGTGCACTCGGATCTCAAAATAAACACATATTTAATAGCTGACGAGTAGCTAATGTTTTCTCGAGATTTTAAAAATGATACTCATTGATTTGAACAATTAAATTTAACGATCAATAATATCCAAATTATCTTGAACAAGTTTGTCAACTCGCATCAAAATGCTGGCTTTTATATCGTTATTTTATTCATCTATAATGACGTTACTTTTGCAGGCAGATAATTAAAGAAGGTTCATATGATCATTTCAGTTCAAATTTCAGATGCGTCTTCGGCTAAATAAATATAGGCATAATAAGTTCTTATAATAGTTGTTGTATTTAGATTAAGCAGCAATACGAGGTATCTCATACGCTGAATCGCTATTACCCCAATCACATATACGTCTAATAAGATACAGTAATAGACTTCAGAACTCAGAAGTAAAATACTAATTCAAAGTGTATGAAATACGGGCCGATTTTGAGCTGAAGTACCTGTGAAAATTTTTCTTGAACACGCGCCGACTCCAGAATTGTATCCATTGTTAGCGATTACTTCAAAGTGATAATGCGTAGCGGGGAGAGGATTTTCAAACTTCCAAATTGTGTTTTCGATCCAATCTGATGTTGTTCTACCATTATCGCATACAGCCGCGACCTTATATCTTATACTGTATTTATCCACAACAGGTTGCCATTCCGCAGTAATATTACCATTCGCCTTTTTTGCGATGACACCAGTAACTTTTTTTGGACCTTGAAAGCAATGTTAAAATCGAACATTTTCGAGTTTTAATTAATTCGGTCATGCTAAAAAGTTATCGGAATCTACAAACATATAAATTTCAGTAGATTGATCAGTGGTATGATTGTAGGCAGCATATATATATCTTACAGCACCGAATCAAAAATGTTACTAGAGTAAATTTATCGGTACCAAGAGGTTTGTGTTCACATATTCGTGCCCTGCTTGTTTCTGTTGAGTGACCGTAGTGAGTTAGTGCTAACCCTAACCCAAAGATGGCAGGGTTAAGAACTTAATTCTATGAGAGGGTCTTTATGAGATTAAGCGCATACGAAAGTGGCACCACAATTGGTGTTACGTACCACGTTAAAGCAAGTGTGATCTCGCACCAAATTAGTTTTATAACGCTGATATCACCTACTAAAGTGGCACCCAATTATGATGTACATATACTAATTAGTGAAAGTTGGTTGAATTTTAAACTATTCCAGAACCGCCTACACTTCCAAAACGTCAATCCAAATAAAAAAAAACTCAATCTTTCCAAATCATTCACCTGTTATCACAGGTTCGAATGTTGCGTGTTCTCCAGTTCCCCATTTATTTTCTCCCCTAATTCTGAAAATATATTTGGTTGAGGTTTGAATATCGGATACTATAAACTGATTTTCACCGCATGAGCCAAGTATTGACCACTGATTACTACTCCTCTTCTTTTCTATCTTGTATGTTCCTTCAAAATGTTGAAGTTGATCCCAATTTAAAATAATTTGTGCATCTTTCGCTGTGGCTACCGGATTTTTAATTTGTCCCGGACCTGAAAATGGAACCATAACGGTTGGTTCCAACTATTTGATTTGTTAGAGACTCATAACTGGTATTGTGCTTGTTCAGTTCTTTTATTCACTGGTACATTAATTAAATTCGGAGCTGAGATTGTTTGCGCACAATGAAATCAGAATTTTGTGGACTATTTTATATTTATCATACCTAAAGTTCATACCATCAATTGTTTGGTGGATGTGTCAAGTTTTGAAAACTATTAATGAGAAGAAATTTTTGGGGCTTCAAAAACAATTAGTTTACCTTTCAGAACAAAAGTTGATGCTTTCTTTTTTCCATGAAGACCATTGACTACACCATGTATTTCCACCGTAATTTCTGTATTAGTGCATGCTCCGATACATTCATACTTGCTGTCTGTTGTCCCCGTCAATACTTCATCTATGCCACAAATTACCCTCACATTGTAATAAACAGATTCATTTCCTGGTAGATCGTCCCACACGATGAAATACTTTCCTTCCACAGCTTTGTACGTTATATTTTGAACTTGTCGTGGGCCTAAATAAAAAATTCATACCGTGTTTGTCTCCTTGTCTCAAACCCAACCTAACTAAATTGGGCTAAAAATATATTTGGCATATCTGCCACAAACCGCAATTGATACACAACTCACCTGAATGTACAATACACAGGTCGGACTTGTTGCCATTTCCATATTCGTTACGAGCTTTCACCCAAAATGTGTATCGTGTGTCAGGCTTTGGATCAGCAAGTATATATTGATGAACGGTTGTATTTCTTTTTATGAGTTCATTATTTGAAAACACTCCGATAACGTACCCATGTTTCGCATTTCTATTTATGTTCCACTCAAGTTTAATAATGCCATCCTCCGTACAATATCCTTTTACCCCTTCAACTTTACTTGGCTCTGAATACGATACGTGTATGTATTTGTATAAAAAAATGAAAACGAACTAATGTGGATATATTTAATTATCCAAAATTTCAAATATAAAACACAGACAATTTGATACTACTGATACTACGCAGACCACACAAAATAATTCTTCGGACTCACCAATATGCATGTAATAACTTACTTCTAAAATATCTTAGGACACTTCGGCTCATTTTGAACGTTGTTATTTTGTGTTTTCTTCTCGCCAATCTAATAGATGCCTATCAACTGTAAATGCCCGACCATTGCATCAAAACAACAATACGATAATTTTCAAACGCACAGTGAAAACATTCTCTGGCATGTCCTATGTAGCATATTAACTTCTACATAAACGCTTATATACATATATATATATTATATATATTTTCCATTTCAAGATATTGCACCATTATGTTTGTTAATAAACAGTCAGTCGTAAATTACCTATACAAACTAGTTAAACATTTCTAGACTTTTATTAGGTTATTTTCTCATTATTTCATGGGCTAGAGCACACTGATAAACAGTGGCGTAGCCAGGAGGTGGTTTTGCGGGTCGAACCCCCATAGAAAAAATAGCTGAGCTGTTATTGCGGTTATAAAAATAGGATAATGCAGTTTTCGCTGACAATTCATATGATTACAACAAAGTTTTGCAAAAAACCGGATATAATATATATATGCTGAACACAACAAAATAGGCCTCTAAATGTTTTCCATATATGCTAATTTCAACATGTATCATTACGCATTGAAACGCCAGCAACAGAAAACAAGCGAATATGTTTTCAGTTTACTTAAGGAATGCTTTGAATAATATGATTAGGTACATTTACATTGAGAAATTACTTAAGTCAACAAACGTCACGCGCTATCACTGTAATGTCAGAAGAAGGGGATATAATTAGCAAAGTCGCTGTTATGCACCCGAATCAAAGTCCCCCAAGGTTGAATAAATACAATACATATTAATAAATTACCGTTTAGATGTAGTAGGCCTATACTGCCACGAAGAATCGTACTACTAGCGCGATGTTTTCCGATGTGGCAAACGCCATTGAAATGATCTGACATAACAGCCACTAGCAACCTTTGTATCTTTGATAAAGGAATAAACAAGTCTGTGAAGTCGACTAATATCAAATCAACTGAACTAAAGCCAAATGTGTCTTTATCATCACAATATCATTTTCATGTATCCCCAACAGCGCAACCACCAATTTTAAACGCAAGTATAGCCACTAGTTATTACCTAATATATATATTCTTTCTAATATATATTTATACCTTGCTTATCTCACTTCACCTGTACATTTCCACATTGAATCCCTGAATTTAAATAACGTCTAACCGCAAATAAGGTACGATAACTTATTGTATTGTAAAAAAAGTTGTTTTATATTTGTACAATAATGATTGGATCAAACAAACATCGTAATTTTTGTGTCGATTGATCAAACATTATGTCGCAGACAACCATATTTTTTAAAGTATTTGATTCAGTTTAAATATAAAACGAAATATCTTAGAATATACATTGCGAAAGCTAGCTTTTAAAATTGCATCTTTATCTTTCCACTCTAACAGTTCTTGAATCCGAACACTTTTCCATCTTCATTTTTTGTTCTTCCCTTATACCGATATAGTTAACCCCTAGTGTCAAACTCGAAAAACACCAACTCGTTGTCGACATTTAATGTCCGCGACAGGTAGTTTATCTCCAGTCCACGGCTTATAGTACATCCTGGGAGCGTCGTTAACATTCAAAGGCTCGAATACCTGAAAATAAAGTAGCAATGCTTATGGCCACAGCTATCATGCTCGAGAACATATTAGTGAGCTCTGAGAATTTCAATTGATTAATTAAGACTCCAACTCGTTCGGATATCCGGCTATCGATTGACAATATATTTGTGCTTGTCAAATTTTTACCTCGAATTTACTCCCTATTTTTCGCGGATAAGAATCCATGGATTCATGGATAGATAATGAAATTTCACTAACAAACTTTGATACTATCAAATATCAATTTATTTTAGTTTCAAATTTTTAACTTGATCTGAAATTTCTAATATCTTGGAGTCTGAAATTTATATTCCGGAGAGATAATAATTTTTACTCTAAATCTTGCAAGTCATAGAAGACTTCGTGTCCAGTTCTATAACATAAATGCCAGATTACTGACTCCAAATCCAAATCATGAAAGAATTATAAAAGGACATAACAATAGCCTTGTGTAAAAAATTTGGCTTACTCTAAGACCATGAACTTGATGAGCGTATTCTGAAGCAGATCTTCGCCTTACAAATGCTACGTCACGTTGACTTTTTGACGATTGTGACGATGTAGCATAGGACAATTTCGTCATTGGAACAACTGCGAGTGAAGCACGTCGTATGGGAGGTGTCGGGGACAATCTTGTAGAATGTTGTGGATGAACTAAATTTGGTGGGGCGGACATGGTACCGTTTTGTCTGCCGGGGACAGTAAGCAAAGGCTGGGAAAATGTAACACTTGGTCGTTTCTTTACATAATTTGATGGAGGCCTGGAAAAATACAAGAATATTATTTTTTTGAAATATCATTCATTTTAATTCTAAATCTACAAAAATGGTAAATTATTAGTACTTTTTTGGGCTTGCAAAAACCAACCTATAGGCTAAGGTCACAAATATGAGCACAACTGAGTTGCCAGAACTGACTGGGTGGCCAAGTTGGCCTGGAATCTTTTATAGATCTCGAGGCATCGTTTTGCACTTTCGGTATTTGGGTAGGGTTACCATATTTTTGTGACCTCGAAGCGGGACGCCTACGAAGACCATATCTGTGATTTTTAGGGGCCTACATTCAAAACCATCGTCATGCGCTGTCTGTCTAAATATCGGTTTCAGTTTGAAAAATAGAAAGGAATCTACGTTAACGTTAAGCACCTTTTTGGCATACGTATGGTAAGCCTATAATTGGGCATTCAATAAAGTAAGCCACCATGAAGTATACCTTGGAACAGGGCTCGGCGACTGACTTTGTGTCCTTGATGGCAGCATTTGAGTTGTGTTTGCTGTTTGTGGTCTGGGTTGATTTGCAATAAGTTTTCCGACTTCATTTGTCGCTATAAATCGATAAAAATACAGTATGAAATCCAAAGTTAGCAGCGTTCTATCTTGCTCTAAAGGTAAACAAACTATCTAATCTATCTGAACGCAATCTGTAAGCTGTTTCCGGCAAGATACCTTTTAGAACAGCAGAATATGTGCGCAAAGCTTCTCCGTACGAATGCCTCCTCTTGCAATGAACTGAATTGCGTCGAATGGTCGGTGTTCCGCATCTGAAAGGTGTAACTGGACTTCTAGGTGGCTTTTTGGAAAAGTTACTCTCTGACGTTCGTAATGGTGTAACTTCTGTTTCTGTTCCGTTAATTTGTATGATCGGCATGGTCTTATTACGGGTTAGTTCTGTGAATATTAAATATTAGAATATTAAAATAAAATATTTCGCCGGTAACAGACGCAAATACAACTAAAAAATCCTCATTTATTTTTTCACATTTCTAATCTGTTTCATTTCTAACTGGGGTAGATTGTTACATTCATAACACTGTTCTAATTAAGGAAAGAGAATGATGAATGCAATCGCCTCTGCCGTAGATCAAATATCAATATATTTACGGTATATATATCAAAACTACAGGTAAAATATTCGTACCAGGCATCTGATGCGTTGTGCCCTTTGATCGATCTCTTTTAAAACCTTCCATCAATTCTGGATGAACAATATTTCTTGGAACGCTTAGAGACCATAGAAATCTAGAACAACAAGAAATTATCAGAGTGGAAAAATCATACAAAGACTGAGATTTTCGTGACTGTTCATATAAATATTTTTATTTCTCAAACATGGAAATTTCAGACTGTTGTTAAAAAATGGGGCTAAATGGTTATATATCACAGCCGGCTTGCTAAAGAATTCAATGAGCGCTGTGAAATATAAAATACAAAGCTAGTTCTGCTCTCATTTACAGACCTGTTCCAGAGCTTGATAAGTTTCTTGCTGTGAATAGTTGTGACATCTAAAAATTGAACCGCTTGTGGGCTTATCTGCTGGGCTTTTACGTGATCTTTTTTCATTGACTTCTCGTTGTTTTGGAGCCGTAAACCTTCCATGAAATTGAACGTCATCTACGAGGAAATATATAATAGGAGAATTGAATAAATACAACTAGACAATGCTATGAAATCAGTGATGTTGCAGTATAAAGATTAAATATCCTGAACGAAATAATTGGGCCGAATAAACAGAAGTCAAACCTCATTACGAAGCCTTGTGGAGAAAAACTTAAATGACCTAAAATGAGCAAGTCCGGAGCACCCGAATAACCATGAAACATAAAAAAATATTATGGGAGTACGTACATAGAGAGCGGAGTTTCAATACTATTGTGGGATATTGATATTTATAAATTAGTAAATGCTATTACCGGAACGTGAAAGTCATGATACCCTTTTAAATTGAAGTGGACACATTTTCTCCCTTTAAACCGGATGGCGGGAGGATAGTCTTACGAGAACGTTTGGAGTTCCACCGAGACGAGAATGACGTAATATAACTACATTTAACTCACCCAATTGTTTAGTAAATAATATGCATATTACAACTCGTGTGAAAATGTTACCCGAAACGGCTGGTCAATAGATCCTCGCAACAGTAATGCGCATACATGGCATGGATTGTATCGCAAAGCTCGATTTAGATCATCCACAGCTTTTTCTGTGTCTTTATTTGTGTTCCACAACAAAGCCCTGAATTTACAAAACGTGTTTGAACACAATGAGAGTAAGCTTTATAAAAACATCGTGACAGGTTTTCAAAATAAGTATGGCCAGTGAAAGGTGGCACTACTCTTTTCAAAATTATGTAATGCTCATGTATGGCATAATATAATAAAAAGGATAATAGTCTATGTAATTGGATGTAGACCAGACGGATAGGCTGGACCATTGTGTCATGAGGAAATCCATTATTTCGAATCTTTCACCAATAGAAACATAATGGTGTTATTTTAGGACTAATAGGATTTCCTTGCCATTGAGGTTGTGGGGAATAAATGTCACAAAATTGTAACACAACTTAAAAATGTCCGTATTTATTACTTGAAAACAAAAATTTATTATTACTCTATGACGGAGAAAGCTATGATTCATTAAATAACAAATTTTACTAATCAGAAATACCTTATACAAAATAAGTCTGAGTTCCTGGTGTCCAAAACAACTGCTTTTTCAATGTCAACGAAAGCGTTTTTCATATCTCCCGCCCGTGCGTGGGCGTACGATCGTTTGGCCAAGACCGGAGTTTGGAAGCAAGAGTTCGAATTACATCCAGCTAGACAGCCATTCTGTACGACAAAATTATTACACAAATGTAGAACAGGATTCATGTCTGTTCAATTTCCAAATTGAATTACAATAGAATGACAGAAAAATTTTCATCAAACACGCAATTATAAAATGCAACTTTATGTGAACTCTGATACATCATAGCAAATTTATTGTACACTTTCGAAACACCATCCGTTAGGTCTCGATTCCACAATAGTTGCCATCTCCTTATACACATATAAAGAAAAATTTGGACAATAGCAAAAATATATTTCATATTGTTACAGCTATAATAATAGGTATTATATGTTTAACAGAATTATTATTTACTTAAAATCAATCGATACGAGTCATCACATGTACCTGAAACATAGAATGTAGCGAATTTACTGAAAGTGTAAGAAAATGGAATTGACCAAACCTTATGAATATTAACAGCGTTCATTGCTTGTGTATATGCACCGATAGCTTCTTTGTGTCGCTCGAGATTCTGTAATGCCACTCCCAAGTGATAGTACGACTCATATATCAACATCACATAAGAATCTGTTATCGTAAAACCTTGAGGCATTGACGGTCTTGATATCAGTTTCAGCAAAGCCCTATACACATCAACAACCTGGTATGATAATGACGGAATTGTTTTAATTTGAGGAAATTCTTATGATCGGTTAAATCAATTCTACAGCGATTGAAAATAGACTTATAGTGATTTTGTTATAACGTCTTTGTCAAAATGAAAAGGGTCGAGCATGGCTTGTATGAAACTAAATTAGTTGACTGGTAAACGTATATATAAGTCTTGCATATAACACTTCAATTTCCGATATGACAAGATCTGGCGATCAGATCAGAATTCCCGATTTAGGCACGGCAATTATTTCACAATCCCCTTAGAATACTACTGTGACAAGCTATATATGTACAAGCACCTAGATATTATTTCGTCTGTTGAAATCAATATTTCCCACTTGACCTTGGTGTATATCAAAATCAAGTATCGTTATAAGAGCGCAGTGATATTAACAGAATACTTATACCACTTATATTACTATTAGTCACAAAGTAAAATAACAGTTTATCTAACTTCTAAATGATTTTGAAATGCAACAAAATGTATATGACATATCATTAGCGCGAATATTTGATCGGAGTACACTCTGTATTTTTTTGAGATAATATATTTGTAAAACAAGATGTTGCCACTAGAGATTCATAAAGAATTTTATGCTCATTCAATGAAACATAAAAGATCGCAACATGTTATGTTTTAATTCAGTGAACATATTAGTTATCGAAACACCTTAACTGTGACGTACCCCACGTGTACTTATCCCACAGTTATCATATTCATCTTTCAATTCATCGTATATGTTATGTTCATACGAAGATCGATCCTTACACCCAAGTATTTTAGAATAATAATATGCGAAGTATTTGTAATCTCGAATTTGCATATAAATCATCGTTTTGTAATAGTACATAAAATTTCATTCTCCTACCTTTTCCCATCTTCTGGCTCTTTCATTCATGATTGCACTTCTGAGATAAAATTCCGCCTGCGACTGGATTTCCACCATCTTTTCCAGTGGGTCAATCGCCATTTCTTTCGTACTTGTAGGAGGGCGCATGTTGTCGTCACCAAATTCTCCTAAAGCTGTTGATGCTAGACTGCTTGCAATACTATAACAAGACGCACGTCTGTTGTCGTTTTCTGAATACCCCATGATAATTGATGAAATTATAAACCTCGAAAACTTTCTTTTATTTCAGGATATCTTTAAACCACGGATTTCATTCAACAGGTGAATAAAAGCACAATTAAGCGATTACTGACGTTGACGAATTCTCCAATTAAAATTCCACACTTTGAACTGGCTTTAACTTCTGCTCCCAACTGAACCTTCCATCAATTAAAATAAGATTCGAAAATCTTTGGACGGCCCGATGTTACGGATCTAGTCGCGACTATGGATAGCATGGGGTCGTATTTATAAATATTCCTAAGCGATTTTTTCTTTGATATGACAGCAATATGGAATTTAATACTTTAGATTTTATTACGAGAAAAGCCCAGCCCATTGGAGCCGCGACATATCATCGAATTTCTATCCATACAACACGATACAATTACAATTGTTTTCACAGGCATTTAATTGTTGTCAAACACGCTTACTAAACAAGGTATAGTATTATTTATGGGATTACACAATTCTCGACTAAACAATATCTGGAAACAGATCGGTTTGCCCCAACAAACATTACGTAATGCGGCATTCTGATCGATTTTCTGATAAATGAGCGCCATCTATTATGTCAGAATACATATAATTTGGGCGACATCCATTGCGATCATAAAAAATAAAGTTGTGGTGAATTTGTCAGTCAGTCTTTTAGGAGTAAAACTACAAAAGCGATAAATTTTGGAGGATTGGCCTGATTCTAAAACGATCTCACATGTTATCTGATGTCAACTTTTTGCAAATTAGCATTTTGTGGGAAAGCATTTCGCAGAAATTCATCATTTCGAGTAACATAAATTTATCAGACACCGAGGGGGTTCTACTGTATTCCAAAGCAACGAAATAATGTCATAACCAAATTTTCCCAACTTTTATCTTCTCCTTTACCCTGTGGCTAATTTACCCATAAACTCTGTATACTGTCTATACCAGAGTTACTCAAACTGGGCCCTCGGCCATCCCTGGAGGGTCCCGGAGGGTTTTTTGGGGAGCACGAACCTCATTTACGATAACTATATCGATTTAACGTAAATTAACTGTTGTTTGTTTAATTTTTCGAACGTAATGAACTTATTCTTTTACTTTCGTTGGTTGTTTTTTTATTATTAAACGTCGCGGATAAAATACCTGATGGAACCGATTGAAAACATATCCATTTTTTATTGAAGACCAGGTGGTCAGACTCACAAGTATTGAGAATGTTTAGGATGGGCCTACGGTTCATAAAAATTTGAGATCTACTGGTCTATTCCATGTGTGTTGTAAGTAAGCGATGAAAGAAAATGACGCGGGGCTAAGACAAATAACATAATAGCATCTATTGCGCAACATAGAACGTTGAATTTTGGTCAAATTCACTCCCAAGGCGGAAGTTGGGAACCTCTACTCTGAACGACTTTCACTCGTAAACGTATTTCTCAATATAACATAGAGGATGCTGCAATGTACAGGTCACGGCGAATAATATAAATGCTAAGCATAAGCTAGGGACGGTGACCGTACATTTGAACCCATGTGTATATCCGCGGGTTCAATCTATATGCGGGTGTTAAACCCATGGGTAAGGATTAGTATGGGTTCAAATATCCGTAAAACAAAAAAAAATTCCATAGGTGCAATTCTCATGGGTTCAAATGTAATGGAACCGCTAGGGACACATAAACAGATCCAAAGTTACGATTGGTAAAAAGCACTAAGCCTGCCTGACTTTTACCTCCCATACGCTTTAATTAACCCCCTTTAATCCCAAAGTAATAAATTGCAATAGTTTATTTTTACCGACTCATACTCATAATCAAGTCTAGACTTCTTGTCACACTATTGAAAGACGCCTCGTATGTACAGAACTTACATCTCAATATTTGTCAAGTTGAAGCTTTTGTTACATTGTTTACTTTAATAAGCGAAGTCCTTGAATCGTGTGTGAGTCGGGTTGATTATATATCTATATATCCAAAATTGACGCATTCGGTTAGCGTAAGTTATATAAATATTTGTTTGACTCGTAAGATTGAATTGGAAACGTCACAAAGGTCTGATTTTCGGCATCATGAAAAAGGCGCATAGAATTGAATGGCATGCCACGACTTTCCCTCTGAAGACACACGCGTGGTTTGACCGCTCATCTTTCGTAAATAGGGATACTAAGGTAGGGGCGGTAAAAATTTTCCGGGGTCAAAGGACATCGATACTCAAATTGCAGTTCATAATTTCTATATTTATTCCAGGGAATGTCGCTTAGTTAGGATAGCAAGCGAAGATAAAATTATGGCGGTGGAGCTTCAGAGAAGGATCGTAATGATGAGCCCCAACACAAAACAGGCGAACTCCGACACTCCTAATTTGTTATATTCAGGTGTAAAATCGATAGCATAATACGTATACACAACTCTAGTTCTATGCAAACGTATTGGGACAGCTTGCATCTTAACACAGTCAACTAAGTAGGATAGGATTTACATATCCTGGAGGAGATCGAGGAAAGTCGGCTTAATCACATGGCGAACCACGGCCTCTCGTCCGGTCGCCAGTACATCTCGGGTATGGGATTAGGTAGCCTGTTATTTGTTTTAGGAAGAATGGACTGGGGCAATCTTCTTCAGTCAATTGTGATTGAGCAACGAAGTTCAATTCTTCCCAAGTAAAAAGTAAATTTCACACAACTAGTTTGTTACTCTCCAGAAGATGACAGTCCTAACAATCGGTGAAAAAATGCCTCAGGGCGTACAACACGCATTGTGCAGAGGTACAACACTGGGTATACAGCAAAGTCAGCAGCAAGATTTCTACTTTGAGCAAACTCAACCATATCAGTAGATGCATATTTTCATTGAATTCTATCTCGGAATCTTGTTCAGTCTTCTGACATCTTGTTCTATAACAGTTTACAGAAGAATTATTACAAAATATTTTCATTATGCGCACAAAATTTAATTCGAACTATTTTGGCCCATTACATTGCCATGCCATGTAGGCAACATCCAACAGAAGCACCAGATCAATTGGTCATGCCAATTTCACATCGGCTTTCCATACCACCTAATCATCATTGGAATTGGCTATCTGTTCAAGTGTTTGAGTTGGAAGCAGGTAACTGCCAAGGTTCATCATCATCAGATGATGAATCGTCGTTTTCATTTTGAATTTTCTGGAAAATATTTGAATTCCACAGTGAAAGAAAGAAATAAAAATCTAGCTGATACAGATCACATTAAATACTTTTTTTTTAAAAAAAAGACGATACCAGGTGTTAGCATTCCTAACCATGCCCAGCATGTATATACTGTACAATAAACTTCGTAATATTGAATAATTTTGCATGAGATTCACAAATTCATCCTGTTATATTCCTGGCCAAAACACCCATTATTTGTAAAACAAATGTGAACTGCTTGTCTGAGAAATTCTGGGTTCAGTCATAAAAACATTACAGCATAAAATTTGTTGAAAGTCTAATTTGACCTTTGAACCACAATGTATGGCTGCTTTGATTTTTATCACCTTATCCTTGCCACTAGTGCATTATGGGTGCACCTACACAAAGGCATAGAGCAGAAACTACTCCTGAAGTATGCACACCAAGATGTCGCACAACCTAAACCCTAACCTGGTACACAACCTGAGGACAGGTTGTGCGCCATCTTGGTGCACATACTTCAGGAGATCCGCAGATACAGTAGTTAGGAACACACCGCCACATTCAATCATTGCTGAGTGAACTCAAAATTATCTTACCATTCTTAAAAAATCAACTAGTTTTGTTGCGTCTTCACCGCGACTCAAATCTAGGAAATCTTGTGGCATTCTATAACTCAGCGTTTCACTTGGTTGCATTGTTGCATCTCTCTTAGCAAATCTGAACATTCCAATGGGTTCACCATCTAAAAATAAAACAATGTTTATTCTGACTAAACTGGTCGATTTTGTTTATGTGCACATGACCTTGTATCCAGCAAATTCTTATGAAAAATACAATAATATACCTGGTGTAATAATGGGACAATCTTCTTCAGTTAATTGTGATTGCACAAAAGAGTTCAATTCTTCCCATGTAAACAGTAATGAATCTGTCATTGAACCCCAAGGATTAAAATCAATTATCCAGAATTTCCCCTGAAACAAGAAAAATGTTGTCTGTAGGTCATTAAGTGAGCACATTCGACAGTTTACTATGAAACAATAAAATGGGTCTGGTTCATTACTGAGAAAATAACAGCAAAACATAGAAAGCAATTGCAAACACAACTAGAGTTAGTAAATGAATGAATTTAACCTAAATTCTTAATCAACCTAAGTCTAGTCATCAAGGTAAAAAGCATAAGCTATATGTCCGCCATCTTGGTTCACATACTTCGGGAATACCATATTTCCTATATTACATCATGATCATCTAATTTACCAATTCAGAAATCCGAAACTGAAAAATATATTTTCTAAGAACAATGATCTAGTTAAATCTATTAATACTCACATCTCTCTTCTTGTAGATGTCAACAACATCTAAAAAAAATTGGGTTATTCAGTACTTTTGAATCATTAAAATAACACAGGTACTAGAGAGAATAGTAATGTAAAATTTTGCCAATGGTTATGGCATATTGGCATTCTCTAATGATCCTTCATGAGATTCAGATTTGTAGCACTCACACAAAGTGATCATTGGTTTAATAATGATTGTCAAGTCTGTAACATAATGTATCATTTTTAGACACTTTATATTTCATTCAATCATTTTGTTTTACAAGATACTCACAATTAGAATTATTAAATTTATGTTGAATTTTTTCTTGAAAAAATCTGCAAATTTCTACAGGTAAAGACTGTTGTTGGCTTTCAACATATTCATAATATTGTTGATGATGTCTCTGACACGCAGCAATGAGTTTGTGGTTTCGTACAAAACATCTGAATTCCATTCCAGGTACTAAGTTTGCCCATTTCCTCAAAACCAACTGAAAATATTTAATAAATCTGATAAGAAAAAAGATATGGTTTTATTTTGGATCACATTTTCATAAATTTTATTTTGTATTGTTCCATCTGACCAAAGGCAGACTTCCTCAGACAAACAGTTTACAATAATGATAAAAAAAAAGAACAATTATAGGATGCATTATACATGCATGATATTTATGACAATATTTGCTGATATCAATATTCCGATGCTTGGAAATTGCTGATTTGATGCTGATGCTGAAATTGTTAATCTAATTTAATAATCAGATTATTAAAATTTGACATCCTTGCAGTGGGAACATGATTTATGTCAATATCAGGTAATATAAATCTCAATAAAATATTCTAATTTAAATTGAATAAAATTCCAGAAAACATACAATTCGGGTGTGAACATCCCTTCTGGCGGAAAGAACGACATATATATAATTTTGAACAAATTATAAAAGATTAAAATCTTACTTCTTTCTGGAATTGTGGATCTGGTATTGAATCATCAGTACATAGTTTAAATGGAGATGTCAAATCGTAAGTGATGAAGTCGGAACTTTTCATAAGTAAAATGATGTCACCTGATAAAACAATAAATATAGAAAAGAATTCAATTTCACGAAGCAGTATTTTGAACTCTAATTTCTGATATTTGGACACACTTTAAAAAATATATTGCTGTACGAAGATTGTTTATAATTATTAAACAAATGAGCAAGGTGATTCGAGTGCATCATAGGAATAAATCGAACAGATTCTAATTGATAGTTCCTCTTTGATGTAATAATATTTGTGTCGGCATGATACGCAATCAGTGAAAAGTTTGAAAATATTTTCAACAACAATTAACATTAACTGCCCAAGTTTTGGCATCAGGCATTCTGTAACAAGCAGAAGCAAAAATGCTAGTAGTAAGCCTCATCTATGTTGGCAATAATGGCTAAGGGTCAATCAGGACCATTGTCCTCAGACAGAATGTAACAAGGAAGTAGCCAAACCTAGTTTCAAGTTTTTCCAGACATAGTGGTGTATTCAATAACAACCCTATTTCATGAAAAGGGTATAAAAACATAAAGTCACCCGGAGTGTTACACTTCAAACTATTATTCGGTGTTATCCAAATAGCATCTTTGGGTGAACTCCAATTCAATTTTGGAAATGATTTCCAATTTAATTTCTCTAAAACTTCTTTGATTTGTTCCAGAAGAGCAGTGAATTGAGGTGCCTGTAAACAACAATTGTCTTCTTTAATTGCTTCTCCATAAGTATAAAACCACAATCCAATATTTCCAAGCAAAAATATTGCAATCCCAATACTGGGAAACTAGGTAATCATGTTGTAAATATCAGCTAATGCAGGTACAAAAGGTTTATTTGGTAACTATATGGGTCAATACTCAATACCACCATAAAGAGCTAATAAGAAAATAATTTCAGAAATTATTATAAGAAATATTGCACATAGGAGTATTGAGAACATAAATAAGTAGTGCTGGTATATTTTGAAATAGGTATATATACATATACCATACATATACATTTTTTTTAATAAATCTTCTGAATTAGTAAGTCAGGATAATTATGAATCCATTTTTTCAAATTATGACTGAATTTGGCGTCCCTACAAAGGCAAGAATATCACAGATTCGAAATCTTAGAAAATCTTCAAACCTCATTTTCATTTTGTGTTTCGTCTTCATCTGACCAATTTTCATTATCATCGAAATTACTTTGTATACTTATATCAGCACCTTTTGGTAATATCAATGGACCATCTTTTTGCAAATATTCAACAAAATCATCCGGCAATGGTATAATAAAGCTAAAAAACAAAAATCCACAAATGACAGCCATCGATTATTAAACACATTTGAAGTGAAAAATTACAGTTCTTCAACATATTCAGTATTAAGAGTTCAATAGCCTGAAAATTATGAATTTCAATCACATAGTTAAATTATATTAGGAAATTTAGTGTTATTTACTGATATATGTCAAAAACTAATTTACATTGCATCTAGGATAAATCAAATTCACTATATAATTTAAAAGAATCCTCGAAAAATAAATCAAAGAACTGTTGAATTCAAATTAATAGGAGAGATTAAAAAGCGATAAATATAAGCAAAAAATAGATGATTATTCGTTAAATCGAAATAGAAAGATCATATGTTTTCCTCTGCTGCTGGGCCACAAACTCCGTCAGAAAATTCAGTGCCATCTTCAGATGGCCACCACATTGGAATATGACATCGAAATTTTAGCTGACCATCTTTTGAAGAAAGTGTTTCTCCTGAGTAGTTCAGTCTCACTAATGCAAGACCTACTTTACCATCAGAATGCATTGATCGAAACTTTCCTGCACTTTTTCTCTTCTCTGTGTATATTGAAGACCCAGATTCAATAGATCCTTCTCCTTCTATGCTCACAGGAACAAGTCGTTTTCTAATGACACCGGTAAATTTGGTACGAGCTGTGAGCTCTTGACCAATATAACATCCTTTATGAAAGCTGACACCATTCATGAAATCAAGATTGCATTCCAAGGGCAGACAAGTTCCAGGTGGCAAATCTAACGGACCCTCTGGAACACCGATGTAATGTCTTTTATGATGATATGCATTAATATCCATGTTAATTAATGCAGAGTCACTTTCTGACATATTTTCAACCACCAGTCTATGTCCGAGCATTGGGACCCTCGGGTCAATGGCAGAAGTGATTACATTGCTGAACTGTGGAGAAATATGAAAAGAATTTCCAGACATTGCCTGCACCACCGATAGATTATCTCTGGGTGTAATACTCAGTTTTTTTCTCAGTTTATATAATTTTAAAATTTTAATGATACTTTCGGAATTTGACGACTCACATTCAAGAAGGACTTTGTTTTCTGTGTCGTGTTGTTGATGATATAACATAATATCATGCATAATGCGTCCATGTTGGTTTAAAATCATTGCATACATGCATTTCATTTCAGGGAGAAGTTCAACGTCATTGGTTATAATCCCTTGTAAAAAATTGGTAACATCCCGTCCTTCGAGTTCAAGTAAACTCCGATGTTTCAAATGAGCATATCTGACATTATCCTGATCCTTGTCAACAATATGCATATGCCTTGCACTAGACAGCATTTTTGATTTCGAACAGAACCGCGGAAAGATACGTCGTAATAGTGTAACTCTTGACATAGCCAAAGACATTTTAAATAAAATAAGATTTCATCAACTCCTACCTTTTTATTGTGATGTCTGAAAATTGTGAATACCATTTTGAGAACATGCAATTCATCACATGTTCTTTTGTTAATGTTGTCATATTGTAGTATTGTTGAGTTTCAAATTTTGAGGAAGTTTAAGTATACCTTAATACCAGTCAATCAATAATTTTTCTAAAAAAAGTTTGGTAATCTCATGTTTATATTGACTTCAACAATCCATATTTAAAAAAAAAGATATGACTTTATTGGCAAAACTAATATATAATAAAATACAGAATATGAAAGTTCTTCATGACCACTAACAGACTACTAGAATTGCATGAACAAGAGGACAAGAGTAAAACTGTAAAATGAGACAGGCATGGTGAAAATAGATACCTGGATCTAAAGAAGCGAGTGCCTTGACGATTACGCCCCTATCCAGTTATCTGTAAATATAGTAAAGATAGTTGGGCACAATATGTCTATCTCTCAGTCCTCCATGCAGACGCAGTGATGTAAGAAAGCAATCTGGTATTTTTGTATTTCATTATTTGTCAAACAAGTATTACTGTATTAACATTCTTGAATATCTGTCTGAGCGAAACAAGTGTCTGAGTGGCCTCACTAACTTTACAGCTTTAATTGTTACCGGTACGTCAATCTGTCAATATTAACTCATTGCCGATAGGCCATTAGGTATTACTGCATTACGGAAAGAAACATGGAAATTGATGCTCGTGGAAACATCCATAGCTTCCTTCACCATCAGATCCTAATTCAGTACGGTACCGGTAGGCTACCGTATTTTCACGCTCCTGGCAATGCAAACAAAAACTCAGTCAAAAGGAAAAATTTGTCTCAATTATTGAGTTTATATCTGAGTTATGCAAGTAAAATAAAAAATTAACATAAGCTGCGGCAGACGGGTCCAAGGACACTTGCAACAACATCGTGATCTTTAAATTTTGTGTCTTACCCGACATCTCTTTCAATTCCAAATATAGGCCATCCATACAAAGGTACATATGGTCTTTGGTGCGCACGATGCTAAGCGTTACGGTATCATAGCGCCTGTGATAATCATACACGGCTCGCAGCTGGACTCTTCGCAGTCTGTAGTGGTGGTAGCAAAATAGTCAAATTAGGGATGGCCGAATACGGTCACTGGGCGTCAAATTGGAGATGGAAACTGCTCGGTAACACCTACATGAAGTCTATACACCTAAAACAAATACATGACCAACTTGAGCCACCGTGTGAGAACTGAGAAGATGGTGGTTCTACTCTACACCAAATGCTTATTGTCTGCTACACGGAGATAAATATGGGAACCTATCCATTTAGTTATGGATCGAATCTTATATTCTTAATCGGAAAAAAACACGTCTGCTTCAGTGAGTCATTATTACATAGTGTTGAGCATTGCGAATGCAGAATATATCAGGACTGATGCGATTACTGGTACTTGATTTTATGGAAATCATGTGCGAAAACACGGATTCGTTTTTTCCGAAAGCAATGTATGCGAGAAAAGAACTTCAAAGTAGCGTTTAGTTCTCGTATACCCCCAAAACATTCCGGGACTCTCGTTGGTTCATATTCCACCGAAAAAGAACATCTGTAATAAGACTAATTATGAGAAATGAAAGATCAATTTCATTGTTATGTCATAAACGTTTTAATGGCATTGCTGCTAACTACATACAGGTATATTACAGTAGTTGACTTGTCGGCCGGTTATTATCAGTTTTCATTATGGAAATGTTGGTAAGTTTTGTTTTCATTAATTCGTGATTTGGTGACTCACCGAAAAAGCATGCTTCAATTGCAGTGAGCGTAAGTGGATGTAAATTCGTATTTCTTACTTATGACTAACTGCTTGCATCATTTTGTCATTTCCACCCCTTCTCAAAATGCCCGTTGGACCTTTTTATTCGGGAAGCACCTCGGCGAGAAAATTATTACGCAACAAACCCTTTGAGAAACCAAGCACCGCCCTGGCAAGTTTGCTCATCGTCAAACATTTATCACGTGCCCACGCTCATCCACGTTTGTCTGGTAATTTATTCTCTCCTACAAACGAGAGAAGAGAAAAAATGAAAGATAATGGGACTACTGGAGCATGACAGGTGACGTCACCATACAGAGTTATTTTTGCTGGAGATGGTTGGGCGAAGGAAGTCGTTGCCCGCGTTCAATGCTTTGTTCATTGCAGTTAGAGCGGAATTTCGGTCATTTGCGTAATGTTGTTAATGAATCTATATGTTAGATGTGAATGCCATGAATTTTGACAGATCGACTTGGTATACCTTACCCTGCAAGCCAGTTACTACTCCAGTACTCAGCTCAAAAATAGGCAAATCCAGCTGCAGAAGCGTGGTGACGTTGCTGTGATATCCTAGTATCCTGGTATTTAGATGTCATAAGTTGATACCCATGGTTCGTTTCGTGCTTGTAAAAATGCTGTAATCTTTATTGTTAAGTATAGTTTTTTTCAAATTAATATGGGTAGCCTATGTACCTGATTTAAAACTTACAAGTGCAATTAATTTCAGCAATACCCAAATCTGTAAATGCAGCCAGGTGTCAAAACATGCCATTTTTGAAGGTTCTATGGTACTAACCTAGTAATGAAATAGCCTAGCCTACTAACTGCTTAAAAATAAACAGAAGAACATTATTCTAAAACAGATAGCATCTTGTAGTTTGTTAGTCTTGTGTTATTGTATTAATAAGTTCTTCTTTGACCACTTGAGGAATCAGATGTTGTTGGTTCTGTGGTTTGGGAAGTGGACAGCAGGATTTCAGTATTTGCCAAACATATTGTTCACATACGGCCATTTATATAAAATTGATGTTCTACCTAAATTATAGAGTAATTAACATTACACAATCAGCACGGCTGTTGAAAAACTAAACTAAGATTTTCACATTGTTACGATAGATGTAAAACGAATTAGTTATTATAGAGGCATTTACTACTAAAATACGGCACACTAAACAGATCGAGAGACATTGTCTCGTTACAGAGAATCCCATTTTGCGGATGAACAAACACTTCTTCTTTCGGGGACGTCTGGACATTGTTGTCCCTCGATATACAGTAAAATGAAGTTGCGCAAAAAACTACAAAGGAGCGCAATCTAAAAACGTCATTGTTGAATTCCTCTGGAAAAAATAATAAGATATCAGAAGGAAAAAAATTCCTACTGTGGCATTCGAGAGTTTTTAGCAAAAACAGCAATTTTGATCATGCGACGGCCGCGATTAATTTACATTATTATCGGGGCATACATGACGCGATATGGCACCTCTACCATTGTGTTAGACGGCCCTCGTTTGTGAGACATATGGAGTGTTTGTTTTATTGAACCAAATGACGGGACATTCTTAGAATTTGGAAAGTGTGCCGTACTGTATTATTTTTTATGCTATGTTGAATGTTTTACTTCATTTTTTATATTGTGCAGCTGTTGAAACTTCTGACTAACTTAGTTGACGTCAAAACACAGATCTGTAATGAAAAACAACGCTAGCAGTGTTCGCATGCCATCACCGCGTCAAAATGCCGATAAATCTTCCCCAAAACGAGGATCTAAATCTGACAATCAGAATTTGAAGTTGCAAGGTGGTTGCAAAGGTGCCAAGCCGTGCACAAAGGTACCTATAATTCCATGTATATTAATTCTATAATAATAACACGAACATATCTATAATTATTGAAATTTATTTAGGGTGGAGATACAATTGTTAAACAAGAAGAAAATTACCTGGCGAGATGTACAAATTTTCGGTTGACAACTGGTTATGAATTGAGCATTTGCAATTGTAAGCATATTCGAAAGATTCGAATTGGAGAACGGCATTCGATTGTGAATCCTCAGCGATGGTTATGTGAAACATGCTTCACAACAGAATCTGTATGGGCGTGTCTAAGTTGTCCGAATGTAGCATGCGGCAGGTACGTATCTGAAGCCTACACTCTGTATGTTTTACTGTCATAATATGTTGTTATTTTTCGATATCCCTGTTGCGTCAATTAGTTTCAATAACACAAATTTTACTTCCGCAAATTCACAAGCTCACTCGCAAATGATAGAAACTCACTCAAGAGTAGATAGATATATTTCCTGTTTTGTGTCTTTGTACTCAGCCCGTTAATAATGTCTTTTATCATCAATATTTTAAGTCAATTCTATATACTTTTGAATAGATTATTAACTTATTGCTTTCGGACATAGATGAACCAGATATTAGCAGTCTTAAATGATCAATCAACTGTATGAAAGCTTTTTTGTTAATTTGTATACATTCATCATTTGTATTTATTTATTCCAGTAATTAAGTGAGATAATATTTCAATTTAACAAACGAATGTATTTCAAAATGATTGTATGTAATTGTGTGTATACAACTGTATTTGTTCGATAATTTATCTGCTCGCATCAGGAAATTATATCTGCCTTTGGAGCCCTCTTTTTCACTCATAATATGACATCAGAATTCTCAGTTAGTTTTGGCCAGTTATGACTAAACTTTAAGAAAGTTCTCCAATACCGTAATTTCTAAGTTGGCTATTACCAAATATTAGTTTGTTATACTAAATCAAGTTTGGGCCAGATATAAAATATCAAATCATGAAAATACAACAATGAACTTTCACCTGGTATTAAATTGGTTTTAAAACAAAAGGTCAATTTGTCCTATATTAAACGAGTGGTTATGCTCTAAAACAGTGGTTTTCAAGCTTTTTGAGTCCAGCCCCCTTTTTAGAAAATCTCAAGTCTCGCGCCCCACCTCAAAAATAACTACCGGTAGCTAACAATAAGCTACTAATAACAGATAGTAAGGCGAAACGCGAAAGTATGTTTTATTTATAAAGCATGTTGGAAATACGTGTACATAATAAAGAAATGTTTGAGCACTACTGTCTAAAAAAAGGCTTTCTTAAACTTATTTATTTCCATATAATATTAAATAGGCATATTGTTTTTTTATTCGACCTATTTATACACCTCTCTGGACAAGGCTCAGTATGAGCATCCGCTAGGTAAGAACCTATGATATTTTGGAAGGACCAGATTCCTTGCAATTCGTCATTGCCTATCCAATTTATTACAGTCTGAGTAAGGTGTCAGACATAGGATTTGAACCCAAGATTTTTAATCAGTGATATTAATTTCAGCATCTTTACCACTTGGCCATCGCGTCTATTGTATTTGTAACAAATAAACAAGAATACGTGGTACTGAATATATGTAACGTAAAAAATTTTGTTTTGCAGGTTTATAAAAGAACACGCCCTAACACATTTTCAAGAATCTGGTCATCCACTGGTTATCGATGTCAATGAACTGTATGTTTTCTGTTATAAATGTGATGATTATGTGCTTAATGATAATAATTCCAGTGACATCAAAGTCCTCAGAGAAACTCTTTTGGTAAGAAATTGGAAGGAGTAATGTCGTTAAGATAAATTTTAATTTAATGCTCTACCGGAAGATATTATATGAATTATTAAAATCAGAACGCAATTTCATATATGTACTATAGATAGAACGGATTTGTGATTGAATCTTTGTTGGAAATTTGTTTTAGTAAAATCTGCTAAACAAATTTTGTGATTTTGCCAGAGAAGAAGTAGAAAATTTTTTTATAGTATTGCAATTTGCAGACATCATGGTAATTTTTTTCCTTACGATTCCAGATGTCGAACTAATTTTAATTTCACCTCATTTCTTATTTTTGATTTGATGTGTTATGTAGTATAATCATGAGACATGTCAGAATGTATTATATAAAATAATCTGAACAAGGCTCTCTATAAGCAACTCTGAAATGAAGGATAACTACTATATTTCATAAGGACTACTATGTTTCTGGTTCGGCATTACCTTACCAACTTATTACACCATGGGGGAGGTGATTGCCATGGAATCTAAACTCAAGATTTGGGGCTCCCGAAGTATGCGAACCAAGATGGCGGACATCGGAATGTAATATGTGTACTAGGTTAGGGTTAGGCCATAATTTTATGTATAAATACTACGGGAGGCTCTTGACTAGTCTTCGAACTGATAATAGGACTAAAATAAGGAAAATTGGAAAAAAATTATCGCCTAACCCTAACCTGTTGCCCATGTTACGTTCCGATGTCCGCCATCTTGGTTCGCATACTTCGGGAGCACCCAAGATTTTTATCTGCAATGCCAACATATTTCAGCCCAACCAACACTTTGATACATAGACTTTTGAACCCACAAAACCCACCCGGCCTGATTATATAATTTTAAATGACAATGTCAAGTATTTGGCAGCAACTTTTCAGATAACTCTCTATAAAACGACATATAAACTTCACGATTATCAATATAATAAATTCAATTTAGATCGTGATTAGTAAATGAACTACCAAGTAATTTCGACCCACCCATATAAATTATTTAAATTCACGATCACCAACATTCATATATTCTCATCCAGGCCATTCGATACCAAAACTTCACTGGAACAACTCGCAGTGGTCATACTTTAAGGTCAGCAATGATCACTGAACAAGTTGATGTTGAAATGAGAAGACAAATGCAACAAGAACAATTAGACAGAGATGACAGACTTTTCACTGCTATTTGGCATTCTAGGTTGGTTGTTACTCTTTCGCCTTACCTCTGTTATCAAAAAGTCAATAATCAATGAAGTTAAGATATCCATCGTATTCATTAGTAATACCAATTAAGTTAATAGTCAAGGAAGAAGTCTAGTTACCTTGGCACCAACACAGCCCATTTAAAGTTATTTCTGCAAAAGCTAGTAAATTTTCGTTTTTAGAACAGCAACATCATTCTACGTGTTACCGTTATATGGTTAATCAAATTACACCAATTATTTTTGCTATTTCAAAGACTATTCAAAAAATAACCTTAAACACTTATTACAATCAGCGTTCTAAATTTTAAACAAAATTAGTATTTAAAGATTACTATTAAGAGAAGAGATATATTCCACATAATTACTTATCGATTTCAATCGGTAAGTATGTTGTATTTCGTATTTGTCTATCTGTTTGTCTGTTAGATGCACGCGATATCTCATGAAAGCGAGATTAAATCTGCTCCAGATTTTGCATGTGCATTCATCATATGTCGGACCAGAAGCCTATTGATTTTGGATGAATTATGTCATATAATTAGCGAGTTATTAATTAGTGATAGGACACAAGGTGTCACTATGGAGTAAGAACGCTGTTTTAGGGGATCCCCTAACTTTCGATCGATAAGTCTTCGGTCTCTGACCGATATTCTCTTTTCTTTCTCATTGTATACAATTTTTGATTTCAAATTTTTTATGCATTATTCTTTTGTCTTAGGTTTGTTAGACAACGAAAAGCATTCCGACGATGGGTTCGATATATTCATTGGAAAAGAACAAAAACTGTGTTCCCATTAGAAAGTAGTGATGATGACACTGAAACTGAAAGCTCAGATATTGTAATGGAACCACCAGATCTTACAGGTAAAATAGCCTGTCCATTTTGATATAAACACTAATTATTGACTTGAATTCACCATCTTTGGCTCGGAGAATTGCTTCTTTTATTAACAGTTTTCTATGTCGTAGTGACTTGAACTGGCCTGTAATGCTCCACCATAAATGTATACTGTTTGTCATTTCAGTTGTTCGTAACTTTTCTTGTAGAGGAGTCTCTTTTACTTTTGAATGAGTCCACTCGACTCCGATTTGAGTAAATCCAAAAAATTAGTAAAGCGGGTGGTATTGGTGGTATAATATGATGTTTTAGATAGTAACAGATTTTTTTAAATTTGAGCTGAATCACAGGAGGGTTCATGTGACTGCTGTACGGTCCGTTACTGCTGTAAAGTTATGCACCGGGACTGATTGAAGGGGCTGTGATTTGCCATAATTATCAAGCCTAAATAACTAACAAAATTTGTTATATCACATCTTTTTTTAACTGAAATAATAGAATGTTTTCGAAGTGGCATATTTCGCACAGTATTAAGCAATAGAAAATTACTTTGCTGTACTAAAATTAATTCATTTTTAGAATCATGCCAATCTGAACCGCTCATTCCTTTGCCGACTAAGGAATCCGATATCACGGTGCTGTCTTCTTCACATCATATTGATAGTGATGATGAGAATAATTTACTTTTACCTGAAATCTCTGTAAATTCTGAATCGGATACAAAATCAGATACAACGGACACTGATGTTAGTGATTTTCCAAATATAAAATCTGACTTGCCTTTAATAGAAGAAGATATTCAAATGGATGTATCATTATCGAATATGACGGAATTATCTGAAATTACTGAAATATCGCCTACAAACTCGGATGGTATATCTTATTTGCAGCAGACTTTTTCTTCCAATCAAAGTACATCGCAGGTTATAGAATTACCCAGCGTCGATAATAATGAAGAATTTGCGATGTCCGATGCATCATCATGTCATTTGTCATCTAACGAGAGTTTACCTGGAGTAAATGAGACCGCAGATGTTATTGTTGATGTCATGCTAACTGATGATGTCATCAAAGATGATGTCACAAAAGAGGAAGAAAATTCTGATGTAACTGAAGTTCCTGTGATTCCTTTGAATATTTTATCGAGACCAAAAAGATCTAATGCGGCTGCAAGGTATTGTGTAGATCAATTATATACTATTATTTTGCCAGTTTTTCCATGCATGAGTAAGCTTCAAGTCAATGTGTATCTAAAGCAATATTGCTTTGAAAAATGTAAGAATAGTTTAAAAAGATAATTGCCACTGTAAAATTCCCTGTTTTGGAATATTCTGCACCTCCCAATTTAATTTCTATAAATTTGCAAAGATTTTTTCAAATTTTTCTGTTTATTTAACGTTGATTTGTGAAAAGAAAACGCATTTTTTTTTCTAGATACAAGGAAATTTTTGGCAGTTTAAATAGAACTTCAACAGTAAAAAGAGAAAGAAATATACCCTCGCAACCAAAGTTCGGTGAAGAAGGTTCTCCTGAACAAAGAAAAATGAGTCTCAGACCAAGACCGTCCGGTCGGCGCAGCGATCGAATAAAGAAAATTAACAAAAAGAAAGAGAGAGCATCAACGACATCTAAAAAGAAAGTTGTACAAAGAAAACCGCAACAATCTGTAAAATTAATAAAACAAAGACATCCACCACCAAAACGGAAACGAATCGTTCCAAAGAAAACTAAGTATGCAACTTAGTAACTTATGTGAAAATAAATACCTTCTTATATGGAATAAATATTTCGTGTTATTTTTTGGATTGGATGATGTCTACTCTTTTTAGTCCAAACAATATCATGTAAGCAGCTAGGCCAGACGCGGACCAAACCCGGCCCTGGCTCGACTGATGCTTCCACCACCAACCTAAAACCAAATTTTGACGTTCTATCAGAAAAATAGCTCAAGGAATTTTTTGAGATTGCGATTAAATTTAGTTTTGGCACGAGGCTTATTGTTTGTAGCACTGTGAATATTGTTCATAAAATGTAACTTTTTAAGTCACACTCACATCTGTACATGGCCCATCAGTCTTTGTGGGCAAATTTTTGGCCCCTGGTCTAAAAACCTTGCCCAAAGTGCTAGGCCATTGCAGTTACTACATGGGCATTCTCCCTGTTTAATTAAGTCTTGCATACAAGTGAGTTAAATTATGTTTCCATGCATTTTTAGCTTTTTCATACATTTTCTTTCATTCAGGCCTCGACCAACGAAAAACTCGATTCGATCAATCCAAGAAAAACAAAAAAAGAGAAAGAAACAGCAAGCCGCAGCACAAACATCACACCGTACTAGACGTCTAATAAGTGCAAGCGGATCGAGACAGGAACGAAAAAGACTGGATTCTTACCGACCGCCATCATTATATGATAATATACCTAATAAAGCTGTTACTTCATTGATTCCTGGTGTCACAGGTTTACGGAATTTGGGAAACACCTGTTATTTGAATTCAATAATTCAGGTATATATAATTGAGTATTTCGAAGTTACTAACTCGTCAAAATTATATAAATAATGGCTTATTGAAAGTCAAACCTCGTTAGTGGAATTGTAACTTATAACTCTTGTTTAGAATATGTTAAATTGTCTATTTATTCATACTTAACACATTTGCCATTACCTATACCCATTTCTCAATTAAACAACCTTTTTCCCTGTGCAACACATTATTTTGTCGGAATATAAAATAAACTGGCGAGTCAGTGCTCGTTTACATTTTCAAGTGGGTCACAAACCTATTAAAAATTGTTTGGTATTGATAAATCAGTTCAACTTTGATTGTAGTAGCATTGAATGATGATGCTGTTTATGCTACTGAGTGGTAAAGCTCATTTTAATTATTAAATGGAAAGTGCCACAGAATTTTTTGTGCGACAAAAGTGGGTTACAAAAGAAAAAATTCAGAGAAACACTGGCTTAGAGTAATGACTTTATTTGCTATTCAGGTTTTAGGTCACCTACAGAAATTCAGACTGTGTCTTCTTGCATTGAGGGAACTAGAGTTCCGTGAAGCATTTTCCCTCGTTTCGAAAGAAATTTCTTCTAAAAATATAAGCGATAATTTTGTGTTTTCAACACCGCAAGCAAAACCAGCACGTACAATGAATCGAAGAACTACTGTTGAACTTTATAACGAACAGAATAAACCAACACCACTGTCTGTGAGAAACTCAGATAGAGTTAGATCAGGTTTGTCAAATTCCTCTCAAATCATAGTAAATTGACCAGAAATTTTAATAGCAAAATTTAAATTTTTTTATTCAATCGATGAACCCAAATTGTAACTGTGTTATATAACAATATTTGCTTTTTCATTGAATTTTGAGATTATTACACAAGGGGCACACATGGTCCTGTATAATGGATAAAATTAGGTATAGGAGTATTCTTTATTAAAAACTTGTGTAATGGGAATCTTAATGGACCAATTTTACCGCAAAAACATGATAAACACCAAATTTCCCATGTAAATTTGATTAATAAACAAAGCTTCTGTTGTGAAATGACTAGTTTTAAAATAACGATGATCTCCAATATCTGAATTTATTGAATCTGCCACTGATACCAAACTATATGTGAGGAGCTACTTTCTTTGGAAGGACTGAATCTTTGCAATTTGGCATTGCCTAGAAATCTATAACACCATGGATGAGATGGCGAAATGGGATTTGAATCCGAAGTTTTTAACCTGCGAGCCAACACGCTCACTTTTTTGTTCTATACTAATTGCACATATTCTCTGTAATATCCATACTGTCACTACATAAAACTTCAATATTTGACCTGTTTTATTTCTCTGATCAGGTCTTAACGGAGGTCAGTCATCGAACAGCATTACTGAACCTTTGCCTACTGTATCGCCACCCTCTCCCAGCAGAATCAACTGTCGCTCGCCATCATCAGTGACAGGATCTGAGCCTTGGTCATCTTCTCTATCTCTTTGTAATGAACTAGATCACTTGTATCAAGTGATGTGGTCCGGGAAATGGAAACTGGTGTCTCCTTATCACTTCTTACATTCCGTTTGGAGTTTGATTCCATCATTCAGGGTTCGTATAAAAGCTATTTGAATTGTATAGTAGAGAAGTTTTTTTTTTTCTTGTTGCATCAATGCCTAATTTGTCTTTGCTTGCTTGATGATAAAATTGGATTTTATAATTCTGGTCAATTTGGTGATTTTAGTCGGATATTCATTGCGGACTAAACATAGTTAGGATACATAGCTGTAAGAAGAGTGAATGATAGTTTCTTACATTTGTTCTTTTGTGGTTTCACATGTTCACTATATGAATAAGCTCAACCAGTGTTTAGCCCTGAGTGACGTCGAATTAAAGGTCATTAGGTCAAGTCGAATCAATCATCGAGTTGATTGTTACTGGTAGTTAGTCTACGAAGAGTCTGTCTCAGATGTCTCGAGTCTTCGAAAATTGTGACTCGAAACACCCCAACAATGGTAGAAACTACATTTGGAACAGTATGACACATGTATTTTTGTACAAATTACGATCATAACTGAGTTTATTTTATACTAAAAGGGTTATACACAACAAGATGCTCAGGAGTTTTTATGTGAGTTGCTCGACAAGATTGTGTCAGAACTGGAAAGATGTCGAAATACTGAAAATAAATCGGTGCTTAGAATACTGGAGGTAAATTTTTTGAATATGATAATCTAACGAAATTGTCATGTGCATGCTTTCAAAATTTACCTTCTGGATTTATGACTCTTGTCCACCAGAAGTTGATGAACACCACTACACCAGGTATATTTAATACAGTTCTGTGGAGTCAAAGATAGTTTACACTCGGCTTAAAATCTTGACATTCAAAAAGCGACTCCGACTCTAGGCTTGCAAACTTTGATTAAGACTTCCTGACCCTAACTCACAAAATTTTGAAGAAAAAATTATTTGGTGTATGCATGCCTTGTTTAATTGCCTGTTGAGAATGTTTAGTCAACTTATGGCTTTTTGAGATTCTGTCAGAAATTGTTACTTCTTTTTAGTATCATTAAAATGCTATAATCCCTATAATAATAATTCGAAATTTTGACTAGAAGTGTATCAAATGTTCGAATCAATTTGAATTTATAATATTCCTTGTCTTATTGAAATTCTCAATAGCTATTTAAATTAGAATAACTTCAATCTAAATATTATCAAATGCCAACCCTAAAAAATAGAATACCGATCAATCTATCGACAAAATCCTTGACTGCTACATGACCAATGTCTAACATGATTCAATTTAGAATATATTCAACATTCCATATTCGAAAATGTATTCAGAACAGTAGATTATTTGGTTTTGACTATACTCGTTGACCACTACATTGTATAAATTTATGGTCGCTAAAAATATCCGAATTCCATAAAAATAATTTTATTCATCAACCAACCTAAACCATGATTTCTTGTGTCAATAGAAAGTGGTTTCTCATTGATTTATTGATGTTGTTGAAATGTGATTTTTTATGATATCGATGGCTTCAAGAATACCGTAACAATATTTGCATATATTTTAAAAATGCATTTGACATTCAGGTTGTTCAAAAGGTTTTTGAAGGTCAATTAAAGAGCAGAGTTCGATGTCTGGAATGTGGACATGTTTCATCAACCGTTGAACCATTCTGGGATTTATCGTTAGAATTTCCTGAACGTTATCACAAGATTAATTCAACCAAGTATGTTGTGTTAGATATGATAGGACAAAGTATTTCGAATTCCGCCATAGTATGAGAAATGGACGATAACACATATTATTTGATATTTCATGATCGAAAAGTTTCAGTTTAAGATTTGGGGCCAAAATCTTATTTATATAATTGTCTTTTTTAATTTAACTAATGTATTAACCAAATACTCAAAAAAGTTACATCTTGTCATAGCTTTCAGTATTGGCTTGAAATCTATCATAAGGCCAAATGACAAATAACCTTTGATTCACTCCGCAGACGACGGCCTTCAACAAATTCCAAAGCTCCACCTGTGCCTGTTGACACGTGTACATTGCATGAAATGCTCCAGAATTTTACTGCACCGGAAACATTGGAAGGAGGAAGAGTTTATGGATGTTCTAAGTGCAATTTTTTTCAACAACCACCTATCATAAATCCGGATGTAGCAGGTAGTCAGAAAATATATCCATTTTTTATGCGAGTTTGTTCAGAGAAATGTTGCAATTTATCATATAAAGCAGGGTTTCTGGAACTAGGCACTCTCCTGGGGGCATTGGCCTTCACTAGTTACCTTTTGCGATGACTACATCAATTTAAAGTAAATTGTCGGTAATTTGTTCGATTTAATGACCTTAATTATTGAACGAGGGAGGAAGTCACAACTAGCGTTGATGTAATTTGATGGGGGCTGTGGATTGTGTATATTTGAGAACCCCCTGATATAAAGCAATTCCTGGTTTGCCTGATAGAATAGTAACAAACATACATTGCCATGCTAAAAAGTATATTTCTCTGTATAAGTACGATTTACATTTTACCTTCGATATGAAAGAGTATTCAAATAAGGAACCACCAAGATACAACTTGGCCCTCAAATTGACTTGAAGTTAGTATTGGCCAATTCCTAGACCGGACAGACCGTTTTTTCACTTTGTACCCATTCTGTTAACTCTGATTTTATATTTGAATCATGACTTTATTTTCCAGGTTCAACACAAAAGAAAAGACCTCCATTTCGGAAAAATTCTCAAAAACTCACTGAAGCTGAGAAACAGCTCAAAGTACTGGAATTGCCACAGGTAAGGTATATCACTACTACCATGGGTTATAGAATTTCAACCCACACTCAAGCAGTTTAAAAATACCGTTCCATCCAAAGCCAAGTGCCTGTTTACTGGTAATGTCTATTCTCCTAGGTTTTGAGGTTTCATTTGAAGAGATTTCGATGGATAGGACGAAATCACAGAGAAAAAATTGCTGTTCATGTGGATTTTCCGCCTGAACTAGATATGCGACCATACTGTTGGAATAACGGAAATGTGAGTTGTGGTATTATAGTATTTATTTGCCTAATTTTTTCTGCATCAGAATTTTAAAAAAAAATGGACCACACTTTGGAATTTGGCAATTCTGCTTTACTTGCGCGATACAATCGACTCTTGGAAGTACTGATTTATCTCTGTGTTTATGCATAGTTTACATAGTTGTAATCAGGCTGCTAAAAAGCCCAAAACAAATACGATATTTTAGGTGATCGTGATCGATTAGATTCATTAATTTAATTTTCAGCATTAAGTTGGCTTAAAAAATTATCAGTTTGAGTAATTATTCTTTATTCAAAAATAGTATTTTAGAACATATTCAGAGTTAAGTTTTGAATTTTAGCTATTATATCATGATAATATAAACGTTTTGAATTCCAGGATTGTAATAATGAAGTACAATACATGTACGATCTTAGTGCAGTTGTTATGCACCATGGACGCGGATTCGGTTCAGGTCATTACACTGCCAACTGTTGGAATGATATTGGAGGTACTTGTTTTTCTTGTTTCACAGTAAAGGCAAATGGCGCTCTTTGTATAAGAAAACTTATCAATATATCACATTTCAGAATTGATATACATACAAAGTATGACAATATTTTCCTTTTTAATTTAATATTTAGACAAGTGGTGATATTATTAACGACACCGTACAGTATTGAACAACATTTCATTCTTGATTGCACATGCGTATAGCAAGGTTGACCTCTTGTGCCTATCCTATTTCTCCTTGCACTAATTTATACAATTTTCATTCCAGAATTTTGGGTCCACTGTAACGATTCAAACCTTGAACTACGTTCGATCGAAGATGTGATGATGTCACAAGCCTATATTTTATTCTACACCCAGCGAGGTCTCGACCCACAACCTCACATTTTAAGCCCACCGCAAACACCAAAGGTCTCATCACCTACACACACAACACCGCCTCCATCATAGATCTGTTTGTTACTTTTTCAGTCTAGTTTTTATTAAAGTAGTGAAATATGAATAATCAACCACTGAAACAAGCGAGATTTTGAAATACTAAGTTACTCCTCGGGGGTTACATGAAATAAGAAACTAATCTGCCATTTTAGGCAATCACTTCAAAAGTGCATTCATCACCATGGATAGGCTTTATTAAAATAAGATACTCTTATCTCAAAAGCTTCAAATATGTGATACAGTCTTTCTTGTAGTTACCTATTTATTAAACATGATACTTTTATTTTAGACTTAATTTAGATAACGCTAAGTTCTTTTTCGACAAATCTCCGATGAAACAAGTTCTTTGTCTTCTCACTATATATCATTGACGTTAAAAGAAATTGGTCATTTGTCCAACTGTTGCGGCATAAAGTGTTTCTTTCTCATCGATTATTTTTGGTTGTTTAATATCAGGGATTTACTTGGACGAATTCCTAATCAAGGACCTTTTTTTTTCCTTCTGTTGCCTTGCAGATCTAAAATCTTTGATCATTAGAAATTATTACAGATCCAAGTCCAACCATATACTGTTCTATACAAAAGTGCTATAGACATGGAGTGCTTGTAACATGTACTATAAGCTTTGTTTTTCATGTTTGTTTGGGTTTTGCAGCCATTAAAATTCATTGATCCATCAATCTGCCAATGTTTATCTCTTTTTTTTCAGCTACCTTGCTTTTTTCATTTTGGGACCAAAACCAGCCATAAAATGAAATTTTGCTTGATTTTGAAATTCCTTTTTTTTTAAAATAAAACTCTTTGCTCAAAACTGGTTACCATTATTATTATAAGTTTGAAGCGACAAAGCAGTTCAACAGGTAATTGAGGTATTTTTTTCATGACACCGTGCTATGGCTGTATGGGGAGATTGGAGAACTTTCACTCTAGTCTTAGGAATGAACGCATGAGGCTGATAATGGAAATTTGGATTTGGAAAAAAACCTTGTTTGAAATTTTTGAAAAGTAATAGGCTGAATTGGTTTTGAAGATAAATTTTGTGAAAGGGAGACTTGATATTCGCCTTTTTACTGCATGTATTCGTGATATGTGCCAAATTAAGGAGGCCAAAAAGATTTGTTTTCAAGTCTGGGTATGAAGCAGGAGTTGCACAATTAAAATTGAACCCAAAATGTTTTCCTCCAATCTCCCATTCACCCTGTCGCCTTCGTATTAGACTGCAAAAGACTATGTACTTGGTCTGCGGATAATTGTATCACAATAGCTCGTATTTTTGATTGAGAGCATTGAAAAAAAAATTTCGCTTTGAATTGCTTCCAGTTTTTTGGTTTCAAACACTGCTGCCGAAAACAGCGTTATTTCTATTTAATGTAATAGTCGCTGTAATCTATGAACTAGCCTCTGGCAGATCAAACCTTAACTTTGCCAACAACGCACGAAGTCCTTAAGATATAGTTACAACCAGTGGCGGGATTCAAATTTTTCGTCGGCCTGTTTCTTCACAAAAGACATATATATTTCAGCCGGTTCTGTTACCGGCAGAACACTGACAGTAACCAGTAATTCTAACCGGTTCGCTGATCCCATAAAATTACTTGAGACGGTTCTATAGAACCGGTTGAATCCCACTACTGGTTACACACTGTCCTACTGACACATGATATAAATAGGTGATAAACTTCCATTACATATGTTGTTCTTGGAATACAATAATGAAAATATAAAAACCCCACAAGATGCAGCTACATTGAAGATCAGGTAGCATCCTATCCTTTCCCTGCAAAGTATTAACACTATACTTTTGAAAGTCAAACTACTCTGGCATGGTGGTGGTAAGACATCAATTCATTATGGTTTTGAACGCTACCAATAAATTTAGGTCAGCCCCATCCAACTGGCATTAGAACTGTGGCTTTTCGCCAATATTGTTAAAAGTCAAGAAGATCAACCTAGTAACCGATGTACTAACATTATCTCAAGGGGTGACTATAGATCGCTTGCGGGCATTGGCAACAAATTATTACAGCAAATTATTACAGATGGCATGATCTACCTCTGTCAAATAGTTTTTATTCTTGGTGTATTTAAACATAAACGCTTGAATTCAGAAAAACATTGTATCGTACTTAAGCAAAAATAACCGCTTCCACAATGATGGTGTTTTTCATAAAAATATGCACAAAAATTAAAAGAATCTGAATAAAAAACAAAAAGATTGTAATAGTATGAATCAATTTGGCATAGGATGGAACAAATATCATCAAAAAATCGCAACAACATTTAAATGGACGGATCACTAAGCAATGAACTTCATCATAGATTTTATATGTTAAGAGATAATCTATTAATAAATAATAACCATTTGTTTCCAATACACTGCAGGGCAATGAAATATTATCTTAGTAAGAGTAATATTAACACCAGGAGAGGAGTTGAAATAAATACGCTTGTAAAATGCACATAATAGATTTAAAATCTTAAGCTCTTGACTGACATTTTTTCAAAGCCACAATTTATACTTTACATAAAGTTTGTTAAGCGGATATAATAGTTATTGGATTTTCATATTTACTGTGAATGGATAAAAAGACTCACCGTAATCATATGGCCAACCAAGATCACCTCTGTCGTTAATTATAACCAATTAGGTTTTTTATATTGGTAAAGTGTATTAGAAAATATCCCCACATCTGTGTGAACGACGTACAATAATAATATTTTGATTGTCATAAACCGATCCCAAGGTAATTCCCAGTTCCATAAAATTAGTTGGGAGTATTTTTCGAATATAGAAATCATGACAATTACAACTATTTTCATATAAGTGGATGAGATGACAAAAAATACTGCATATTGGATCAATTTATATAACAACAATATTTCAGGAATGTAAAAATGTAGCAGCTTTGCGATGACCAGTCACTCGAATGCACCGATATCCATTTTAGATATTTGAAAATGGTTGATACTTAATAGTATTATCAAATATAGAGTATACAATATTAACACAGCGAAAGGTAAAATTCATAGCTTTCGAGAGCTATGGAGTTAAATTTCTTTTTTTTCTCTTATGCAAAGCTGGGCACACAGAGGTTAGGCCATTTCGCTAGCATAGGAACAACCAGAGCCGGAGTCGTTTTATCAAATTCAATTGAGGCCAAATATCAACTCCCTGGAGTTGAATAATAACACTTTTCAATATCAAAGTGTTAAAATTTTCCAAATAAAACATGCAAATGGCAATGCTTTCATGGTTAAAATCAGGAATATGCTCAGGTGTATGTTTATATGATATCTCTAGACCCAGAAGCCAGACTGATCTTTGGACATTCTAAATCAGTGGGTCTCAAAAAATGGAGCGCGCCCCACAAGGGGGGCATAGACCATTTTTTGAGGAGGCAACTAAAACTAAAAAAAATTGTTAGATTCGATCTTGTCCACCCTATTTTGGATATTTACATTCCATCCACTTATTTTCAACGTGTTTTTTGAATAAAATATACTTTCGCCTCACTATCTGTTATTTGTAGCTTATTGTTAGCTAGTTATTTTCGAGGTGGGGCACGAGACTTGACAATTCTAAAATGGGGCATGGCTTACAATAGTCCCAAAATACCACGTAAGCTAGAACTCACTGGCGGTTAGTTGATGACAAGCAGAGTTATTCACTTTTGATGACTCTGGTTACTTCAAGTCTTTGATAATTGGTCACTTGAGCCTCCCTTCCCAACATTGGTGTCAAAATTTACGAGATCTTGCTTCGTGGTTGACACTATATATACATACACCTTTGTAAAATAGCAATCAAAGGACTGTGCACAAAATTAATGCTCACAATATATCATGCATACTTCAATACTTTATATGAAATGGTAGATTTTCAGCATAATCGCAGATAATGACTTGATCGCTATTCGAGAGTTTTTGACAACTCAACAACCTTTGTACGTTTAACAACTATTAAAAAAGATGAAACTCAATGTAAAAAATAACAAACGGAATTGCCTTTGCAACAAGTTTGTAACCATATGAACATTTCTCCAATCAAATGAGTTTTTTCATCCATGAATCAAACCATGCAACACAACAATAAACGTATTTGGTAGATAAATATATCATATGTCAAATAAGTTTTGTACTTTATAGACCATTGATTTAATATTCCAATAAATCACTTTCAAAAATAAAATAAATTTATAGTATGAAAAATGTACAATTAAGTAGACTTGAATAAGTAAAAGTTAAAGGTTAAAACAGAATTAAATACAACATGCCATGGCAATAATTTTTGTCCTGTTGGCTCTAAAGGGGACTTTAACAGCAGCCACTCAGACATATAGAGCTAGTAAATTACAAACGACACAGATTGCCAAATTTATCACAGGAGTGACAAAAACGCTAACTGGAATCATCACAATAATTTTGAATCGTAAATCTGAGAAAATTGACAGTAAAATTTCACTCTATTTAAAAAAAATAATTTTCAAATTCATTATTTAATACCCTCAACCGACTGCATTATCAGCCTTGATTTATCCAAAAATGAAAATAAATCGCAACTTTTTATAAAAATTATTCAATTCGATTATGTGGTGTTGTTCAATAATATATATATACTCATAGTACAAACTGGTATATATGACATCACCTTACATTCTTTCCAAAAAATTGAAATACGAATTATAGAATTTCACAATTCAACAAGTTTGTACTTTCACTTTCAGTAAAGCAGAAATAGGTATAAAACATTTCTTAAATTATAAAGAACTGCATATACAACTTAATCTATATTCGACTTTGCAAATTAGAGTGCAATTTTCATTTTTTTTTTCGTTTCGCTTTTCGAAACACCATCATGAATCGATTGCGCAAGACATTCCTAATAAAGCTCCGACAGCCCCAAAATATCCTTCATGTTCAAGAAAAAGTGCTTTCAAGGATCCGCCCGACCAGTAGTCCATAGCATATGCAAGAAGTTTCATAGATATTGGATTGACTCTCAAAAAGTTTCCAACAAACACAGCTCTGTCAATATTCTAGAAAAGCAAGTTAAAACAATTATATCTTTAGTATGGATGGCCAACTGTATAAGTTATATATAGCTATGAAACAGATTCAAATAATGTCTTTTGAGTGGATTTAATTTTTAATTCAATTCCTAATTTTACCCCATTTTCTTATATCTTCGTTAGCTTGCTTGATGTCAAGTTTTAAAGTTTGAAAACTTATTTAATTTAAAAAATGGTGAAATATAAAATGAGAGAATTACCACCATACTGAACTTTTTACTAATTACATGATATGGTGAAATCTTGAATGTTATTTGCTCAATCTGTCTTTCATAAATTGACAACATGCACTCACCTCACGAGCAGCACAATTCATTACAATGCTTCCAATATTGTTTGTTATGGTGACAAGTGTTGCTTTAGCTAAATCTTCTTTTGTTGTTGCATTACGGAGTTCTTTTTGATTCATTTTACCAAAACTGAAAAAAACATAAAATAATACTTTAAAAACGGTGAATTGAACGTCTGCTGGGCATGAGTGTATTTGTGTATAATTCATAATGTTTATGTACCCAAGAATCAAACGACAACTAATCAAAGTCAACTAACAACTAATCACAGACTGCTAAATTTATGCACATTAACGAATGGACATTACTACACATATTTAGGAGTAGAGTAGTAGCCATTAAAAGAATAAGTCAACTCTTACCTGGATGCCACTGTGTCGCCAGACAAATTGAATTTTTTATAATCCCCTCCGTAGATATCCCGAACTAACTTGTCAACTTTAGTACTGTCCCCATGTGTTGCAAGTTCGATTGCTTCTTCAAATGTCTCACAACCAGTCAATAAACAACATAGCCCAAGGAATGTTCCTCCTCCTAAACTGGTACCTGAGAAGTAGGCAATAATGAAAAAGTATTCAAAATGGGTACAATTTCCGGCGCTTCAGAAGTGTATGTACCAATATGGAGGTATGGTAACTAATTTTGTCGCATACTTTACATCAAGTTGTGTAAAGGGACTGAAGCCTATGCTATGGGCAGGGGGTATAATCACTTGGCTAACACAGACATTCCCCAAACTTGTAATAGAACTAAAATGAGGTAAATCGAAATAAAAATATGGCCTAACCTTAACCTGTTACACACACAACAGGACTACAGGAGTACCCAAATTCCATTAGCAAAATAGGGATAGGATAAAGATTGATGAGAATAAATTATGATAGGTGCCTACAGATTAATGATGAAATAAATTTTTTTTAAAATAAATAATGTAATGAAATAATTCCGATATCACAGCGATAAATAGATAAAATATGAGTATTTGCTCAGTAAAAAGCATTTGTCATTATGACATATCAAGTTTTTTTACAATTTCTAAAGCCTGTACTATACATATTCAGATATTAAAATACTCTCACTGATAGAGATTTATTTGAAGTCAAATAAAATACTTTTAATCCTCGCTACCTGTCAAATATAAAAAAAATTTTAACAAAGGATTTCATTGATTAGACAGTAACAGTGGGAACAGTCGTTAATTTTAACAACTTGAATTCAAACACGCCTCCATTTTCATGATTATAAAAGCAATTTCATTGGTTGCTATAAAAACATTACACTTGTGATAGTCAATGACACTGACACGCCTACACGCCCACAAAAATTTTCCCAGTATATACCTATACTAGTTTATTTTGTACTAAATATGATGGTATCCTGATATGTGATTGTGTTGTGAGACTAATCTAAAATAAAATTACGTTTAATTTTCAATTATATCTCAAAACAGATCAAACAACAATGACCACTTCAAAAATGATATAGAACGCTCGATAGTAAAACACTTCAATTACAAAACTTTGTAAGTGTTGTGCACTTTTACTCTATAAAAAGCCTAGAATGAGAAGTCACTTGTGTGTAGAAAAATCGTAACTTCATAAGAATGAGTAAGAGTTTTGGTATAAGCTAATACGTATTGTTGTCTCGATCAAATTTTGTTATGAAGTTACTCCTCAATATATCTTCACCAGGTTTGATTTATTTCAATCACGTTTTTACGTTTTTTTTTCACTTTATTCGATACACCTTCAGTTGCGCGAAGTACATCAAAGTTCTTTAACTAAATTTACTAGATATAGGATCTTTAAAAATAATTTAGCACAATACATCTTTCGCAAACGATAGAATAAACTTGAAGCACAGTGAATATTAAGTAATCAACTGAATTTTTTTTTAAAGTTTCCAAAATTCTTCATCACAATACCTGAAACCCTTTTGCATTCTTGTTGTGAATATACCGCCATTATGCTCACACCCGATCCAATATTGCAGACGAGGTAAGGATAAGGATTTCGGAAATTGTATGGTTCTTTTTTCAGTCCGCCAGGGTCTAACGGTTGTGCAAGAGAAAAACATTCAGATCTTCCATTGACTTCTGTATTGTGGTCGATAAAATGAATTCCTGTCGAAAACAGTAAAATAGTTACCAATTAACAAAGTATTTACAGTTGTATTTAAAGAGCAATTAATTCTGATATCCAAATCTAGGGTAACTATGAACAATTGAAGTTGCATAAAAGTAAATTTATTTATTTAGCACAAATATAACCGACGGTTATCCACAAATCATTTATGACATTAAACTAATATGCATTATGAAAAAACACAGTAAAAACATGCCGCAACAGCAAAAAATATTAGTTAGTCATTAACTATTTATTAATATGGGCTTGAAAAAATTTTGAAAATATTTGAATTATATTTGAAAAATTTGACATATCTTGTGAATTCACATCGTATTTTAGTACGGTATGTTATTTATTGAACTTATTAATATTATAAAATTCAAATTTGAAAGCTGAATTCCATGATATGAAATCAACAAACTCCTATGTATTAAATTTGACTAAAATGAATAATACGAATGAAAGAATCCTAACAATGCAACATTGAACTTGTTTATAAAAGCTGTCGAGGCTTATTAAAACAAACAAAAATCATCTCATGAGGATTGACTTGCAGTATACATCCTGATTGATCAGAACAAAAACATAAGAGACAGATGTACAGGCACGACACTCTTTTCTTGGAGCATAACACATATTAAGGCTCTTAATCAATACTTGAAACTACATAATATTCTTAGGTGCATATAGTAATAGATAGTACCGGTAATATATCTCGTGTCGTGCTGCAATCATAGTTGGAATGATGTATGTTCTTCATAATTTCATTGGTATAGTGGTATGTTGGCAAAAGTATACCTTAACTAAAGAACTCCAACTGTATATTACATACAATGGATGAAAAAAAAATCTGGCTATTCTCAATATCAAATTATAAACTGTCATACACGCAAGTCAAAACGTACCAATTGAAATTAAAATATTTTCACAAAAAATTGAATTCTAGCAAACAAAAACATCTTATTAATAAGCTATTTCAACATGATGATGTCGGTATTATTAAAATATGTCAGTTTTATCAATAAGCTATTTGCAAAAATCTAACTTCGTTAATTGACACCATAATTGCTACCACAAAAAGTTCATAAAAATCTTGATTTTTGTCAAGTTCCATAATACACTAAGACATTCCTGCCAAAACACAAATGCCCGCTTACCTCAACTGTAGCTAGGCACATAATTAAACTATCTTTGGAAATATTTAGGGGTTCTCTACAAAGTTGCAATGTTCTATCTTTAATATTTTATTTAGTTCGTCGTTCGTGGCATATCAACATTAACTTAAATCTTAATGTCCACTAGGGTGTATTTAAAGATATAGAAAGAAATTAAAAAGATGATCCTATTTGATTATTATTAACTTTTTCAATATAGCAACTACCATATATGATGAGTAGCCAGTACTTGTGGAAAATTTTTCAATTGACAGACTGAAGGGCAATTTGGGGAATTTCTAGTCTAAGAGCTAGGCTCTTTCATGTAGGTTTCTCGTCTTTATTGAGTTGATAAAAATAGCAACGCATTAATTAAGTTTAAGAGTTGTAATTAATTTAGCTTATTGAATCATAAATTTTTGATTGTGCTACAAGAGCTGATGCGACAACGACAAGATTAAGTTACAAGAATCACATTCATTTTATTTTAGAGTGTGTTCAACATATTGTGTAATATGTCACCAAAATAGAATAAAATATAAATACTTGAAAGAGATGAGAAAAAAATTTAAAATCAAACCTGGTTAAAACTACCAGAATTAGTAAACAAAAAAATTTTAATTACCCTTTATCAGACATTGAAATTCGTCCAACTTGTTGAGTCTTAGATTAATCTCCTTCAAAAATTTTTCTTCAAATTTAAAAGCTCCTCCTCCAGTTGCATGACATATATTATGCATGGTTGAAAATTCTTTCTCTTTGACCATTCGAATAAAACTATCCATCCTGTGTGTTGGAAATCGAAGAAAGTGCATGTTGCCAACATAACCGTTGAATTTCAATCCCTGAAAAAGATCAAACTGTTAATTAAAGAACCAGGGACATTGTTTGATTATTCTTCCATGGTAAAAGTAAAACTATAAACAGGGGGCACAAAATCAATGGAAAATTTAAAAAAGTACGGTAGTAAATATTTTTGATTTTAAAAAAACTTAAAATATTTTTAAATTTAAATTTAACCTTTGCCGTTCACATAACAAATAAACTGAGTTTTACCTCGTGCTGTAAAAAAGACTATTACGGTAATAATCAAAACAATGTTTATCTCAAACATTCTACAAATTCCATTCCTACAGTCCTATGAATTCACAATAGCTTGTTTTTAATGGTGACTTTAGTTCATTGCGCACTGACGGTTTGCCAATTTGTATCAATATGAATACCAAGATTGTCTCGTAAATGAGGGGTTTGCACTGACTGTTATTATTGATGTCTTTTAACTTAGGGGCTATCCTTGGAATCGGAGAACTGTGTTGATTTTATAACTCGAATGATTTTTATAAACTATATCATGATTGGTATAAAAATAATTACAGAATTATACTATACAGCTATATTAACAAAGCAACAAAAAACCATGAACCTTGATTTCTAAATGAGCATCCCGCACTCCAGTTTGTCCATACGCAATACTCGATAACAAGGTTTCACGAATTACTTTCAAAGATTCTTCTTCATCTCGTACTTCTTGTTTCGTCATTGATGTTGGTTCAAAATAAACGAGTTTAACCAGAGTACCTCCTATATCAATCCCATACCAAGGAAATGGTTGACGTCCTTGTGGTGAATTTGTGGCATCGCTTGTAGCCATTTTTATATAAATAATATAAAATACTAAAGAATAAATAGCAATGTTATGCAACTTCAAGACCTTATAGATACCTCTATTCTATGTTCGACTCTTTTTTCTCAGTATGATTTAATGTTAGACTCCGTCTTAGGCTGTTAGGTGATGCTGTTCGATAACCATCACTGGTTCATTGCGTCTCATTTCACACTGAAATGCATTTCTCTTATCTTCTTAATTAGGTTTGTACAATGTGTGCTTTCGGTATGTGATAAAATAAACTACTGACCTCAGCCGCTGTAAGTTGTGCATCATTCAATATGCAAGATATGCAGATCAAGGGGTGATACAGTGATACCGTACCTTATTACTGTATTAATGCCAATATCCAAATTCAGTACATGCATTCATAGCAGCACAGACAGGGCGAATGCTGTAATGTCAATCAAGCCAGCCTACTCTGGTACTAAATTTTATATAGCCTAGTTATAGTTTTGATTGGACATTTCATAGGCTACATTCAGAACCACATTCAATTTGATCTAAATTTAAGAGGGACAGTATTCATTGCATTTTCATTATTCGAAGCCCTCTAATAACATTGGTTACCGTACTAACAATACAGCAATTTAAATCCACGATCAAATTGAATAGATCAATTTATATGTTAGTACTACACAGTACACACAAGTCACACAATCTCGGAGCGATAAAAATAATACAAAAACGCAAGATCGTTTAAAAATCAACGTATTCTGAAATAATGAATATGCCCAGTCTTTTAATGGCAATGCAGTAATAATGCAATTTCTATTAGTAACATTAACGAAAGAACGCGATACCGGTGTTGTCGAACGCGAATTGAATGGTGATTTTGTTTTGGTTGGATTTTGGGAAACGCGGTCCACGCTTTGCTTGCGCATCATGACTCATGAGGTACGAATTGCTGCTCTCTGTCGAAAGCTAGAGGCCGTTTGAAATGATGCATATGGCTAATTTTCGTACTTTAATCTGTGTGACAAAATTACCCAAGAAACATTTTAATTACCACATTTTACTGTAATTCGATTTAATTGTATATGTCTTTTATAAATATTGTGAAATTTTAATTCTCTCTGAATGTGGTGGTGGACTTTTACACCCTGTCTAAATAACCACTGGGGCATATCGGTGACTGCAAACAGTGAAAGTCACGCTGGTCTGGTAGGTGCTCCGGTTTAGAAGTTAGGGCGCTTGGATGCTGATAAAAGAAATGTCCTACTGCCGTAAAGAAGGTTAGTTTCAGTTATTTCATCTAAAAGCTATTCTCACTCGCATGGAATACGACTATAAAATGTTTTGTTTGTTCAGGGAAAGACATAATAATATTCGCGACAGAAGACGATTTGTCCAGTCCCAGTACGGTCACACTTCTACCGGATAACCCCAGCGATGTAGATACCAGCCATGAAGGTTAGTAATGCCTTTTTTAATATTTGAATGCTCGTATACGAGTATAGGTCGTAAATCAAATGTTATAGGCAATTTATCCATGGGATTTGAGCTTGACGCATATTAATTACATTATTTCTATAAGATTCAAACGGTGGATACCCCTACTGCCCTATACTTAAAATTTGTACCCGTCTCAAACCACATTATTAATGTCCTCATCAAGTAGTGGCTATATTTTTCATGTTTAATTTTCTTGATATTGCATATGACTTGATTGAAGAATTGTTACGAATGCATATCTTTTTGACTTTACAATTGGTGTACTTATTTCTGGCTGCCTAATATCAAGGCCACACACCATGATTTTCCATATAGTTTCGTCATATTTCATTATTCCTAGGTGCAATACTTCCGAATGGAGATATAAACTGGGATTGTCCATGTCTTGGAAATCTACCAAATGGACCTTGTGGCCCCTCATTTCGTGAAGCTTTCACATGTTGGGTGGAAAATCGAGACGACCAAGATTCTTTTGCGGAAAAATGTTTTGATAACTTTTCTAAATGGGAAGATTGTTTATCAGAAAATAGAGACATTTATAAACCATCATCTTCAAAGCAAAATGACAATGACGATAATTTAAATATTGAAGCTAATGCTTTAAATGAGACTGAAATTGAGAACTCAAATGGTTCAGAAACGGTTAATATGAAGACCGAAAACAGACCTGCTATTGCTGCTGCATATATCGGAGATTCTAAAGAAAAATGAGTTTATTTGCGAGATAAAAAAAACCATAACGCAAGTTTGATTGGTATTTTCTGGAATACTTTTGTTACATTTTTTTTATACGATTCCACAAGTGAGTGAATGCTTTCAAAGTGCAGTTTCCCCACTAAGGGCTGTTCTCATCTATTATTAAACATAACTGAATTGTGGCCGCTGGGTCCTAAGTGCTTTTCAGCGGTACTCTCACATGAACAAATGCTAGTCCAACCTTTTGCGACTACTGCTTCTTTCTAACAAAATAATAAAGTCTCATTACCCAGTTGAAAGAAAATTATATATTTGAAAAACAACAAATTTTTAAGTGCTTAATTCTAGCCTAAAAACACCATGCGAAAAAATGATAAATAGAGTAGCATTAAAAGCAAGCAGCCTGGACTAGTAATTAATTATATAAGGTGTTTATTTTGTGATTGGGGGGGAGCATTCTATACTTCCCAGGCCGCTAGATGAAGGCAAAAAATTACATTAAAACCAGATGCTTGCAATAGAGATAGATAGTTATTACTAATAGGTAACACTCGCTCCACTGTGGATTTTTCAAAAATAAATATTCTTTATTAGGGAAGAATGAATTTTTTTGAGGTATTTCCGATACCACAACATCGAAAGCAACATTTTATCTGTCCAAAACCAGCAATGATGAATCAGTTCAATGACTCAACCCCGTAACCATGTACAGCACACTTTATCTTGATCATGCTCCTACTGGGTAAGGCAACTGACTGGTCAAGCTTCTGTTCACACCAAGCTCAATAAGTTTTTTGTGAGGTAATTTTTTTAGTTGGGGGAAAGAATTGAGCAACTTTTGCCAACATAATGTTTGAAGACTTGGTAGTCTCAACCACATTCTGTAACAACTTGCAGTTCGAATGTTTGGTTCAATGCAAGAAACACCACCGAATATATACATGCGTCCATCCTAAAATTGAGGAAAATATGAAAAAATTAACTTGAGTTTTACCCAAGGCTGTAGAGAATCACAGCTTCATTGTTGGGCCTTGACTTTTTTTGGTATGGTCACTACCGTGAAATATCAGCCTAAATGCAGTTGCAGGACTCAAAACTAATGGTTTAATATAAAAATTGTGCAGACTTTCAAATCAATATTATAAACTGAACTAAAATGATAAGCTGAGTCGGATAGGTTTTATTATTTGCGTTGAGCGCTACAAAATCATAAACGTGAAAGAATAAGTAGCTGTTTAGGAGCTATGACCACTAAAATTTCTGGTAGCTCCATACAATATGGTGCTCTTTTTAGTCTTGATTTTACTTGTATTATTAGTCCTACCTCCCATTACAAAATCTAGCTTTACATACATACCGGAGTCACAGTTGCAGAATGGAAATAAACTGGCTCTATCATATCAGTTATTTTTGTCCATTGCATAGTTCGTAAATTGATTTTCCAAACATCTCCAGTAATACGGATACCATCATATCCACCACTTATTACGGCTTCATCTTGCAATTGCACACAACCATGGCAACGTCTGGATGCAGGATAACCTGTAACAACCAATTACTAGAATTAGCAGCAAAAGTAATACTTTCAGTCAGCTTCTTTGATATTCCATAACTTCTCATCACAATGTTGACTCCATAACTAGCATGATGGACGATCATATAATCAGGAGAGCAAACAAAACTTCAAATAGGGTTTAAGGGTACAGAATTCAAATTCGTGTTGCCAAAAGAAGTACATGTACACTCACCTAATAATATTAAATTGGCATTTTTTAAAAAATGTAAGAAACTTGAGACAAATACCTGGTAAAAAAACTAGAAAAATAAATAAATAAAAAATTTCTTGTCACACCATACAATAATACCATTACCATGCATAATGATTTTGTAACAGTGCCAAATTGAATATTGAATTAGTAAACAGTAAAGAAAATTGTTGTTTGAAAAGTTGAATTACTTACCAGGGTTTTGTAAAGAATCTGGTTTTGTGACACGACATGTCCATCGTGTTGTTTTAAAATTGAAAGAATGCAATATTCTTAGATTATTGACAGAATTTGATGTTCCCCCGCCCAGGATAATAAGATTGTCTTGAAATAATGCAATTTCATGTCTGTACCTGCAAAAATAAACTCTCACAATATATCTATACGGCTTAAGATAAATTTCAGAACTTTGTCAAAGTGAACAGCGCCCATACTTTTTCAGTGATTAGTAGAGTTAGTTAGCTTTACGACTCTAATGAAAGACTTGTACCATTTGAACAAATAAATTAAATCTGGGGTCACAAGGCCTCCCAGTAAAATCTTTTTCAACACCAACTTAGATTAACAATCAAATTTGGAACCAGTAGCAATTATTTATACCAATCAGTGTTCACTATTAGCGCACTTTTTTGCGAAAATTGCGAAGCACTTTCGCAACTTTTTTTAGGGACTGCGAAATAGCACTTTTTTCCGATTTTGAAGAGAAATAGCACTTTTTTCCGATTTTGAATGGAATAAAAATTCAAAGTTAACAAATATTTTTCGAGTATTAAGTTGACAAATAAGTAACATACTAGTACTTTTGTAACTCAATTCTGCATATCATAACGATATTTACCGGAATTCTAACCTATGAGATACAGACATAGGAGATAAAGCTTTTGCATTAACGGCAAAATTCTTGTTTATAATATGATTATTATACAAGCACACCGATTCCGCTTCTCCCGCAAAAAACGCTCCAGGGTGATTGAAACCAGATGTTGGAATAATAGGCAGTGCGTTTCTTTGAAGAGAGTGGTCATGTGACTATCAATGATAGCGATGAATTCAAAATGACTATAAAAGTGTTACGTGTTATAGTCATTTGGATGAATTGTGACCAAACTGCACGATTTTCAAATCAGACCAAACTTTTAGCAGCATGTCACAGATTTGCAAAATCACCAAATTCACAAAATATCATTAAGTGCCATTTTATTGTAATCACAATGTTGAAAGGAGTGTCATTTTCCGTAATTTTGCAATATTTACACAACTATTTCTCATTGATATGCGAGGACGGGTGGGCAAAATTCAATATTTTTTTGAATCGAATATTTTTAAGGAGTACCGAATAAACGTGGTGGAAACATTAAAAAATGGGCAACAAAGCCTTTTAACTGGTTAATTCCGTTGTAATCGCTAATTGTTCTTGTCACCGATCGTTTTGGCGGCGATATCCAGGTTTTGGGTAATCTATATTCCCGCCCTCTCTTTTTTACAAATATGAATTCTTGTGGGTCGGCGGACATCGAAGTTTTATATTTCGGGTTTACCCGTTCGTTCACATCGGCAACAGCTGTTGAAGACATTGAGGACTCAAATTAACATTTGCGTTGGCTTTAATATTACCTATCAAGATTTGTAAATTTACCGTCCCAATTTTATGCGAATGGTAATATTATTGTCCATACCGTGATGCAGATATTTATTAAGACGATAATTAACTTTCTCATGTATTTCTATGGTGATAAACTTCGCAAATCTGAAATTGTGGCAATCCTGAATGTTGATTTAAAATAGTGATTGAATAATTCGGCAATAAGGGCATTTCTGCGTTGTCATAAGACAGATGACGTTAATGAACAGCACTTCTTTTACAGGATATTTTACGTATGCGACTTAATGCTAAAAAGATTGGGCTCGAGTGCTTTTTTTTTCGAGTGCTCGAGTGCCTAATAGAGGTCAGGCGCTAATTGTAAGTTTCAACGTGTTTTCAACAAAACAATACCCCGGCGATAATTATAGCTAAAATGTTACCGAGCAATTCACAATTTTATTTATGGAATTTGCAAATTCACCAGTTTCTTGACGATTTTGATATTGTCACGCCCTAATTATTAGTGCAAAAAATACTCCCTTCTTTCGGCGGCGGTTTGGCGGGTTCTTTGTTCCATTCTTCAGAAAGTTCTGACAGGGGGGATATAGAATACTGAATCCGTAGGGTTGAATCCCTGTCCACTTTCCGTTTTGAAATGCGTGAAACATTCTCTATTTTTAATTAAATGACGTTTCGCGGGCTAGAGTTCTCCCCGAAAATGATGTGTTCCAGACGTTAGTTAGACGATAGATAAAACATTAGATTAATAATTTTCGTGACGCCCCGTTTTCGAAAATACAAAGTTATATCGCTAAAAATGCGTTATGATACATTTGGGATGAATCATTATTTACGGTTAATTCAGATCATATTTTACTCTTCATGACACCCGGTATCCGATAATACAGTTGTATCTCGAAAAATGTGTTTTGTTACTTTTAAAATAAAACATTTTTGCGATTAATTTAGATCATATTTCACTTTACAGGACACCCGTTTTCGAAAATACAAGGTTATATCGCAAAATGTGTTTTGTTACATTTAAAATGAAACATTTTTGCGATTAATTTAGATCATATTTTACTTTTCAGGACACCCGTTTTCGAAAATACAAGGTTATATCGCAAAATGTGTTTTGTTACATTTAAAATAAAACATTTTTGCGATTAATGTAGATCAAATTTTACCTTTCACGGCAACCCGTTTCCGAAAATACAAAGTTATATCACAAAAAAATGCGTTTTGTTACATTTATTTTGCATTCCCAATATAATACATATTTTCCCTAATTAAGGTCGTCGATGAATCTGTTCCTGTCGTTCAAGCTCGACACACGTTTGGACGAGTGTGGGGCGGTTTTTTGGTCGACGATAAATTAAAAAGTTGCCACACGTTATTTGTATAACGATAATAACTGAAAATTAAGATGTTATAATAGAAGTGAATTTGTCTCAAGATGGTATTTTACGATTCCTGCCAACAGAAAATAAACACGCTGACAGGCTTGGTTATAATTGATATTCGTTTAATTTATTTTACACTATTAATAAACGCGCCAGACCAATTGCGACCATATAAATTGCAGTCGCATCGGTATGGACTGTATGTTTTCGGCGCTCTCACATTAATAATAATTTTCAACAAAACAATACCCCGACGGTCATTAAAGCTGAATTCGTTACCGAATAATTCACAATTTTATTTACGGAATTTGCAATTTCAAGATCTCACTTGACGATTTTGATGATGTCATGCCCTAATTATTACTGCTTAAATGCCTCAAAATACAACAAATGTAATCATTTTCGACAATAACGGGCGCAACAATTCGTAAACGAGCCGTTATAACGAAATTCGCGATTGATTTTACCTCTCTCTTGTTTACATTTTTAACATCCCGCCGGCCACGTATGGTCGAATAAAATGTTCACATATTCGAAACATGACTTGGCCAAAGATGGAAGGGATCACTAAAGAGCTAATAGAAAGTACATACGCGAGGGTATGATATTAATATCGAGAATATTTGTGAGCATATCACAGGACGGAAATATTTTGCACCCGGCTGCTTGTTGGCAGAACAACGATACGCTAATGTTAATTGATCGAATACAGGGAAGTATTTATTTATCATCTCACTTGCAAACATCGAGGTTTTGGCGGAATTGTACGATCATGTTGTCTTTCTTAAATAATAACTTTTTCAATAAATGTTTATTTTATATTTGCGTCTTTATTATATGTCGGGTTTTCATTTATTTTAAATTCGAAATTGTCCGAAATACTCCAACAGGTGTATAAGTACAATAATAATAGTATAACTTCTATAATAAATAATTTCAAATAACTTCTGTTTGTTGGTTTCTAAACTTTACAAACTTGGGTAGCAATTACTATTAATGTGAGATTTGTGCATATGAACGATTGAATATCGCGACTGGATGTCCGATATCTGAGAATGCGTACTTCTCTTTCAACAATAATTTTCAGGATATCAGCGTTCATGTGGTCGAATAAAAATTATTTATCAAATGGATTGGTATTTCGAGACACTCTCAAAATTATTTGGGATCCACTATCATTTATTTTATCGTTTATTTTTTATATTCATGTTTTTCTCAAGAATCACCCTCGTTATATTTAGTGTACCTTCGCGATAGAAAACTCTTTGGTGTCATCGTTCCTATTAGTGTAATTGAAATATATGGAAACCTCGCAAGTGGCGTTGTGATGCGAATCTTTGATACTAGGTCAGCAGCATTACAAAGAGTGCTATTTATGAATACTGAAAGTACATGACATTACTAAACATTTTGCCAAAATATTTCTGCCCGATTTAAACTAACTCGCACACAAACCAAGGCATGTCGACATTTAAAAATTACTTGTCTTTGGGTAAGCTCTGAAATAGTATAATATAAATGTAAATGAGAAATTAGGTCACGCTAGTTCACGAAACGGGAGGATTTTCAAAGTGATCTTGTGTAATATTTCGGAGAAAAAGGTTTGAAAGGAAAGTAGGTCAACCTATCTCCTAAAACAGGGGAGTATCCTGCGTAATATTTCGGAGGGAAGGTAGGTTAACTTATCTTTTAAAACAGCGGGTGGCGACTTTCAAAGTGGTTCAAAATCACAAATTTATAATTATCAGATTAGGTTTAGGGATAAATCCAAAGTTGAATTTCCAGCGCACCTAACCCTAATTAGTTGATTACTATTTATATTTGGGGGGGGGGGGGGGATTATTTTGCACGGGATTTGTACAAACGATCCACCCTGTAAATAATATGGTTTCCAGCCTGTCTCGTGTCTGTTAGATGGAAGGAGTAACAAAGGTGAAAGTCTTTGCTGTTTAGGCGAGTAAGCAACTGACACCGTGATACATTGCATGAAAGTTTTGTCCGGGCAGGTGTTAGCAGATGTCATTTCGTTGCCGATGAATTCGCTTGTTTTAATTAAACACGAATTCGCTTAAAGGGAACTCGGTTAACGAAAAGGCTTCTCTTTAATTCATAATATTAACCGGAGGAGCGCTTTTTTGAGTATCTATGCCGTTTTAAATGGGTTATATGGAAGGCTAGGGCACCTAACTTGTTAAAATCGGCAAAAGCACTTTCGCACTTTTTTTCTCGACTGCGAAGCACTTTCGCACTCATAATTTGCTTAGAGTTAACACTGATACCAATTGTAACTATATTATCATTGAATTGAAGTAAAAACAATAGTAATCAAACAACCTTTCAGCTGGCATTTCCGAAAACACGTTATTTGGTATGATTCTGTTCCATTTTAATGTCTTCAAGTTTAATTTGTGTAGATCAGTATTATAAAAATATCCAGATGTTCCTCCATGAACAATTAACTTCCTTTTGTAAAGTGTCATCGCCTAAATGAAGGTAAAGAAGGATTTTTTATAATCATTAAAAAGGAATGTAGTCTGGCTACAATAAATTTGGTAGGCTATGCCAAACCAGGAAAAATAAGATAGCTCTTTGAAAGACATCATATATCAAAGGTGTATAAAAAAGCAACCCAGGCCAAGCAAAAGAGACTTGGTCAGGACGAGCACAAAGATTAGAAGCATAATTGTTAATTCATAATTGACAAAATAAAGAGATGTATATATATCCATGATCGAGATCCTGAGGGGCCGTACATGAGCCCATGTGAAAAGTGATTGTATCAATATTTTATATGCAGCGACAATATCATTTTGTTTTGCGACTGCATATTTCAACAAACATTCAGAGAAATATTAAATCTGAATCCAAGTTTTTTATGAATAGCCTTTTAATATATGAATATTTACTTGAAATCACTATCAATTTCCAATATGTATTGGAGTATTAATTTATCTTATGCTCACCTGTCCATACTTTTCATCAGGTAGATTTCCATCACATTTTAGTTCTCTCCAAACACCTGATCGTAAGTTACATACACTCAATTTGTTGCTACTATTTATTCCAAATGGATATCCGGTTCCACCAAATACAAGCATGTGACTGTTGTCGATGATGGCTTTAGAAAAATAGAAATAAACACGAAAATCGGTATGTAATGTACTTAATATAATTTGAAAGCATATAAAGAAAAAATATTTAAAATAGCATTAGTACGATTCTGGACCAAGGATGAATATGTAATAACAGCAAAGAGAATATTCACAGTTTATTAGACCTGTGATTAATGATAACAGTCATTAACAGAAACAGTCTTCAATTACTCCCAGATAAGAACAAATACTATGCCATTAATTTGCAAGTAGTAGCAGGGTTGGGCCGGAAGAACCTAAATCCCAAGTCACAAAACATCAGAGTCATGAATCAAGTTGAGTCACAAATCATGAAAAATTTCAATAACAGTGAGATGGACATTCATATTGAAAATAGTAATTTCTATATATTTTTCGAAAAGCAGGAGTTATTTATGCATTGTCATCAACACAATGCAGCTATTTCAGGTCAATGTTACACAAGCTAGTAAGTTTTTGATTCTAAAAATAAGCCTTTTTAGTGGGGACTCAAGTCATTTTATTTGATGCTTAGATAAAAGGTGAAGCGAGTCTGTCGAAAACTTCACCCAATAAATGGTATCCAAATTACTGTACTGTACCCAGGTTCAGAGATACAGATCTAAAATAAGTGATCAGTTCAAGATTCCAAAGAATAAAATGTTGTTAGACTATACTTGAATGCGACGCAAGTTCCCCTGGCATGTCTCCTTCGCACTGCATTAAATTCCATTGTCCTGTTGCAATATTCAACCTCCAAATTTCCCTGAATATAATGGATAACAATACAGCAGTAAGATAACGACAGATTGCAATCAAAATTTGTCGAGCTTGTAAGAAAACAATCAAATAGTGAATTACCTGAAAAGCGGTGTATTGACATTCCCAGGGTTGTACCCCCCAAGAACCCACATGTGGGTTTCGTTAGCGACAGCTCTGTGACCACTTCGTGCAGAGGGTGAATCTACAAAACAACATAATGCTTATTTCTATTTGGAATTTTGAAATACACCAACAAAAACTTGAAAATATCCATTGATTCCGCATGTTTAGTGTAGTTTCATACCTCAAGTATCGGTACTTTTAGTGGGCGTAGCAAAACAATTTTTGCTTATGTCACTCCCAAGCCTCACCTGACTGCGTTCACCCAAAATCGTGCTTGCTATTTCTTTCATTTTCTTGTCGTAACAATCACGATATGAGAGAGATCCATTTCGGCCGATCATAGGTAGGCAAGCTCAATGACGAGATTGTGACATCATGATAACATAATTTTTGGATGGCGTACGTAGTCAGGTGGGGGTTAGGATTGACATGACCCGATTGTCAGTTTGTGCTTTTGCTATTTTTGCAAAATATACCGGTAGTCTACAATACATACTACAGTACCGGTACTGACATATGAATTTGACAACGCTGTTGAATCATCAAAAGCAAACACAGTTCATCAGTTAAACAAAATCACCAGTAACTTTAGAACTTAACAATTTAATATCTCACCTTGACCTGTTGAAGGATTCAACCTTATCAATTTATTGACGCCAACAATGGTGTCATCTTTGCAATCCATGCCGAATAGGCTATAACATCAATTTTTTTCAGAATGCTTGCGTAAATGTGTAGAAGCGAAACAATCAAATGCCTGCACCCAGCAACATCATTGAAAACAAAACAGAATTAACTGTACAAGTTTTGTCTATATTTCAAATGCAGACTTTTATCAGCATTTCATTTGTCCGTAAACAAAGATGAGAAGAATCATCAGCTTTGGGCTTAAGCTTTACAGTAGCCTACAGACGCGAATCTGAAAACTGTGGAAATTTCACGACCTTTGACCCTCAGTAAAGTTCAATTTCTTTTTATCAACGACTAACTTTTTGAGGCTTTTGATATAAATATTGAGGCAGCAAAAAATATAGTGCTGAATATTATAAATTGCAAAATAATCCCAATTTTTGGGTTTTTATAAATGTCTCCCTGATCCTCGACCGCAAAGAAATCTCCCAATGATTTATCATCGCGATAATTTTTATGCTTATTTCAAAAGTGCTTTTACGAGTTGTCGCTTACAAACTGGTTTACATGTTAAATCATTATTTATTCAAAATATTTACCCATCTGCCGTTTAAAAGTGCGGATGACTAATTTTATCTTAGTCCATCGCAGCTTAGTTTTGTATTCCTGCAACTCTCTCTTTTTTCATACCTCATTTAAATATGTTTGGTGCGTATTTTCAGCATGGTGAAGAAATAAACTACTAAATATTACTGTCTGAGCGGCTTTACTGATTACAGTTGTTACATCATCGTCACTTAGTTAAGGAAGAATGAAAATATGATATATGGAATGCACACCGGAAAAGATCTGATTCAATGTAGCTACTTTTAATGGAAAAAATGGGATTAAAATCAAAGCTACGTCTAAGGGCCGTAATCTACTTATCTGGGAATGTGATATCTTTAGAAGAAGCTCGCGATAATCATAAAGAAACAAAAGTTATCCGAACTGTAGATCAGATCAGATTTTCACAACTTGATTTTCAAGCGTTTGACAAAAAGAAATGATAGTTTAGGATATCAGCCGACCTGTTTGCATACTGAAGATTTTGGTTTGGTAAAACTGGTTAAAAAGGAGTTAATTTCATGGCTTATCGTCATTGGCAAATTCTCAAGATTATAAATTTTTAAATGAAAACTTTCCAAATTCGGACCATTTCTTTAAACAAAAAGCAACGCCCGAAACTAGTTTTCGAGTTTTTACATTTGTTTGTTGACTTTTTAGCTTTGTTTATTTACTAAGAAAAACAGCAGCTGATGCTAATCACTTAGATTTCATTATTGGGATTCGCATTTTGGCACATGCACCAACACATACCTCTCATTCTACTTATTTCGCAATCTTCACCACTTTCACCCACCAAACTTATATACAACTGTAAAAGTAAGCTTAGCCCGTGAATATAACTTTCTCGTGTTCATGTATGCGGTTTATGAACTTTTCTTTTAGTTAGATTGTCGTGATGTGTTTTTTTCACTTGTGTGAGTGTTTGTGAATGGGCACACACGCTGGTTAAAGCGTTCGCTATGACCGTTCTCTAGGTTTTGCCCATTTTCCCGGCTCTTCTGTCGCCATTGTATGTCTATTGTTTTTTTTTTATGCGCGTTCAGTGTTGTAGACGAAAGATAGAAATAAAGTTGTATTGTATTATTGTAGTTATGCAGGGCTTTGTGGGCTAGCCTACGAAATTGCGTCATGAGATGAATAACAATAGCAAAATGAAAATATCTACCACTATGGTGGGATTGAGAAAACATCGTGTTAATGGTTTATTTTCCTACGTCGTTAATGAGTTGAATCAACAAATACTCGTTATTCTATAAATACTTAACACGTGGTGTATTTTTCCAGATGTAAAAACAACAACTTTTTGATTTCTCGTTCGTTTGGGAACCACTGTGATAGAACATTGAGAGATTTGTTGTAGGTATTTAATAGTTTTCCGAAGCCGCTTCAGATTACAGCAGGTCAACTAAATCTTCTCCGAAGACGGAACGACAACTAAGTTCTTCAATTTCTACATGGGTATAGGGAAAATAGAAAAGTTACAGAGGAGTCAATATTTACATCAACATTTCATGTTGAAAAATCTGTCGAGTGAAAAAAGCGTTCTAGGTGTTTAAATGAATTTCGATTATTGTGCAACGGTTGAATTCTAATCGTAGAATTCAATAAATTATTTCAAAATTCTGCAGTAAAACGCTATCACGGAAGACGAACTCCTCCACTTCATCAAACGTGTGGCAAACAGGCAATAACACTTTCTCACATTTTACAACATCAATATAAAACAGAGGCAATTTCATGTAACGGGAAGGACAACTTTTCCTTCGTGTGTTGGCTATATTGGAGCCTTGGTTATTACCCCGCGTATCGAATAAACCATCATGGGCCAGCGTTAATTCATATTCTTGTATCACCTCCAAGTAAATTAAAAACAATAATCAACATAAAACCAGTGTATTTCAGTTCATTTTATTACAAAATATGATGTAACTAGATGCGTGTAAAGAGAACTTATCTATTTGATTTCATCATCACAACATGACAGGGATGCTTAATCAATCTTGATAACACGCTCCAGTTTAAAAAATCAACAGAAAATTGAGTTAGGAAAATAAACATCAGAAAATAGACAACAAAAATTACCATCATTAAAAACACAGAATGAATAGAAACAGAAAATGAGGTTTGAATTCTTCTCGAAATTCCGCCATTTCAGATTCCGAACAATTCGGATATTAAGAAGCATTTCGCTTATAAGTTTTTTCTCACACACAAAGCTAACAAAATAGCACCTCCTACTTTTACATTTTTATATCATTTTTGTGACATACTGGAAAACACATTAAAAACGTGATAGCGAGCGAGTGTACTGCAAGCGAGCGAGTGAAGTACTGTACAAATGTCAATGTAATATCTCAAATATAAGCTAGCATTATATAGGAAACATTGTAAATTCTTTCAAATAAAAGTGTCTCCAATATTCAGAACACTACAGTTGGTATGTATAGGGTACACCTGAAGATTAAAGAGGTTTAAATGAAGGTAGAATTAGATGTTTTGCTATTTATAAAACATATTACGGGAATTCGGACAATGAAAATACCTGTCATTCAGTACTTCCGTAGTGTATGTGCCAGGTTAGCGTCGGGCCACAATTTTATTCCAATTTTAGTTATATTACGAGTTCGGGGACTGGCTATGTTAGCTAAGTGAATATAGGTTTCAGTCCATTTACACAACTTGATGTAAAGTAGGCGAACAAAATCAGTTATCTTCATATGGGTACATACACTTCTGGAGAGCCTGTCATTCTTGTGAAGTTTTCAGGCCAATTTCGTCCTAAACAGTGTAAAACTACTTCATATGGCATCAGTTGGATACGTATGTGTGGAAATAGGTAGCGAGTGTTGGAAGTATTTGAAATGAATTACAAGATTTTCGTCAAATCTAGTTAGGCAGATTTGATAAAAAATTATTACAATGGTAATGTTTGTTCAGATGTGACAAAATTTTCTATATCTTATTTCTCGTTTCTTGAAAATAAAAAAATTCTTGAAAATTCGTCTTTGGGTGTGATATTGGTTCTTGCATAGTTGATATTCTGGAAAGTTTTGGTGTGAAAAGAACTTTCTTTTGTTCAAGAAAAGCTAAAAAGTAGCACTAGGCTCTGGCATGGGGCATGTACAAATGTAGTTTTATCTATGTACCATGTATGAGCCGAGGTACCAAAAGTAAAGGTTCGTTATGTGGCGATCAGTAGAAGCACATACATCACTCCGGCACTGATTAGCCCCGATACTGGCACAGTGACAAACCAAGCGATTGCAATGTTACGTACAGTACTCCAAGTTACAGCACTGCGGGATCGAAACCACCCGATGGAGACGACGGATCCAACCTAAATGAAAAATAAACAACGAAATTAGGATATTATGATCGGTTTCAGTGGGAGGCAAACAAGCGAGACGTGATAAACTGTTCTTATATTTCTTAAAAAAGTGTTTCCGTGAATTCCATGAAATGAAGACAGCAAACAGGACTCGAGACAAATTAAAAAAAATAAGCGATTGCCTTCTAGTAGTCTGTATTAGCTAATCAAAACAAACTGTAGGTGGACTTCGTGCGCAATAAAATCACAAATTAAATTTCAAATCCAATTTTAACTATGTTTTTTAGTGGCTGATATACCCGAATAAGACGGGATAGAGTAAAAACAATCCCATTCTACAAACTTTCATTCTGTGGAATTTATTTTCGTATAACATCATGAGGATGGTAGAAATATTCTTTCCTAAACAGATTTCTCACCTTGCAATGTGTAGTTGATACAGGTATTCCAATGTTTGAGGCAATTAGTACAGTCAATGCAGTCATAAGCTCGATACAGAAACCCCTGAAAAGTGAGGGAAGAGGAAATATAATATCGGTATATCCAGTTATAAGGCAAGGATGTCAGTGAAAACGTCAGTTTAAGTTAAAAGCAGTGATATTTGAAAAATATCAATCTTAAGAATCCAGGCATAAAAATTGTTGTTTTTTCTCTAGACTAGCATAAAAATCAATTTAGAATACCCAAAATCGCATGAGTATTCACAAGAATAGACTTATCATGACGGCCAGAATTGCAGCAGATACATAACTAGTATTAATGCCACAAATATATTTTAGGGGGTACGTGAGCTTTGAAAGTACAAGTAACCTAAATGGCAAAATGAAAATACTGGCCATTCGCCAATGTAGAGCAACTTGCAAAGATGACAAATCAAGGGCAACTAGGCTCACAGCATAACAAAATATGTTATTCATATAATTATAAACGAACAGGTTCATTTCCTCAAGCTTTATCCACGTTGTCATTTGATCAGATCAATGGTGCGTTTGACAATGATTTATTTGAGGCACTGGTGCTCCCGAAGTATTCGTACCAAGATGGCGCACAACCTGAACATAGTATGAGTACCAGGTTAGGGCTGTTCAGGTTGTGCGTCATCTTGGTACGAATACTTCTGGAGCGCCGCGGCGCTTGTATATAGCAATATTAATTGCTTTTGATAGGGGTCTAAAGCCCTCAAAAAACAAAGAAGTCTGTGGCGCTGAAAAGATTAGGAACGAACCACTGACTAAAATGTCTAAAAGGACTGGACAATACCGAAGCGACCAATCTCAATTCATAGCATACCTGGAAGGTGTGATTTTTGTCAAGTCGCTTCCTATCGTTCTGATCACCCTTCTTCCAAGAATCCACAGCCCAGCAATGATCCCTATTCCTCCGTATAATAACAAGTACCACGGTGTAGCTGCCTTCTGAACAACATTGCCAGAATGATAGATCAACCAAAGTGCGATAAGTGGCCCAATTGCATTGCTGAAAAGAATAAGATGAATAAGACAAAATGTTTTCAACAAAAACTTGGATTCATGGAAGCATCATCCTGTTCAAATTTTCTTTGTATTTATTGCCTTTTTGAGTTCCTGACAAAAACATTTGACTCCGACTCCCACTTATACAAGTTTGAAATTCCAACTGCGGGGAATGCAGAAGAATTGACTATATGTCCAACCCGCGGATACTGGAAATAAATACCACGCCACACCCCATACTTTATATCGGCTGAATACCCGAGAAAACGACACTCAACACATGTCCCAAGATGAGTCAATCGTGTTAGCGAACTTGCCACCAAAATCCTAATTTTAATTTAAACACAAAAATAATCACAACAGTGAACACACACTTGTATGTTGCAACATACCTGACATCATTACCACCGTGTGCAAAACTTCCAAAACAGGCCGTTAAGATTTGAAGTGTGGAAAATAACAAACAAACAGATGGTGGATCTTCTTCTTCCTCCTTGTCGTCTTCATCTAGTTTGTCTGTTTTGTCTATCGAAGGCGACTCTTCCAATTGCGACTATGGTTAGTAAAAATAAATTTATTTGATTACCAAGCGTTGTATTGGTATGTTGTTAGGTGGATATTATTCAATTTTAGACGCCATATAGTGTAGAATTGAGGCGGTACTGGTAGGATTATCAACTGAGCCAGCATTCACTATTGCCGGGCCGGATTGCGCGGGGCCTAGTCCACGAAAAGATAAGAATATTAACTGAAAAGTAGGCTTAGAATGAGCGCGCTGCCCACGACGATAGCACAGGTAGTAGTGGCCAAAGGCTGGCGCTGGTTATCAAGCATTGTCCCAGTGCTAAAGGCAAAGTTTACGATCCCCCCGACAACCAAGAACACCCAGCGTGTAATAAATTAGGTAGGCAATTAGGCCTTTCAAAAAGATAGCTCCTCGCACCGGGCCCAGTTTAAAGCGAAAAGCTATGTACAGCGTCGAATAAGTTGTTTTATTTTTTTAAATTATTATTATTTAGCCATTACAGTATTATTATTTTTTTCTAATTTACCGATATCACCCCCAAATTTTGCTCTCATATGACATTCGACACAACTCCTTTAACATTTCGCAGATATTTCATTTGCCATATTAGTAGCCATATTATTAGTTTACATTCACGTGCATATATTTGAACATTGCTCTACATTACCTTGTTTATAATAGGATCTTCGTACGCCGAATCGTCATCGCCGTAAGATTCAGATTTCTTTATTGAAGATGATTTCAGTTTCAATTTCTGAATCAAATCATAAAATATAAAATAACGAGTACTATATTACACGCAATTTAGGTATATTTGATGTTGGAAAAATGGAATCACCAATAAATAACAATAAGTCGATTTATGTACCGTAACAAACACAAGATATATAGCTTTATTTTGCCTCACAGGCGTTTGGTAAAATGACCTTTGGAACTTGGCGACTAGCTCGACTTGAAGTATTCGTCAATCGTCACCATCTATTGCCTCGATGATCATAAACTCGGTTAAATTTGGTTCCGATAAAAGTTATAAATAACAGAATAGGCCAAGTATATTTAATTCTGATATTTCCATTTTTATGTGGTTTATACATGATTCAAATTTGAACATGTTTTATTGTCGAAACCCGATTTATTTTTTTGTTTAACTTTAATCAGGAACTTTTTGACCTGAGATAACAAAATAACCCTAAGTCCAAAGTCCTAATTTATCTTTGCGGTTGCTTCAAAACGTAATAATAATTTTAATTTACCGTCATGTCATCATCGGTCTCTGAAGTTTTATCGCCTGTGCTTGAGTTATTGTCTTTGTCGTTTATTTCTGGAGGAAAAAAATAGTGATAAGATAATCGGTGTTTGTTGGTTTGCTTACGGTAGTACACCAGGGGGCGTGCAAATAAAAAACGTCTGGTTGTTCGAGACGACACGAAAAAGGGATAATGGAGATTCAAGAGCTTTGTAAATGTTTAATGAAAATATAATATGTTAAACTGCCCTAACAACGACAAACAAATGATAATTTCTCTCTATTTTGGGCACGGGGCATATTGTTTTCCACTTTCGCCGTTGTAACACTGTTAATAAAATTCTGTTCATAAATTTTTTACATCACACTCACATGGTCCGCAAGTCTAGATGGGCAAAATTTACGGCCCCTGGTCTAATAACCTTGCCCGCCCCTGGCCTGGTGTCTCCCAAAATTGTTATTATTTTACACCGTGGTTGTGGCCGTAGTCGTGATTTGCAACCGAAAGGAATAAATCATTGAGTCTTGTGCGTAAAGCATCAGGCCGGCGGGCCAACAATATTTAGTAAAACATTTTATATAGGCATACATAGCTATTTTATCTTATACTGCATGACAAACAAAATTTGCCTATTGACTTTCAATTAAATTTGATTAATAGTAATAAGTAAGAGGAAATTAGTCAATGTTTCGCATGTATATACATTGATTGTTTATTAACAGCTATACATGCATTCCACGAGTAAGCCTGGCGGTAATAACTTTCCACCAAACAGAATGAATATCGCCCAAAATTTCAGAGAAACACCTTATTTGAAGAAAAAAAAAAACGTTATGAATTTGCAATAATATTTTTGAGGGTAATACTGAAAACCACAAACGTGCGGTGACAAATAATTCTATTTTGTAGACAAATTTTTCAAAGAGACGCCGTTGATCGCTTAATGCACATCAGTAAATATCGCTATCTCAGCAGTTTAATTTTCAGTCAAAAACAATGATGAAATATTCAATTTTTAACTTATTTTTCCATGGCCAAGTGTTTACTAACCCTTCTTCAATCCTTGTTGATTTCCCCAAACCCCCCTGAACTCTATTTTGGGGGAGAAAATTAACTTGGGACTCAGAATTGTTTTAATGACGCGTGAACTATTGCGATAAACCGAGTTTGTTTTGAAATACCAAGAAGTTTAAGAACAACATTCATACCAAGGTCGCTAGAGTACGACAAATTACCTCCCATCTGGATAAAATAACATAGATAAAGTGAATGTGTTCTATAATCTATGACCTACAGTACACCGAGAAAGAGAGTACTTTTACGTTGAATGAGTGGTACTAACTAGATTAAATGAAAATCATTAAGAAAGTTTTTTCAGTCGTATTTTTAATTATATTATTATCAGGGCATGTGTCGATATTTTGTCGGCCCGTTTCCGGAGAAAACTCGAAGCATAGCTATTGTAGCTGAAGCGTCATTGCGCATAGTTATTAGTTTAAAACTTAAACAAAGTATCAAACACAATAATCGAAATAATCGAGAAAATGCCACAATGGACACGCGGCGCGAAAGAAATGCAAATATATAAGTAGAGGTGTAACCACGCAATCTTGTCCTTAAAAATCTCGTTCATGTATGCCATTGGAGGCGAGTAAAGACAAAAAATTATGATCGCTGCAGCATTAAGAAAAACGAACTGAAGAATATGATGGCATTGCTCAAATTTACCATTCTTTTTCTATTTCAGAACCTAATTTCACAGCGCAGAATTAATTTCGCTTCACCGAGAACACCGACCTTAAATACAGAAAGCACCAATGCAAATCTTTCTGGCGCACTCCATACATAGATCACGCCAAAAACCTTGGTACGACGACAAAACTCAAAGACCAATTGGAAATCAGCCCACGGGTACACCCACCTCTCAACATACGCTGCTTAGAACATTCCAATCGATAAACACATCCTGTCATGCGTGTGTCACGTTGCTACGAGGCCCGACGAATGACGTGGACACGCGGTGACGTCACACGTATCACGCAGACTCCGAGTGATCCTGTTTCGAGCGCGCGGCCGTTGGTCAAAAAGCACCGTCTGTCGTATCCTCAACAATGACGTACCGAGTTGCTGAATATTTAAAAATGGCGCGTTAAATTTCAAATGTGAATCGGTTAGGATTAATTGCCAAATAGGTTCGGGATTATGATCGTTTCATGTACGGTCAATAGATAAGGTCGGATTTTTTGTTATGCAGACTTCCGTAACTTTTAGGTCAAATTCCAATAAAATCCAGTAACTAACGGAGGCATGCGGTAACGTATATCCTATTGGCTAAGTATTGCGAAACCAGCCAATGCACGGAAGAAAGATCCATTAATGGCCCGTACTCGAAAAATTGATTCAAATTGAAAACGTTTGATTACGATATAGTTAGTATACAAGGAATAGGCTTGACATTGAACATTTAGCAAATAACACTTCAGTTATTAATTGGCGTACTTGACACTTGACATTCAACGCGTTTACTGTTTTGATTCTCTAAACTTCGTGCGGACGGAACATACATATTAATATGGTAGTTTGATGTTTTAAGATTAGGATTTTCATATTTACCACAAGAAGGAGAAAAAAAAGGGGGGGGGGGGTTTTCCCATCTTCGAAAAAAATAAAGCACCATGGCGTTTTTTTCATGTTGATAAAAGTTTTAGGTACCTAATACATCAACGATATTTTAAATACAAAGTAATTTTCGGAAATTTGGCGAAATTAACCGACGAAAAATGTGTCGAAATCGGGAATTTTAGGAAACAGAAAAATATTTTTCGTATCTTGAGGCGTTCGATAATAAAGATATAAACCAATATATATGGATTATCCTTACTATCTAAATAGTAAATACCACATTATTCGTTTCGTTTTTTTAACAATTTAATATTAAACCAATCGAGATACCAAGACGCAAAGTATTCCAAATGGTTACCCAACTAGGCACCGCTCAGTATGAAAAATGGCTATTAAACAGTATATATTCACACCATGTATGAACTACACGTAAACGTATCATCGTTATGTCCAAGGACATTCTCCAATAAAGTATATAGCACCGTCTTAGAGACAGACAAAATAACATTTTTAATATTCACGTATAACTAACTACTTGAGCAAAATGGAAATTTATAACACGCCCATCGTCGCGGAGTAGAGGAAAATACTTATGCCAATATTGACTAAAAGTAGTAGGTGTGGCCAAAGTAAACTTTTATTAAGTTAAGATTGCGGTTAGTAACGTTACTTACGTATCAAAAGTAAAGTCACAATACCTCACCAGAGTTCGAAATATTACGAGTCTTAAAAATTTCATAACTTTACATAGTTAGAATTTATCAAATATTTGTTAAATGTGCGACATTCAGACAAAATATGATGACTATACCACGCATGCGACTCATGGCTTCTTCGTGGTGTTAAATCAACCGCAGAGAAGTACAGTAGCCACTCCCCTATGTGCTGGTTTGTCCTTCGGTCTCAATTTAAGTAACCACGAAAACCTGCAAGGCCTACTTACTCATGGCCTGAGCCGTTTTTGTTTTTACCTCGAAGTTTTTACCTCAAAGTAATAAACTAAATAATAGGATTTCACAAATTGCAATAAAATTGCAAAAGAAGAAAACGTACCGGTTTCGTATTGCTGCAAAAGACTGTCGTTTGCAGATTCATCGCCGATGATGACAGGAAAGTCAGATTGGTCGACGACAATATTCTATAAAAAAAAAAAATTTTTTACGCAAGGAAATTTACTCAAAGCACACTCACTCAAAAATGAAAAAGATTGATCCCTGAGTGAAGTTACCGATGACCAATAAAGGGCATGATATACTGAGACTATTACGAATAGATGTTAGTAAATACCGAATACACTCAAATATATTATATTTAAATTCCTAATGAGAATACTAAAATCTTTACAAATAATGTGTCGAATTATCGTTTATATCGAATTTTCATCACATTCAATATGGAATAATGGAATATTTCCATACCCTAAGATATTATTGGAAGCTCGCACTGGCCTTGTTCAGAGAGAAATGTGTGAATATACGCCGTATAAAAAATTCATCGAAATAATACACCATAATTAAATTTACAATCATGATTTACTGTATTTAATATTCAATGATCCAACCCACCGTTCTTTTTCCTGGATCGTTAGGCGTTTGGTATCCAGAATCGTTGAGTACTGAATCGGTTTTGTTCTGTGACTTTGTCGGGGTTTGAAATGGGCTTGTGTCATCAGATGACCGACGCTTCACCATTGAAAGGCCAGTCAAAGATTCGATATCCATACCTGTAATAAATACGGTACAATATTATTTTTGAGTATAGCAGTTAAGTAATTTTTATCGTGATTTCTTTATCGCGAAAATAAAATGAGGGAATCTAAATAATCAAGAATAAGCAGTAAGAATAGTTCAAAACGAGCAATAATCTAAATAGGTAAAAAATGAAAATTGATTATTTTTGTTTTCTATTTTTAACGCTGTCGCACGAAATGCTTAGTTTCAAAATTTACAAAATAAATAGCAATATACAAAATTTCAGAGAAATAAGATAGCCGATTCCACATTTTCAAGAAACTAAAACCATAAACCCACCAGACAGAGTTATGTTAATGTCAAAAGTTTATCCCCATGAACCTTAATTATTGGCTAAATAAAAGACCGTCTTCATGATACATCAGTTATCGGCTCAGCCAAGTAGGGTAAACAAGCGAAATTGCTCACCTTTGATTTTTTTTTTTACCTTTTTCAACTTATTATTATCAATCTATTTGTGCCGAATTAGGTTACAGAAAATCCGAAAACCGAGTATTGCGAAACCACCAACTTCGTAATTTTATTATTTAAAAAATGAATTATCAGGAGAAAAGAAAAGCGTTCTACAATCCAAATCGGAGCATTTTAAATGCCTGTTTCAATTCAATTTTACAACACTATAGAGAAAGCACGATGTCGGTAAACGACGACTTCATATTCGAAATATCAATGCGAAAATTGTCGATTCAATGTTACTGAATTATTCCCCGTCTTTTATCTATCATTTATCGCGATATCGCATTAAAAAACAGTTGATTCCAACCGCCGATAAAATACGGTAAGTTTATCGTTAGTTAGGTATGGGCCTAACTTAGCCCACTTTTAAACTAAAAATAATGTAAAAATGAATAAAAGTAATTTATAACAGTTATAAAATTAGACAATTTTTGTGAGATTAAGATTTATCGAAACAACAAATTCGAGTTTAATTACCTTTTAATGCTTTTCTCCTCAACCTCGGAACAACCACGCATTGAACAACAACCCCAACGATTATCATAAGTCCCAAAGTAATTAGTACAACCATCCATACTTCCAAATCCAGTCCAAGTACTGTGAATAAAATGTGATAAGATTAAGTATTTTTTATGGCGTTTTTTTATTATACTAAAGTGAAAATTGTTGTTATTGGTCCTCGGGATGTGGGAAAGACGAGCTGTTTTGTTGCCCACTTTCCGAGGACAGGGCAGTCGAGTTTTGAGTTGAGTATGTCCGTTTGTGTTGTTTTGTATATATGTTCTAAAGAGAATCTAATCCCTTCCTGTCCTTTCTCATACACAGGTAGTCGTAATATAGTCTAACACTGATCATAAAAGATAAAACAAAGTAACACTTGCGACATATTTGCAATTTGCCTACTAAAAGATGGAAAAGAGGGTGAAAAGCCCTTAATAAAAATAATTATTACTCCACATTGATCGGATTTGAGCATAGGTATAGCAAAAAAATACTTACGTGGAGCTCCCGTATAGAAAATCGAAAAACAGTTGATACCAAATGTAAAGGCGTAAAAGAACGGCAAACATTTCAGTCCATTTTGCAAAGGGTTATCCTGAAAATTAAGTAAAAAGGGAAATTAAGCGGAAAATTATTCGATCGCATTTAATTAATTATAGTATTGAAACGTGTGTAATAACTAATACGCCTTTCTTGTTTGATTAGATTTTTAAACCAATCCATTAATTGGATCGCCAATCGCTATATTAAATTTCATGAGATAATTATGAAAATTCTATCTTCCATCCTATATGTGATTAAGAAGACACCAAACTACCGTATCAATATTTTTCGTCCGTACGTAGGTAGATTTGGAGAAAAGCAAACAGTGTCAAGCGTGGTACGTTTTCGTGTGAATTATTTGAAATTATTCCAGCAGCTAGTGCAACTCTTTATTCTAATCAAATTTTTTAATTAACATTACTCTTATAAAATAATATAAATCAAATATGGGATGAATATTAATAATATAGAATATTCTGGATCGATGTGAATTAATTAAAATCAAAGCATTCCAAATTATTTAGATTAGAACAAGCCCTAGTTTCATAGGGAAAATGAAATGCGTGAGATGCAAGATTTATTAGAAATAAATTGGCATAAATATATACAATTAGCCAAATATGCTTTAATATGACATACGGCAATATCTTGGTGTAATACCAATTGCTTAGATTTTAAAAACAGTAGATACAAATATAAAAGAAATACAGACATTATCTTACCTTTGCCAGTATAAATTTTGATACGAATATATAAAGAGAAACGGCCATAATTCCAGATAACACAGGCGATATGAACCAGCTACCAACTGAAAAATAAATCCATCATATAGTCGATGTGCAAACTATACAGGAGGCTAGGATTTATATAACATAATGAACATATTTTAGATAAAAAAAACAAGTGACATAGACTTACTGATGAGTCCGAGTTTCTTCCAATTGACTCCTGTAGCACCAACAGCAACAAGAGAGAATCCGATACAAGCACCAACAATACTGTGAGTTCCTGATACTGGCAATCCAAGGCATGTGGCAATTAGTTGCCAGATTGCTGCTCCTGTTTATCATTAAAAATATTACTAATTATGACATCCATTCAAATATACAGCTATTAAAACTGGCCACTTCAAATCAATCAGCACCGGTGGTCTCGGTTATTGTAGGTCGGTTTCTAACACCATTGGGAATAGGGGCACATTTGGAATTCAAATGTGACTTTTCTTGTACTTATAAATATGCGATGAAAGCAATTTTTGAAGATATGACCACGCCACATACACTCGGTGGTATAAGTGTTAAATACGGCAACACGTTACCTCTTGAAACAACCCGACTGAAATATATTTTGATATATATTTTTTTTGTGAATATACCAATGAAAACTTTTTCTGCGTCACTGGTTCGATTTTTGAAAGCATTTGCTATAAAATTCCGCTAATCAACGGAAAAGGCTTTATAGCGGATATTAGTCTTGCGGATTTGGTTATAGGGGCTGCCTTGTAAAATAGTATCCGCAACACTTACCAGTCATTGCGCTGACCTCGCCAATCATAAGCAGTTCGCGGCCTTCCTCAGTCGCATTATAGATGGTAATGTCGATGATGCCTTTCCTTATTGTCTCACCCACTTTTGCGCCCAGCAAAACTGCACCGAGCGTTTCGAAAATGGAGGCGAGGATGCACGCCTAAAATGGTAGTTTGTTTTTGGATTTCCAAATGTAAGGGTGTTTTTGTCCAAAAGTTTTATACTTACCGTTTTCAGGGTTAGAACTTTAGCGCCCACGGTAGTTCCGAAACTGTTGGCCACATCATTTGCCCCAACAGCAAAAGCAAGGATGAAGGCGACGATAAATCCAAAGATGAGAGTCCATAGCAGATCGTCTGTTGACCAGGTTGCAATAGACGTAAAAGTAGCTGTAGGATGAATATAGGCTGTTATATGGCTGAAGTAAATTTTGATATATATATATATCTTTTTTACGTGACAAATTTTTTTTTTCCGCGTTTCATTACAGGCATGTGTTAAGTACGCTTTACCGCCGTATCATTTTGTTACACCGTTAGTTAGACAGAAACTCTCAGAAGTGTATTTATGGATAATACAATTATACAACTTGAAGGGACGGATAATAATCACCAGAAGAAAATTCGCAGAGAAAAACAGTGAGTTAACTTTTATCAGGGAAGGAAAGGGATTTTTATCTAAAAGCAAAGAAAAAAACGACAAAGAAACGATATCTGTGTTCTTGTATGTACTTGCGCTAACATAGGAATTTAGTGCCAAACGGCCATATTTGAAAGATCAAATATAACAAGCAGATGAAAACGATCGACTCCCGATTTCAGGTTGAAGAAAATATATACTCCAGTTCCCAACTCTGAGAACCCCAAAGTTTGGCCAGAAAAAAAAAACTATTGCGTACGCGCATAATTGTTTTGGTGAAATACAAGGTCAACTCAGTGTTTTTTTTTCGTCGGAAACTTCGATTAATCTTCGACTCATACGACACTCCGATATGTGGTGGATTGTATAAAAGTTGGTCGTTGCAAAAGAAAAATTAGTTGCCGACATTCCACTAAATCTTACAAATTTTTCTAACTTCGTATAAAAATAGCTAGTTTTTATACAGTTTGATAAGATAATTTTTTAACTAGACATTCCACTAAATCTTACGAATTTTTCAAAAGCGTATAAAAATAGCCACTGGGCAGTTTTAATTACGGAGATTAATGTGGCCAATAACAATGTTGTCATTTTGGAGATATTAAAATTTTAATAGCTTCTCGCAAAGAATATTAATAAAGTTGGATCATTTGGAACCGGCATATTAAAATTGCTTTACTCCCCAAAACCAATCACAGACACAGTAATCGCTGTAGAATGCGAAATATGTTTTATAACATTCCAACAAATCAAACAGATTACAACTTTGAAGCAATTTATTTCGTGATGGAAAAGTAAATATAACTTGCTGTATCATTTCAATTTTATGCGTAATATGTCTCATAATTCAGAAGTATTTGTACAATTACGTATCGTTTATTCCAGAGTTTCCTACCCCCCAAGGGGTACGTGAACTGTTCCAAAGGGGGTGGAAGAATGCTGAATCGTCGTTAAGTATGATCAAAAATACATGGCCGCCATAGAAATAGCATAGTTGGAACAACTCTCACTGCTTTAAATAAGACACTGTAAATACTTTAGATTTTAGAATTGTGTTCTTTAATATTAAGTGTCAGATACGCAAAAAGAATTGAAAATAAAGCAATGTTTCAGCCATTTACGTACAAGAACAATTTCATTTTTCTATAGTTGTGGGGTTGATCATTAATATTCACTGGTTTATTCACTATTAGTCGGTATTGGGCAGCGATTGTAACCACGCGCAACTATCGTCTTGCACAAACACGTATCGTTGAGTCGTCAGAGTCATTACCGTATTTCGGATTGTCTGTGTCGGTAATCCCGGCGACTCTGGCGTGACACGTGTCGGTAAAAAAATCGTCAATTGTCGTACTCGTTCTGGGGAAACAATTTGGGCCCTAATCGGCATTGATCGCTAATATGTGGTAAATGTATTGAAGAGAATTTATACAACGCTTTTTTACGCCTTTTCTTCTGAAGAAGGAACTGCATAAGCATGCATACGCTGATATCCAACGATATGTAATTGGCTAATATTTTTCGAAAAATCTTCCCGTTTTGTCCTTGCCCACCCAATTTATTACATTCCGGGTCTGGTGGTGGGCAATCTGAACCCGGGATACGTCGACGAACTCTCAATTCGGGGGTCTCATTGTAATTTAACAGGTACATAAATAATCGAAATTTGTTTTAAAATAACGAAAACTCAAATTCACTGGCAATTCTGCCAATCTCACCTCCAATTGTCGAGTCCGTGAATGTCATTCCACTTGTGGCAATAGTAGTTGCTTCCATGACGTCCGATGTAGAAATGCGGTTCGTCAATTAGAAGTTTAAAGTTTTAATACTATACCGCTAGCGGTATATATAGATAAACAGGCTGCGACTGTAAAATAGCAAGATTTTTTGTTATGAACTCATGACGAATCAGAGTTGCTTAGTGTACGACTGTACGCGATATTAGCCTCCAAACTTTTTTGCGCACGGAGAGATTTAAACGTATTCCAAACCGCGTTTATGACTACGAGAAAAAGGCTGAAGGTGCTGAAGTGGGACGTACAGATGAAAATTGACGAACAAATTACTTGTACCTGAGCAAGTTTCGTTTGCTCATGTTTCACAGAGTAGTAATTGTCTGGTAATGATGAGAAAACATTGAGAAAACCTAATAAGATTATCAAATATTTCAAATGATAAACATGTGATGCGTCATGCTAAAACAAGTTACAATCTACACGTTGACATGTTGAGAATATTAAGCTGATCGAAAACATTGGATGTTTTACAATTAGATTTATACCTAAATGTACATGACACAATTTTTTTCACTAAGATTTTCAGCCTACACTTCTCACATCATTGCGTAATATATCTAATCTAGAATTTATCCATCCCTATGATGTGTAGTCGCGTCACGCAAATTACGCAATCCAATTTGCGTCACGGCATTCTAATCCGCAAAACCTGCTCGTATTTGCCCAGCGTGCCGGTCTAACCCTGTTTATTTTTTATAGGAATTATAAGACTCCATATCACGACCGTTTCGGAATCGATACTTCTTGTAATGTAAGGTACTAAAACGATTCAAGTCTATTTCAAGTTTTTAACCCTAGTAATTAAATTATAACCGCATCTATAATAAATTAATCGGATTTTTTTGACCACTATAATAAATCAACAGTACGGTGAATGCCTATCAAATATCATTGTGCATGCCAAGCCTGGCGAGAGAAAACCATTCCACGCGAAAGTTTTCATACTAACAGCATCCATGTCCCTCATACGTTTAACTGGTTAGCTATTCACCAGTACCGGCAGAATTTACCGCCCCCACAGTTCTATTACTCCAGACCCATGTAAATATGAATATCACATCCCAGCTGTAACGGATAGATTATGTACTAGAATGAGAATAAAAAAAACACTGTAGCTAAATTAGCTGTCAAGCTATTCTAGAGATCTAAGATTATATAGTAAACCTTTAAGCGGAATTTACCTGACTATGAACAACACTCCAAAAATTCGTCGCGGATACGTTTAATTAACAGTAGCTGCCGATACACAAGGAAAGCGAAAGTCATCCCATATACTGCCCTTCGCGACAACACTCACCACATGTTCATTGCACCGGCATTTTATGCTTCGTTCCACATCACATAACAGGCAAATGAGTGATCATTCCCAAGGGGACGATCGTATGGAAATAGATCAATATTCACGAGATGATACGTGTACACAATAGGTAGGTATCGGTCGCCTATACCTTATACATAGCAATTAACTCTTAGCGAGGTATTAAGTGAATATCAATATAGAAAATGTGACAAATCAGTTATATTATAACACAAGTGTAAAACTCGCAGTATTTTAACCTGTTCGTTCGCTGTGACACGATACTTGCAAGTTGCAACCACTACATAAATTATACATCCCCCCCGGGAATTTGATAGCATCTCTTTGTCGTAATTTTATTGGAGAATAACACGCCATACATATATTTGCTACGACCCCAACTTATAAACATTGAAGTTTCCATGAACACTTAAAAAAGATTACAATCAATTATAATAAATATTTCGTCGCATTTCAATAAACATTTGTTGCATCTGAACTCACTTGAGTTTAACGTAATTCATTTATCGAGAGTACGACGAAACGAGGGCTAAATATTTTTGATGAGCCCTAAATTTCGTCTACTTATCTAAAACAGATATTCGCGTCAAATAACAAATCGAAATAACCGTATTTTGTGGAATTATTATTATTATTGTGAATTATTTTTTACGAAACAGCTCGTTAGTGTACATACAGGTTTCCGCATTGTGTGAGTAGCAGAAATATTTGTAAGAGGGAACTCAGCTTTGCCTTGTCAGAAAACTTCCATGACGATCCAACCAATGTGTATCCCGCGTGTCGACTGCGATCCGGTATATCTTTCGCGCTTGTATTTATAACGTCCCTCATGTTAGTTGGTCAACCAAACACGCCCCCTTCACGCCTCTAAACTCTGCTAAAACAAATACGCCTCAAAAATGATAAGGAGACTAAGTATCCTTCAAAACAAACTGTGTATCAAGAAAAAGCTGGCGCAGGCGACGCCACATAACGTGAGCACGCTTTGACCGCATGTCGAGGACAAGTTACCACGTCAGAACTAGTGACGTCAGAGCTTCCAGGAGAAAAAAATGAAATGATATCTGAATCAGTAATACAAATACAGTATGAGCTCATTTTAATATATCCAACCAGTGATGAGCTGTAGCCGGAACGCACCGGAGCGGCGTTCCGGTTGTTAGACATTTTATTGCATTTGCGTTCCTGTTGTTAAAATAAAATTATGTTTCAAAAATTCTAGTTTCTTTGGTAAACCTGGTTAATAATTTATGTATTGTTGCCCCATAATTCGTAATTCTTTTTACTTCACATCACGCAAATAATTAGTACATCAGTGACGTGTAATAGATGTTTTCACGACCCCATGAAAAATCACCTCATACCGTTCTAATAATAATATTTGTATTGAATTGCTATTAATATTCTTGTAATTTTACACGGAAATATTTCAGGTAATTTATTCGAATTTCATTGCAGTTCTTCGACTCTATCTTAGGACAGACAAAACTTTTTGTAAACGTTGTGTTGTAAATATATTACCTTTTTTGCGAATTAGGTGCGTTCCGGTTGTGACAATTTTTCCAGCTCATCACTGTAAATACCGAACATAAAAACATTCGTTGCAAATAGATTTTTGTTTTTTAATGAAATACGAACTACCTATAGAAAGTAATATTTAAGTTATAGATAACCAAGTAACCTTCTAAATTTAGGCCAATAAATATTTCGAAGGTGGTGTTCACGAACAACTAATTCTAAGCGTTACCTGTTGAAAATGTGAACACAAAAATCTCGCACACAGACACACCAGAAAAAGTGTAATGACGGAGACGGACAGACCGATGTGTAGTCTGATATGCTCAGAGTAGGTGCAAGTATACTTCACTAGTCTTTCCATAACTAGGTGGAAAAATAAAATCGATATAGATAGGGTTATCCCTCCATTATATATACGGCTCTCATAATATTGCCTCACATTTATCGGCGTAAAATCCGCGTAAGTGAATTACCCGAGAATATTTTAATCACGACACAAGTTATTTATGACTAATCACATACATATGCTTGTTTATACACTGTGACATGAAATGAAAAATATATTGGAGCGTATCATCTAGAATGCTGAAGTACTACTACTGAATTCTGTCAAACTTGCCACCCTATATCCATGCTGCCATACTACTTTACAACTAACATAACGGCGTAAATTGTAAAATCAATCTCAACCAATCACGGAATTATAGTACAACATGCAGTAAACCACCTTTGTATGCATGTATGATTAATCATTCATCTTGTAGACTGGTAACTAAAATATCGAGACTCCGTATAAGTCATAATCACCTATCACTGCTAATTACTGTCTGAATTTGATACATCAATGCTAGGTTAACGCAGTACGATGCTGACGACCTAAATTTGAACTTGACTCATCACTGCATCACGATCTCTCCGAAAATGCAGAAATGGAGCCTACATTAATAGTCTACTAATATATCGCATACTGCAAATATAGTTTATTAGATAACTTTTTGGTTAAAATAACTTGTTCTTTCCTCCACAACCAGTCAACAATAGGAAAATACTGAAATGAAACCACAAACATACCACAAATACAGAATAGACAATAATGAATAAGTCACCTGCCTTGTTTTCGCTTGAACACACCGTAAAGAAACGTTGCCCAGTAGATGACATAAGGACATACATTTTCGAAAGGCAATCAAATATTGGCGCTTAAAACAGGCCTTTGTTGTTCGCCAGCCATAACGCCTAGTAGGCTACTTCCTTTTCCATATTGCGCGTGATGTGTTTTAAATTTCGCGCCTCGCTCTTGATCGCGCAAAGCGGCAAGGCTGACCAGGGTATTTTTGTAGGACTTCTTATGCCGCAGGCGACTTTGCGTTGTGAGGTAAAAAGGGAAGGGGGTTTTGTTATTATTCGCTCACAATGCGAATGCTTGCTGATTATCGTTTATTTGGAGTTGCCGTATCTTTTCTACTAGATTTTTCCACTATCTGTAAAATCCTATGAACAATGTTGAATCTGTTTAAAAAAACTGAAGTTGTCTATCGATATAATCGGAACTGTTATCATATAAAGTATATAATTTGTTCAGTTGACTCTGTGGACTGTAACCCGCCCGTTCACTGATCTGTATACTATAGATTGGTTGTCATATAAGATCCATAAGTGCTGTTGTGACGGACTGTAATGTCCGAGTTTATGTTATGTTAGTATATTTTTATATTTCTTAATATACTGACTGTACAGACCTACGATTGAGTGCTGATTCGCCAGGTATAACCATCATGCTGCACTATGAGACTCTGATTAGGTTTGGACTATCCGGTTAACCGAGAGATATTTTGCTAACTGATATTCGGATACTATTGCGACGGTCAACCAGATAATAAATTGGCAGAAATAATGAATATGCTCATTAGTCATTTTGATATTTTTGTAAAGTGGCGGCTGACATCTCCTACACTCATATGACTATATTTTAGCCATCAATAAAATACTGCAGTGAACTTCACTATCACGTGACGAAATACGCAAAACATATGTGCTTAATATGTGATAGAAGAGCGCATACGCCTCATAAAGTAAGGCTGTAAGTATAAGCCAGGTTGTAGTGTAAACGAATTCAGTTGAAAGTCTTTAAAAAGATGGGTGTGAGGATGAGACGGTCGCTATGTATCATCGAACCTTGTCGGGGGTGTATGGTCTCGGTCCTATCCTATGTAAATAATTTGTTCGTGGTCTGGCGCGGCTAGATAGTACATTTTGCTACTTATTTGGTGCATCGTACTTTTACGGGCATTTTACTTCGGCCTACACTGTGGGAAGTGCGATCCACGGATTGCTGGTTTTGTTGCTTTTTGGCCGGGTGTTGATTTTATTTTTTGCAGCGGATTGGAGGAACGCCTTTTATGCTGGAATAAACCAATTTAAATTTCGGGGACTTATTTCACAATACCCAAGCGTAAAATAATCTTAGCCTCGGATTACTTGTACTCGGATCCATGTACCATTTTCTATATTTTCCGCTGCATGAACGCATGTTATGTGCATGTGTTTAACATTGGTTTTGTTTGTTTTACTAGGATCCCGTGTATCAATTAGACCTTTTTTGCGTATAGATATGCCAACCGAAATAAATCTATTCTGTCTAGGCCAGATGTATGTATTTTAACTGACTAAATTGAAAACCCATGGCGAGAGAAGAAAATGTGAGAGGGAAAAATGCGAAACTTGTGGACACACGATTCAACACAAACATATCCTGATATCGATTCTCTCTAACAATTAGCAATACGCTTAACTCAGGGATGGGCAACTCAGGATCCAACCCATCGAAGTGTTTCATTCGGCCTACTTGTGCTTGCTGAAATCACGATTATAGAATTTATCAATTTATAGATATAAATTTCCATTGATAATAACGGATCGTTGGCTAAAATGAATACCGTAACTCCTCCACATATTATCCGCAACTGAATATAATGTGCGAAAAGAGACGCATATACCTTAACTCTTTGAACTCTGACGGCTCTGAGCGAAGTTACTCGCTCACCCTGAAGGTTCGCGGCGCCGTATTGGTAGAACAATAAAATAAGTCTAAATACTGGCTATTTGGCACGCTTGTAACTTTTTACCAATTATAGGTAGCACGTTGTGAGACATTTCAATCGAAAGGAAATTTTATCGTGCATTCAGAATGTATTTTCCATTTTGAAATACATTTTGTCAAAATTAATAAAATTGACCCTAATCTAACAGTCATTTTTCTGCATGTATGTGAGTTTTGGCTTTAAATTTTGTTAGTTTGGTACAAAATATACTGCCAATATTTGATGTTCATAAAGAGTTTTTTATAAGCTTTTTGTTGATATTCGAATTACTATTGTGGCTGCCATATAACCAATTTTATATTTAAATATTTAATTGTGTATCATTGTGTCGGGTGAACAACATCGATAAGCGGCCATGACGCACTGATTACGCAGCTACGCAAAAGCCGATCACGTGACTACCGTCATGAAGATGTTGATAAGTACGTTCGAAACGTATTGCGTGGCAAAATGCGCAAGATAACTTTCACGACGACGTTCTCAGCGGAACATCGGTCGCCGAGTTTCGATATGATATTAACCCTGTATGGATTGAAGTACCGACGTCGAGTACTGCGTGCAGTAATAGCGAAGTGAAGTTAATATCGTCATATAAAATTTCACGTGGAAAATGTTTTATTCGCCCATGAGTATTTGTTCAAATATCAACCAAAATAAGTACTTGCCTGCTCTGCAGATCAAAATATCTGATTTTACGAATGTTAGGCGAAGCAAGTGGATGGATCAATATCTGAGAGAACTAATAATGCAGAAAGAGCAACTCTTATTCCAACAAGATCATATGCGTCGCCAGAACTAGATACCCTACCGCAAAACGCCAGTTCTAATAATAGATGCGTCGTATGCAGCAAAATTTACATTATTGCCAAAAAACCAATCCAGCTGCTAAAGACAAAGCGTTGCTGAAACGATGCGAGACAGTATATAAGTACAAATACTGTAATGAGTACCTATGTATAGGTAACGAAACCAACAACCATTGGTATAACTGGCACAACAAAGTGCAATATTGGATTTAGTCTGCCTAATATTTTCATGTTCTTCATTGTTCCGGGCACAACGAAGTGCAATATTCAATTTAAAATTTTTAGCAAGCAGTCTTTTATGTACATACATTTTTCATGGTCTTTATTGTTCCGTTATCCGCTAATAAAATCACAATCTTGTTCATATTGCGTATACATAACCACAACTTAATGGGGCTTGAGCGGGCAGTCAAAGTCAAATCGTAGTGCGAATTTTAAATGCGTAGCATCGGGTTAATTAATTACTTCCTGCGGACATTTAAATAATAACATCTCGACGTAACGTTATTGCGGATATCGTCACGTTTAGTTGCATTTGCGTAATATGCGTAAAGTTGTGCGTGACGAGACGTTGCCTCTCTTCAATGAGAACATCAATTTGACGCAGCGTCGCTGTTAAATCTACAGATAATCTAATATATTTGGTCATAAAATTTGAATGGCTCATCGTAAAATCGTTTTGGATACGTATATAAAAAGCTATTCAAATTCTCCACATATATTGTCGATTGAATATGTGGCTATTTAGGCAAGAAGTCGAAATTCTTTATATTAAATATTTGTTATCATACAATAATTTCATACGCACTTTCAAATTGCCAATTTTACTGAAACATCGTATATTAGAGCACCGATCATCACAATATAATTAGTCCCAATAACAAGCTTTCATGCAATATAAAATTTATTTAAATACTCATTGTGGTTCTTGAGATACGAGATCATAAAGTTGATTCCCTCCGACACGAAAAACAAGCCGGTAAACCGGCTTGCCGGGGCACAGAGCGTACTCAAACAAGCCGGTAAACCGGCTTGCCGGGTTCAAGCGGTTAAACTCACCTATCCGAATTATTTATGTCACTCTAAAACTCTAGCTTCTCTGCCAATAATAGCTCCTGGAGAGATTAGGCCTGCAAATTAAGGTTTTTATAGAGCTACATTCAAGGATTTTTTCGTGCGGCCGTGAATGCTGCTACACGTTTTTTTTTTCATTCTGTCCGGGACATCAATTTCGGCACATGGATTCAACTATTCTGTCTATACTCACGCCACTTACTAATCCTTTCAATCCTATTCAGTGCATCTCCTGACACAAATACCTATCGCATTACATCAGTGTAACGAGCAGGCATGCACCTGTTATCTATGTTGGTTATTTGTAAATAAACTGATTTTCATTTATAGTTTCATATTGATTTTTGAACCTACGTCTCAGTAACAAGTCTATTATCTATAAGTGACCCACTTAGGAAAGTAATTCCCCACCCCTGGGTTAACTAGATAGTTAAAATACGGATATTTCCAGATAGTAAAATTATAGATATCCGAACTAATACTAGCTCTGACCGCCCACAAGATGCGAGAGAAAATTATTCCGCATATTTTTCTCTGGGAAAAGTTCGAGATGGGCTGTTTTTTGCTCCCGGATGATTCTGGTATTTCAGGCGTCAAATTGCCATTTTTGAAAAATAATTATCCGGAATTTCGAGTCATCTAATAACCACAGTACTAAATACATAATCGGGACACTATTTGTGTCAAACAAATCCTGAAATCTTTTATCAGGGCCGACGAGAGGTTTTAGGAATCTAGGATATGCCATTTATGAGGCCCGTCTTTAACAACGTCAATTGGTTAAAATACACCATTATTACGTCATAATATGACCTTCACTATCTTGTAAAAATTAATTATAACGCAATTAAAAATTCAATTACGTAACATAAAATATTTTAGTTACAGGCAAGGTAGGCTAAGTACGCTAATTACCCAAGCAGATTCAATATTAGGTTGAACTAAACAACACTACACAAACTCAAAGCTGTAATAAAACGCCATGGCGATAGAAAACCCGACGTCCTATGGCCCTAATACTCGAGAGGTGATAGCATGACCAAATTACTAATAAATAAAATTTTGAAATAAATGTGTCTACAAAAAAAAGATCTGAAAATAGTAAAATTTAATGATGATGTTGCTTAGATAAATTAGTATATATATATATCGATATTTCTCTTTTTTTGCAAAAAAAAATGAAAGCATTATTAGATTATAAACTATTTAAATATTCAAATTAGCGTGTTTAGTTTTTAAGACTAAATGTGTAGTGTTTCTCAAATTTCGACTGTATTTAATTTTTCATTATTTTAAACGGTAAATATTTGTAATAAGTATTATTAACCTAATTAAAATATTGAACGAATATCAGTTTTATAAAA